TAAGGAGCGCTGGCATGCTCGTGAAAAAGAAAAGGGCCGGAGCTGCTGGGTAGTGCAAGAGGCACAGTGGGATTGAGATGTGCAAGGACGAAAGTGGCATCAAGGAGCATCTTGGAAAAATGTCAAGAAAAACTTAAGACTCACTTACTCGACTCTTCAAATGTAGGCTTGATTTATCCAAGAGATAGCTGCAATGTCCTATATACAAATTAATATTTAAATTCTGTGTAATGCTGATGTATATTGGGACAAACATTACTACTTTAAAACAGAAATGTTTACATAAAGAATGATAATGCAATATGTATCAGTTTTGGAGATCTTTTAATTGAGCTTCCGTGAACACAGCACGTAAGCTTTCCAGGAAATGGCACACAAGAAATTATGGGATATATGTTTTTTTATTTCTAAGATTTCTTGAACAGTAATAGCCAGTTCATTGTGTTTACTTTGCAAAATGCATAGTATTTTAACTAATAAGATAAAAAAACAAAAAAAATCACAACCTATGACAATACAGAAAATGTGATACTTGGTGGTTTAATCACATAGTATGATAAAAACACAGCTTGTCAAACACAACCCAAAAAACATCAAAAGACACCCGTATCCCAAAGTCTTGGCTAAAGACATTAAGACACGAGGCCAAAGCCTGTTAGTGAGACACATCGACCCTACTCCATCTACAGTCCGTTGGCTGTTTGGGGTAAATGAGGTCTTCAGGGCCAGTCAGGCTGCTGTAGAGCGTTCTGTCCACGTTATGCATCTTTGAATTGGGTAGGTGGGGGGGGGCATTAGTTGTCCGAGTCTGTGTCGTGGCGCCGCCTGTGGCTTTGTGTGGCACCAGCAGGGGCCGTCTTGTGGCTGACAGGGTTACGGGGGACAGGAGACCCCCCATCAGAGGAGTCTGTGTCATGTCGCTGCCGTCGGTGATGGGGGTAGGGGGGCTGTCGCTCGCCCTTTGCTCCCCCCCTTGAATGGCTGTCATGGGGTCTGGCTCCACTCTGACTGTGGTATGATGGATTATGATGATGGTGGTCCTTTCTCTGCCTTTAGAGTAAAAGGAAACAAACAATCTATGATTGGGTTGTGGTGGATCGGGTAAAGGTGTTGAGGGGGAAGAACAAGAAGCTGCCAGATGAGCTTTATAGTGACATCCGCCGAAAACACCCAATGGCAACATAACCGGCGATATTGTGGACATACTTTGATATATTTTAAATCTTTGTATCATGAATTCTGTACACTACCATCATATGTTGGTTTATATTATGATTTCTCTCTCATCCGCACAAATGATTGAAGAGCATAAATTATTCAGTCATGTTTGTCCACCCCGTCCTACACACCTGATTTACAGGATATATCTGAGGTCTTGTGACACATACACCTAAATTTAAGAGATAATGCTTCAAGACACTGTGTGTAGGACAATGCCTTAGTGCCCTCTAGTGCTGACAGAGGAAAGCTTTTGTTTCATAGCAAGTCTATAAGTTTGCAAATTTGGCAAGAATACAAGAGATGGACACAAATATTTAATATACTTACTTAAAATACAATAAAATACTAATGATGCAACTTGCGAGAAGTCTGTAAAAAATAAATCTGGTATGGAAATAGAAGTGTACTTCTAAATAAAAAAATGTCTTAAGCTACACTAGTAGTGTTTCTGTTCATTTTTTGCACCTTCAGGAAATTACTGAAAGATCTATGTGGAAAAGTCAACCAACCTCTTTCTGTTGTCATCTGAATCTGAGGAGGACGAGTCTCTTTGCCTTTTCTTCTTTTTTTCCTTCTTCTTTTTCTCCTTTTTGCTCTTTTTTTCTTTCTTTTTCTTTTTGCTCTCATGCCTAATGAGTTAAAGACAAAGAAGTAGATGTTTATTATTGAAATGAATATGAGAAGCTGGATACAGGGTCACATTTGGTCCAGTAGAACTAAATGTTTTATGTTTTTTGTGTCTATATGGTCTATATAGGTGTTCAGTAAGTTATCATACTCACTGTGGTTCCACGTCCCCCTTTTCTATACTCTGAGGTGTCTTTGTTGTTGATGTTTCTGGACAAGCCTCTGTTTTGTGGTGCTGTGAAGAAAGCATTTTTTTAACCTTTGCATTGTTGTTGTAGATCCAATCAAATTAACTCTCACTGACCCTCAACTCTTTATGTATTGTCACTATCAGTTAAAGATATTCAAAAGGTTCATTTTCCATCAAACTGCGGTGCTCTAACATTATAAACATTTGCATCTTACAACATGCAGTGGCATTTATCAAAGAGGGAAAAAAAACCCACTTACTGTAAAAACCGGCAATCCTATTTTAGCTGCCTCCTTTTCCTTTTGGGAGAGCACCATTTTCCTTGACCCTGCACTGTAGATGGGAATGCTCATTTATAAACAAACAAATCACTGTGCATTAAAATAAAGGGCTCTCTTTACACCACCTAAATGTTGATAGGAACATTTTAATGAGTTTAAACAGAGCAAAAAAAAAAAAAAATGAATATAGTGGAGGGCAGAGACAGATAGTGTCATTTTCCTACCCATATGTTGTTTGCAATAACTACTTTCAAGATAGCCTTACAAACATTAAAAACAACAATCAACAACTGGTGGACATTTAAATTTCAGCTGTAACTTGTGAAAAGCATATTCAAACACACATATTGTGTAGATTAATACTTTTTGAACACTTGCTAATGTCAGCATGCTGTGATCTGTGATTGGGACCTTCCATGTGGATTTCTGTATGTAAGAAAAAATAAATAAATCACCTGGAGCTTCCCAAGCCAGAGACACGGTCCACATCTCTCTCTTCACCATCAGCCTCTTCCCTCCTGCAAACATCTGCAAGGTCCTGGTGTGACAATTCAAATCATTCAACCTTTTTAAATGAAGACAAGTTATTGAAACATGTTTACAAGCTTTTGATTTAAAGCTGACAAAGTGACATACCTCTTTGGTCAGGCCAGTTGGTTGCCTCTTCATATTCTTGTGCCCTCTAGATGAAGAATGGAGGAGAGGAACTGATTATATTTATCAGCCCACACTTGCCTTTGTCAACCAGTTATTTTACAGGATGTTATACGTACAGGGCAGCCATCAGTGCCTCGTGCTCTGCGGCTTTGACGGCAGCAATTTCTTCTTCTTTGGTCAAAGGCCTGCTGCCTTTTTTGTCTTTTGCGTACCATGTCAGATCTTTGCCTTTTTGCCATCGCCCTACTGGTGCCATCAAAGAGTTCCCTGGAAACAACACAGAAGGATTGAGAGTGGTTGAGAAATGTTATGTCTCATTGCTACTGTATCATATAGCTCAGTTTTACAGACACTGCTGTACTGGTAATGTCGTCCTGACTCTTTAGACAGTGAATAAAGGTGCAAATTGTTTAATAGCCCCCATAGTTATTTTAATAGGACTTGATGGATGTCACTTTTTTTAATAATAATAATAATACATTTTATTTATAAGCGCTTTTCTAAATACTCAAAGACACTTTACATAAAAAAAATAAAATAAAAAATAGAATAAACATAAAAGCAGCCAAACAACATCAAATAGTAAAACATTAAAAACACATCAGACTTAGCTAAACATTAAAAGCAATTTTAAAAGGTGAGTTTTGTCAGTGATTTGAATGTTGGAAGGTCGGTACAGTCACGGATGGGTTTGGGGAGAGAGTTCCAGAGGGAGGGGGCAGCTACAGAGAACGCTCTGTCGCCCCAGGTTCGGTGCTTGGTCCGGGGTGGAGGAGTCAGGAGGTTTGCTTCAGATGAGCGGAGGCTGCGGGATGGATTGTGGCGATGGAGCAGGTCAGTCAGGTAGGAAGGAGCCTGGTTATGGAGGGCTTTGTGTGTAAGGAGGAGGATTTTGAACTGAATGCGCTGTGGAACTGGGAGCCAGTGGAGGGTCTGGAGGACGGGGTGATGTGATCACGGGTGCGGGTGTGGGTGAGCATACGTGCAGCGGAGTTTTGGATGTATTGTAGCTTATTTAGAGTTTTGGATGGTGTGCCATAGAGGATGCTGTTGCAGTAGTCGATTCTGGAGGTGATGAAGGCGTGGATGAGGGTTTCAGCAGCAGAAAGGAGAGTGATGGGCGAAGACGGGCAATGTTCTTGAGATGAAAGAAGGCAGTTCTGTGATTAGGTTTATGTGATGTTCAAAGGAGAGGTTAGTGTCAAAGATGACTCCGAGGTTGCGACTGTGGGGGATGGAGACAGGGTGGAGTTGTCAATGGTGAGGTGGAAACTGTCTGTGGTTTTGGTGAGGGATTTGGGGCCGATAATGATAAGGTCTGATTTGTCACAGTTGAGTTTGAAAAGTTGGAATGCATCCAGGATTTGATGTCGGTGAGGCAGTTGGAGAGAGTCGAGTGAGTGCCCGGGTGATGGATTTTTCATTCACAGGTGTAAGTGCCACATTCATGTAAAACGCATGGATGTGAAAAAAAATCGAGCTAATTCAATGTCAATGGAGCAACTCCAACGAATGTCACCCAATTACTGCAAATAATTCTTCAACTGGATTATGTGACATAAAACATATAAAAATGTATATAAATAAAACAATTTTCCAGAGCCAAAGCGGCTGTCATCAAATGTCTAGTTTTGTCCAAACAGTCCCAGTGACTCAACATCTGAGAAGCTGGAACCATCAAATATTTGATTTGTTGCTTGAAATATTATTGATTGCCAAAACTGTTGCCACTGTATGTGCGTTGACTTAATATGTTTAATTTTGGGTCACATCCTCTCTCCAGAGTCACCTGCTGATCTCATGATCCCACCATACTTAAAAGAAAAGGGGGGGGAAACTCTGTTGCTACTAAAACAGTATCAGATGTGGGGACGATACGAACTTTTAATGCACCAAAATAACGTGTTTACGCATTCACAAGTCCCTACAACGATCACATTTGCTGAACAAGATGCGTGTGCTGATGTATCCCTTTATGTCCCAGCTGTGGGTACTACGTAGTTTTAGGCATACTGACAGCAGTGTGTGCTCAGATAGCAGAGTGGCTACGTGTGTGTGTGTATGTGTGTGCTCGGAGAGAGGGACGCGATTAAAACTGGGACCTGCTGTCTGTAGAGTGGATAACGGGACTCATACCGAGCGACTACCAGCCCAGACACTGTGTAATGAGAGACTCTGTAACAAAAGGTAAATGGAAAAAGCAGCATGTGAAGCCGTTGTGTGCAGTTTCACTGTGGTTTACAGTCCCACTTGCGAGCTAGCAGGCAGCTATTAGCACTGAGAGCGGAATTTGCTGCCAGTTTTTTTTTTGTTGTTGTTTTTTTGGAGACTTACCGAGATAATTTTCTCTGTGCTTATCGGCTTTCACGTCATCCCAGTTGAACTGGTCCTGCCCCCCTCGGACCCCTCCAGATCTCGAAGAACCGAACATGTTTTGTCCGGTTACTTAAAGAAAGAGCAGCGTGCTGTTAGCTCGACCAGCTGACTTTAGCCACATTAGCACACGAGCAGCGCGATTGGTCAGGCCTTCTTCTTCTTCTTCTTCTTCTTCTTCAGCGTTCACTCATCCGGTGAGTTTAACTTCCCCGTGTTGAACGGAACAACGTGCTTCCTGGCAGTGGTGTTTACGTTGAGTCTGACTGTCTGTTGTCTCCAGAAACAAAAATCTACAAAGAGCGAAAGAAACAAAGTTGAGTTAAACAGCCTTCAACTGTAGCTAACGTCACATTAATGAGTGATTAAAACCAATACATGGCCGCGTGTCTCTCATCGACTCTCTGCCTAATGATACTTTTTTTTAATTTTTAATTAATTAATTAAATTTTTTTTATATAAAAAGTCCACGTTTCTGTGTTTTTGTCGCGCGCACTCTCGACGCTCGCGGACGTACGTAACGTGTTGATGTTTTGGGGCCCGCAGTGATGACGTAGGCAGCACAGTTTTCCCTAATGGCTCTCAGACGAGCAGAGACACAGAGACACAGAGCGGAGGAGGGACAATCCCCTCCGGAGACGGACCCGAGAGCTTGGACTAACGTAACTCCCCGATGTACATGAGATATTTTTCCAGGCTATTGTCAGGTAGGAAGGAGGATATTTGTCTGTTTTCTGTTGTTTTTGTATTGTCTGCCATATTACTGTAGCAAACACTGCCATTCATCCCCTCTTCCTCCTCCTCCTCCTCCTCCCTTCCAGTGTGATAGATTGTTTCTGCTGCTTTGTGGAAGAAGATGGATGGATGTGTGTTCACTGAGCACGATGAAGTTTAGCTGATGCAACGTTACCTGTAGACTGATCATTAGTGTGACTGCTGCTGCACAGTCCTTTATTCTCCTTCCTGCTGTTAGTGTGACAGTTTAAATGCTACCAAAAAATGACTGAGAAGGAAAATCCGAGCGTTGTTTATTTTAATGGGAGCTATCTGTGATGATAACTGTTACACCGTTATTACATTTTAAAAGAACAATCCTAAAGACATCTGTTGTATTCATATCTCAGCTGTTGTATATAAAGTATAAACTCTATTGATTTTTCAAAATTCTCAGTATTGCCCAATTCCCACAGTTCAGATGTACGTGATGCGCATTATGTTGACAGTTGAGTTATATACTATCATTTATTGAGGCCGAATGATGTGTTTTAAAGCTGCTTATTCCCTCTTGCATCTTTAAAGAGCGATTAGTTAACATATGATTATAAAGTTATCCAGATGTCCTACCCATCAGAATCAGCGCACAAAGCAATCACACACATTTTCTTCAGGACACACCTCTCCAGTTTGTGTTTACCATTCGAGAAATATTAGTTCAGCATTTCCATATAATTCACAACATTTTTATTGCTCCTAACAGTCAGTCAAAGTGCACTTTGCAATACCGTAGGGTTTATCTGTTAGATAATTCTGGCATAAGATTGCAAACACTTATGACACTCTATAACAATAAAACATGGAAATTGCTACTCTGCAGTTTCTGTTTGCTCTATTTAGATTGACAAAAGATAAAAGGAGTTGGAAGGAAGAGGAGGACAGCGTTAGACTGAATATGGATCAGAACTGGTTGAACGATACCCACATAATCTCCAAATCACCTCTGCTTCAGGGTAAACCTACCTAACAACACTGCTGTTGTGACAATACAAACTGTATGTTGTACTTTCTAGAGCTGCAGTCACTTGTTTTGTTTTCAATGAATCAATAACTCAATTTCTCAATGAAATAACTGAAAAATCATATAAGACAAAGACATTAAATGTGCACTTTTAAGAAGTTGGAACCATGAAATGTGAAGCCTTTTTTCGCTTGAAAATTAGTTATATTTATGTTATACTTTTGCCGATCAACTAGCTCTCAACCTGAACACCTAGCCGACTGTATCTGACTTATAGACCTGTAAGGGATTTCACATGATTTGAATTTTGCTTGAGGTAAATATCAATCACATGTGGCGTAGTGCACGTGGTTAAAGTCAAGCACAGTGCAGCTTCCAATAAGTGTCCAATTTGTAATCTCACATGTCTCTCATTTCCTGTCAGGCAGCTCTCTGTCAAGTACAAAAGGTTGATTCTTGTGTAGGTGTTAGATTGTATGTAGCTGCAAGTGTCCTTTTTTGTAAATAAGAAACTCAAATTTGATCTTTTAGTTTAAAAAATGTTTCCGTCCTCGACCAAGACCCAGAGCACCTGCTTGTTCATGAGCTTTACACTGATCATGTTTCACACTACTAGCTACTACTGTAGCTAATGACTGTTTTCAAGTTTATCAATATATTTGTAACATTTTGTTGCCCGTGTGTGTCAGAAAATGATGACAAATGGCCATGTATTGCTCAAAATGATTAAAATGGTAAATTAAGTCTGACTGGCAGCAGAACCAAAGTAATGATAAAATCAATAAAGAAACTAATCTTTACATTTGAAAAGTTGTAATGTGTAAATATATATTACATTATAAATGACAAAACTAGAAATCCTAATTGATTGATTTAATTGTTCCAGTACTAATTATCATTGTTTAGGGGCCACATTTTAATACTGACAATAAATCTATCAACAAGCATATAATTAGCACTCTATAAGGTAATCATAGACATTTACATTCCCTATGTGGTTTCTAGAGCTGATACGATTAGTCGCTCAACGGAAAATTCATCAGCAAAAAAATCTGATAATCAGTTCATTGTTTATGGCATTTATCAGAAAAAATGATGAACATTCACTGGTTGTAGCTTCTCATGTGTGGATTAGTTGTTATATCTCACTATGAATTCAATACCTTTTGGGTTTTGGAATAAAAAGCAATATAAAAAGGTCCTCATGGTTCTCTGAGGAAGTGTATCATGTTTCTCTAAACCTTTAACTAATACAATAACCAATAATATAAATAACAATTGTCTCCATATGGGAACAGTTAGCCGATTTAAATTGCCCAAACAGAAAAAACTCCTGCGCCTTTAATTAGCCGTGTGGGTGTTTAGGGGAAACATTCAAGAGGCATCGGAGAACAACTTGTCATTTGCACCTGCAAACACAAGCTCACTGCTTCAGGTTTGCCTGGAGACAAGAAGCCTCATAATGCCGTGGTTTTATTCTTGGCTATAAAAAGATCCAGCATAATTTAGTTTTGTTTTTGTTTTAAAGATAGATTAAGTGAGTGTGTGTGTGTGTGTGTATATATATATATATATATATATATATTATTTGTAATTTGGTACATGTCATCATGTCACATGGAATTCTTCATTTTTTTTTTGGGGGGGAATAATTGCCAACCTGTCTGATACCGATACTGATCAATGTAAGTAATAGGCCTATAACCAGTAATTAATGATGATTGATATTATCTTTTCACTGTAGTTCTTTTATAAGCTCAGGAGCACAGCTACAGTTGGTTTCTTTTTGTTAATAGATGTGTGGAATATGCTCAGTTACTGGAAATCAGCTGACTTCCTGTTATACTGCCTTGTTTTCTCTACCCATAGAAAAGATCATGCAAACACTAGACAAAATGGAGGGTCGTTGTTTCAGCCTTTAGACTAGAAATAAATCACACACACATATGCAGATCATTACTGTAATGTCTTATTATTGTGGATAAATCTATTCAACATTTTAAATGTATCTTTAACTACAAAATCTAGTGTGCAAACATGGCCCGCCCTCTCTTTTTCCACTCCTCCCTCCTGCACTTAAACAATCTACTAGCACACAATCACACCCCTCTCCGTTCACTTGATTCTCTGTCTGCTCGAGCTCTGTGTGTATTGAGGAAAGGTAAGGAGGAACACTATGCACTAGGCATTATTTTATTCTTTAATTGAGTATCTTACCTAAAAATAGTTTGTAATGAAAGAAAAGATGTGTATATTATAGTACAGTATAGAGAAGATGAGATGTTTTGTAACATACTACAGGTACTATGCTTAAAGGTGTGTCAGTGATCAGGTGACTGCATAACTTAAATGGAATTTGAAGTTGACTTTTACTTGAATGTGAGCCCACACATCTATTTAAAGCAGTTTTTCCATCCTAGCTTCTTGTAGCTGTTTTGTTCTCTCCTGCCATCACAAGCAGAGTAGGGCTCTCCAATTAGTGAGTAATTGCTCCTCGACAGCACCATGGAAACCTCACGGTTTGGGTGTTTTGGCCTCATCATTTGGTTTTTCCTTCGAGAACTGCTGGCTTATCATTTATGGTGTTTATCCCACCAGAGTGGGGCTTGTCTAAACATGTAAACCTGCTGTAACAATGTGAAATGTCTGTCTTTTTTTTCAAAATGTATTTCTTTTAAAGGACATATGTTTATCCACGGCCAGATTTGGTCCTTATATGACTCATGCCGTAAGATTCCAGTGGGGATGTGTGATCCCTCCAGCCTCACCCACTTGTTTCCTTTTACTGAACTCTCCTCCCCACCTCTCTTTCAGCTATGGCTGGACCCAGGCCTGTGGTGCTTAGTGGCCCGTCCGGGGCAGGGAAGAGCACTCTGCTGAAGGAGCTCATGAAGGAATACGACAGTATCTTTGGCTTCAGTGTCTCCCGTAAGTGTGCCACTCTATGCTTGCCAGACCATATAACAATCATTTTGGTGGTGTTCTTACCATACAGTCAGGAATACATGTGTGCTTAATGTTACTCATAGAAGCCCGTGCAGACATATCTAGAAAATGTCCTAAAACCGTAAACTGTAAATGCCGAAGTTGAAATATAACTTGTTTTGTGACATATGACTTTAGTACAGTGATATAAAACACACAAAAGCAGCAAATATTCACATTTAAGAAGCTTGACCCGGAGAAATGTTTTGCATGAAAACAAACATTTTTGCATTTTGGACTGCTGGTTGCAAAAACAAGTGATGTAAAGACCTGACTTTGGGCTTGTGAAACCTCTTGTGTTCTTTTCTACTATTTTTCAACATTTTATTGACCAAAAAAACCAGTAGATTAATCAACAATGAAAACAATCACTATTAGCAGCCCTACAGATTTATTTTCTGTCAACTAATTGTTTAATTGATTCATTATGACATAAATGTCTTATCACTCCTCAGATACAACAAGAAATCCCCGACCTGGAGAAGAAAATGGCAAAGGTACAGCATCTTCCTCCTCTTTCACAACCACTGTAACAGTAAATTGCATTTTTTTAAGTCAGTAATATCGCAGCTTTCCTCATCTTTCTTCCTTTTTTGTGTTTCAGACTACCATTATGTTACACGGGATGTGATGCAGAGAGGGATTGACAACGGCGATTTCATTGAGACTGCAGAGTTTTCTGGGAACATGTACGGGACGAGTAAAGCTGCTGTGCAAGATGTCCAGGCCAAGAACCTCATCTGTATACTTGACATCGACATGCAGGGTGTGAGGAACATCAAAACGACAGACCTCAATCCCATCTACATCTCTATCCAGCCGCCATCCATGGCAATCCTGGTAAGCATGGAATATAATTTTTTTTGAGTTGATACACTGCACACACATCTCGAGGTTCCTGTTTTCCTGATGCTCTCAGTATGTCTGAATTCCTTCTGGACATTGAACCCCTTTTTTAAAATTTGTATTATTTCAGGAAAAACGTTTAAGAGACAGAAAAACAGAGTCAGAGGAGAACCTCCAGAAGCGTTTAAATGCAGCCAAGGTGGACATGGAGTTTAGTAAGTATTTATTGTTTGTTCTCAAAAATGTCACCACATAAACTTAAAACATGACTGAACATACTTATATCTCCTCCTAGGTAAAGAGCCTGGTGTATTTGATACCATAATCGTCAATGATAATTTGGAGGACGCTTATGGGAAGTTAAAAGAAGCTCTTCTTGAGGTGAGTTACTGGTTGAGTTGCTAGTGCGGAACACATTTACCTTTACGCTCTGAATGAAAATGTTTTTATGGGAACATGATTCAATTAAAGCAATTTCAAAAGAATTTAAATAACATCTACTCACCAATGTAAAGCTGAATTGACAGATTGCTAAACTCCTCCCATGAAAAAACGTAGTCTCTAAATTTACTGTGAATTTTGGGTGGCAAATCTGCCCTCCTTGTTGTAAACGACGTATGTGCCGGCATAGCAACAGTATCTAAGAGTGGCACAACATAGAAAATGGTCATAAGAATCATAATGCACTCTTTTTAATACATCCAGGGGGTTTTCAGCTACAGTCTTACTTGATCTGGTCTAACCAACAGCTTATGGTGGCTAATGTTAGCTAAATTTAGATGGATATCATTGGTTGTTAATCAGTAAGTTTGTATGACTTCTCTACGTGAGCTCCTGTTACACTTCATTTTAGCATGTCACAGATAAACCGACTGTAGGCAAAATCAATGTGCCGTTGTCCTGTAGTTACCTTTTGTGGCCACAGTGGTCGCTGTTTAGCAAACGTTATGTGGTATCCCTTTTTACATTTTTAAATGTGTTCCATTGTCTGCATTTCTTGACCAACATTGCCTACCTGTACGCTTTTCTTCCTTCTCTAGGAAATCAATAAGGTCAAGAAAATCAACATGTCTTCGTAGGAGACAGCAGCACCTTTTTTTTTTTTTTTTTTTTTTTTTTGTCCTGTCCAGCCACTCCTCACCAAAAGCGCAGACCTCCATTCCAGTCGTGAACATTCCCTCAGATGGCGGTCTGTGAACCTCAGACATCCCTTAGCGGATACATATATACGTAGGTTTTACATGGTGTTTAGAGGTAGTTATTACCAAATGTTAACATGCTGTAAAGTGGAACATTTTTTTTACTGACAGGAAGTGGTTTCCATTTATTTTCATTTGTATAATATAAGATACTCCAATAATGCTTACTTGATATGTGACTGGCATGGTGTGCAGGGATGTTCTGTTACTGAACACAGATACACCGCTCGCAGCTTTGTCCTCTCACCAGCCTGGACTAATACAAATCGGGAGTAACATAACTCATTCCATCGTGTGGATTTTTCAAGCGTGTGACAAAGCATGTTTCTGCATATCTTGGTTGGAGGCAACGAGTTATGATATTCTTTTTGCCATCTGTGTTGATGGCGAAATCCATTTACAGAGACCGTGAAATGTACTGATGACAGACACAGTAAGTCTGATGTCAGCACCATTGCACACGTTTAGCTCAGGAGGGAAACCTCATCAGCCCTACAACTGATTTCTGGATAACATGGCGGCTGTTTACTTTCAAGGGGTACATGCAAGTCAACTGTACTGTTGATACAATAATAAAACTATTCCAGTGCTGGTAAATACTTTTTTCTTTTTCAGGTTTTTGTAAATTGCCATAGAATGTGCTAACTCCATTAAAGTTTGGTTTGCTGTATAACTATATTTGCTGTTGTGCTCTAGTAGGATTAAATCCCATGATAGAGTAGCTTTTTTTTTAGGGTTAAAACAGAACAATTTAACTGTTTTTTTTACAGTTGTAAATTTATGAAACTTTTATATTATGTAACATTTTGCAGCTTCACCTGTACAGTAAAATGACATTCAGCGGACTGTTTTGATTCCTAAGTCATTTTTAACTTTGAAGGAAAAATAAATTGCATGTTTAACTTTTTTTATATTGCTTAGAATGAAGCACACAAATCTCCTTTTACTTGAAAACTGAGAGAATATTTATGACCCATCTGTAATTTGGTATGTGCTTTTTCAAATTTTCAAATTAAAGTCTCAACTTAAATACAGTAATTAAATGTTACATCAAACTCAATGAGATGCATGCAGTCCTCTGGTTTGCCATTTAACACTTAACCAGCTCTTATAATAATAATGTATTTGTTGTGGAAAAATGTAATGTATTCCTTAAGTACATTAAACATCCAGCAGTAAGACTATGTTATATGTTAAACCTTAAATAAATATGTTACAATACAATGCCGGAAGAAGAATTATTTGTATGTGTGCATAAATAAAAGTTGTAAAAGAATCTGGTTATAGTTATTATTTGCAGTACATTTATTTAATTCAGATTTAACACTGAGTACTCAAACATGTTTCCAAAAACTACACATGTACAGTACAAGCAATTACAATCTGTTAGTGCTTTAATAATAATACATAACAGGATCCTTGTAACTGACTAAAAGACTTTTTAAAAACAACACAAACACACAAATCTTTAAGGGACAGTTATTGTATTCTCACTTTTTAAATATCATTGAAAAGGTAGTAAATTCTGTGAGCTCAAGTACTTTGCATAAACATTTTCTTGCAATCAATACAACATTGAAGATCTGGTTACTCTCGATAAACACATCTGCTTTGGAAAAGCAAATACATGCAGTCACTCGTTTAAATATCTAGCCCTTACATATGAATATCCCTGTGATATTCTGTGAATTCCCAGGTAATTGCACCGCATTAACAGACACAAAATGTCTAAAAGGCTGAGTATAACATTCAATACACAATTAATGGTAGAAACATCTGTTTCACAATAATAGATGACGTAAATGCAGTCAAATACAGAGATCTGATGTGAAACAGGTTGTCAGTCTGACCTTAACAATAAATCATTCGCAAACAACCAAGTAGAAGTGAACTTATGTTTGATTTTAGCCAAACCAACTATAATTTGACCGCACATCTTTGATTAAACTTAAACAACACCCCATGGACCACAACGGTCAACAAAGTTCTGTTGTTAATTTTACATAATCAGTGTTGAATATTTAAATGAACTTATAGCAATACTGGACTACAAACATGTAGACATGACCTCATTAATGGTCATTAACTCCAACATTTGCTGCTCCAGGAATCCAAGGCACTGCAAAAGTGCAAAAGGTAACATTTCTTAAAAGGTACAAAAGTAAAACCAAAAAAAATATATCTACCAGAATATTCTGTACTATTTGTTTATGTTTATAGCAAGAGTCTCCACTGAGGATAATGCTTGGATTGGTTAATATTGGTGGGTCAAGGTTCATGATGTGAGGTTCAAGAGAAACGTGATTTTCGTCTACAAAATGACGATGAAATTGTTCATCAGTAAAATCAGTTAAAACCTTCATTTATTGGATTCTGTTCACCATGTATATTGTACACAATATACATCATAAAGCAGTTGTAACACAGCCGTTTGGGACTGACTTACAGTCACATAGCTATACCTACATTTTCCAACTCGTCGCGTCCTAAGAGACCATCTGACTCTAACCATTTATCAAGAAAAAGACTCACAAGGATGAGCCTATTTTCTGATGGGCAGCTTTAAAATGGAATGGTTTGTCAAATGCAGTAAATATACTTCAGGTCAGGATATGTCTCATTTAAGTAGAAATGTCCCCATTTAAGACTAAGAGGGTTTGTTCTTCCAAATAAAAATAGTTCGCTACTGCTGGTTCTGATAAAGGTTATCACTAATTTGAAGAGTAACTGGGTTGCCCACTGATGTGTAGCCGTAGGTCTGAGTTGACACTTTGGTTTTAAAGCTCTGCTGCCCACCCTCGACCCTCTGCACCTCCGAGCAGTATGAAGGCTTCACTTCCAGCTCTGCGTGGCTCACTTGGATGGGGACATGCCTTTCTGTCCTGGACCGGGCTCCGCTGGCTTGGGGGACAGCAGATGAGAAAAGGTTGCTGGAGAGATGCTCTCTGAAGCGACTGAAGAAGCCGCCTCTCTGCCTCGGGGCCGCGACAGGCCGGCCCACGTTGAGGAGCACCGGCTGTCCCACTGTGGACCCCCCAATCTCCCTCTGGAGCACAGAGATCTCACAGGGCTTTTCTGCTTCAAGGTTGTGGGTGTTGGAGGAGCCGTAGGTCTCTCCTTCTTCTGGGACATAATCCTCCAAGTCTTCGAGGGTTAGGATGCGGCCTCCTTGCATCAGAATCTGAGGCTCCTGCTTTGTGAACAAGTTATGATCATCATCTTCATCATCGGGTTCGAAGATGACAGTTTGTTGATCATCCTGGTCCTCGCTGTCCTCCCCAGCTGGAGTGAGGACAGATGAGAGCTCATGTGGCTCTCCGGTGATTCCGGTGACAGAATCAGAGGTGACATTACTCTCCTCTTCTTCCCAGGCGAGCGGCTGGCTGCTGACGTCTCCCTGCAGCTGGGCCTGCTCCACCAGCTTGTTGTTGGAGTTGTTCGTGTTTGGGTTTTCCAGCAGAGATCTTCTGGGTCTGGAGGAAGCGGCTGCACGTTCAGACCCTGCCGGTGAGATACCTCTCCTCCTGGGCAGCCTGGGGGATTTATTGACCTTATACTCAATAACCTCCTCTACCTCAACCCACCTGGGTTTGCTCTCCATGGCCCTGGCTTCAGCACCCTCGGGTTCAGTAACATAGAGGGTCGGGATGGTGGTCTTTCTTGGAGTGGGCATCCTCCTCAGCCTGGCTGCAGGGGGCTCTGGGGTGGAGGTCTCCGAGCGGTGGGCTCCGGCAACTGTCAAGCCAGGGGACCTGTGCCTCCTCATGCGGGGGTTCTTCACCACAGTGGTTATAGTCTCCTCACTGGCATAAAGAGAAAGAGACAGCACAATAAGACAGCTGTTGGAGGCAAATCTATCAACGCTATGTGAGGAGCTGCAGTAATGAAGTTGCCTGTTAAAGTCAGCCCATCCTTTTTATCATCCTTGTGATAGAATCCTTTTGCACTCAGGCTTTAAATAGTACACAACAATGCATACATGGGGCCACAGAAAGAAGCACATACACACATCCTTTTTATCTTTTAGCAGGGCCATACACAGCAAGGCCAAAAATAAACCATTCAGTGCATCTGTATCACAAAGCAAACAACTAGAGGAAATCCATCCTGAAACAAATATCTTTGTAGATTATTGGTGTTGACAAATTATTTCTACGGTCTAAGACAAACATTTTCTAACATTTCTTACTGCAGTAAAACATGTAAGACACGCTTCAGGCACAAAGATAATTTTAGCCTGTTGACACTTACATGATGATGGTTTTCCTTGGTATTCTTGTCTCCTGCTCAGTAACTACGGGAGGAAGCAGAATACATTATATTTAATAGACAAAATAACAGGCTTAGTCTACAAAATTTAGTTCCCCACCCTAGGGTTCTCAACCCCAACTAAGGATCACCAAAGCCTCACAGGTGGTCGTGAGGCATTCTTGATTTAAGGGAGTGCTAGAAAACCTTTTTAGCCTGTAACTTAGCATTTCATTCATTTCTCTGCAGAAAACTAAATGCGTTTGTTATTAAAGTGAAGACTACTATTTTAAAGTTGAAACAACCAAAGAGCCAATATAAAAAAGGGCATGCGTCAGGGAGAAGAAAATACTGAATTTGTCAAAAATGAAGCCTTATAAGTATGTATGATTGTTCAAAATACAGAATACAGAATACTGATTTAGTCAGGAGTCGTCAGCTTACTCAATGGCAGAAAAGGGGCTTAAGTAAAATGGTTGAGAAACACTGATCTACAGTATAAGATGCATTAACTAATAAACTTTATTAAAAGCATTATTATTCAGCCTGAAAAAATTGCATATTATACAAAGAGTCAACAGAGTTCCTACCTTCAATAGTGATGGCCTGCTCACCAGTGCGAGCCACAGCAGAGGGTGGAACTAAATCAGCAGCACATTTAGCACTGCCCAGACGGTTGGACAACTGCAAAAGCAGGGAATATATTTTTAGAGTCCTAAAGATTGTTGTTAATTGACATCAGCTAACTTCAACTCTTGGGTGTAAATACAATTATAAAGCCAAATAAAAGTGATTGAGAGTTGCACAGAATTTCTGCCCACAGGCAATGTTTATACTCCACCCCCTCTACATATTAGTTTAAATGACACTATAATAACATTTGTGATTCAAGTCTGTTTTTTTACCTCACACTCATAGTGTCCCAGGTCTCTCTCTGTCATGTTTTTTATTACCAACACCAGAACCCCACTACGGAGCTCGCTGTAGGTCTGATACTTTTCCTGGTCAGTCAGCAGCCTGCCGTCCTTGAACCACCTTGGCCATAAACAGATACACACAGCCAGAGAAGAGAGGAAGACCTTAACACATGGGGCAACGGAAGTTTCAAAGGACGTCCTGAATTAAATTAAAATGTTGTGTCCATACCTGATCTTGGGGCTGGGGGCACTCTGTATGACGCAGGTGAATTGACCATCCTCACCCGCGACAAATATAGTATTCCTCATTTTATTCACAAAACGTGGCGGCACTACAAGATATATGTCACAATATAATACATGTTTGAACAATATAGAGGTTAGTCATGAGTGCTGGAGTGTGCTGAATCCCTGAAACTCCCTTGTCTAACTTTTAACAGAATAAATTGGTTTCACAAAAATCACACAAAATTCCAAAAAATCAGTTTTCAGTATGACTCATTAATTACATTTTTGTTTGTTGCATTACACTGTAATTATAAATCAAAGCAGTATTTTAGGATACGATCACACTGTATGCCACTTACCTTGAACAGTGATCTTGCCAAGAGTGCTGGCATTGCCAGCTGAGCTTGTGGCAAAGCACATGTACTGGCCAGAATCATCTGCTGTCATGTTATCCAAGATCAGTGTGCAGGAACCATCAGGGTCCTCAATGATGATGTGATGAGGATCTGCCTCCACAGCACGCCCATCTACATCGAACAAGTAATCAGTGCATTGATGAAAAGCATTTGGCCTCAGATGCTGTTTGTATGCTGAAGTTAATCTCTGGTTAAGGGTGTGTACCATTACTCTCATTAGTCTTTATACTGTACAAAAGAGCAAATAGCCTAAAAAGGTGGTGCAGCTGACGTACCCTTGTACCAAGTGATTGTAGGTTTGGGTACTCCAGTCGCTTTGCAGGCCAACTTAACTGTCTGTCCCAGCTCTGCTGTGCAGTTTGCCAGAATTTCATCAAAGTCAGGAGGACCTGTAAAAGGATATTATTATGTTTAGGTTATTAAAGGTTAAGTGTAAAAATATTAAAATACATTCTGATTGATAAAAGAGAGAATAAGATACAGAAAAAGTTGTTTGTTCCACTCACTCCATGCAGGCATGCTGTATCGCTGCTGCAGTTCTCTGAGGTCTCTCAGCCATGAATTCTTGATGGTAACAGTTCGGGCCTGCAAGGTGTACTTCCTCACAGAGTCCTCACGTTCGTGCCAGATCTCAAAGGCACGGTCGTCACCCTCCACTGTCTCATTCACATCAATGTTATTCAACTGCAACAAGATGAAGAATACAGAAAAGACCATTTAGGCTGCAGATCAGGACAGTGAAGAAAAAAATGTTAAAAAGAAAAAATAAGGTGTTATATTAAAAGTCTTGCCTTCATCATGTTCTTAAAGACATAAGCTTGTGTATCAGTGTTGCTGTCTCTCTTGGGTTTGCAGATTATACAGTAGTTCTTAAACAGGAAGACATGGCGGTGGTGACCTCTAGAGGATGTCCTAATTCCTGGAGCTCCTTCCCACACTTGGAAGGGTCCCTGGTTTCAAAACAAAAAATAAATAAATCAACATACATAAACAATCAAACAAAGCCTCTAATCACTGTACTAATCAGGTATGCCACAGTAACTCCACCTACCTGTCTAATTGGCTCTCCTAAAACTTCCAGCGTGGCAGGATAGTTCTCGATCATGGAGACATGGTGTGTATTCTCAGAGCGCTGTGGGAGTGCAGACACCATGGCGTACGCTTCTTCCAGTAGGCAGCAGTTCTGGCCATTTCTTGCCTTGTTTCGAATGAGCTCCTGAAGATGGCGGAGAAGAGATTTAGGGATAAAACTGCTGTAGATATGCAAGTGATCCAAGTTTGTGCATATAAAGCGGTCACCTTGAGGATGGCCTTGTACTTCTGAATCCTGTCCAGCGGTTGTTGGAGGCAGGCGTTGATGCTGCGTACAGGGGGATCTCCAGGGTCTGCAGTGGCTTGCACTTTCTCAGTGTACTCCTACAATGTCATGAAAGGAACATTCTTAATTCTACAGTCAGCCTAATGGTGATGTATTTACAAGCTAGCAAGTACATAAAGTATAAGTATATAGTAATAAGATACCAAAGATATTACAGCTTTAACTAGGTGGGGAAAACAAATGACTTGCACAGTGCACAACCCACCCAGTGCAGCAATAACAGTTCTGGCGTTACCTTGAAGAAGCGGTGGACAGTCTTGTCACTGACTGCAGATTCAGCCTGACCCTGACCAACAAGATACTGGAGGTACTTCTCAAAGCCCTCTTTGCTCTTCAGGAAGCACATGGCTACATCATCATCTGTGTCACAGTCGTTCAATTTTGGGAGGAATGCCCTAAAAACAATAATTGTGGGAAAGTGAATGCACTGCAAATCTTTTAGGACATTTTTCAGAAAGGAGAATCTTCTCCGGGTGTGGAAAACAGATGTTCTTTAACTTCTTTGTTAAAATATCTGACTAAAATGGCAAGTCATCAAGAGGTGAGCTCACTTGCAATGGAAGGACTTGATGTCATCGATGTTCCTGAATATGGTGTCCTTCTGGCTGCTGACATCAGGTGGAGCATCAGGGCTGTCTGTATGCTTCATGTGATGGGTGGTAAAGAAGTCTACCTCTCTTACGAACTCTGATTCACCTTTTATCAGGTCTTGGATCAGTTGGCTAGGGACAAGAAATAGTAGGTTATGACACATCCTTTAGTTCCAGTATTTGCATGGTGAGTGTAGATGTACTTTACTTACAATAATTTCCTCTTGTATTCACCCTCGGACACTTCCTCTACACTTGTTTCTGGAAGATCACCCGTATCAGCAGAGAGCTGGAAGAATACATATTTTTACTATTACTTTTAAAATATTCAAAGGCCTCAAGAAAACAAATTAATACTGATGATAACATTTTAGATGGTATGTTGGTGGATGAGTATACTTTGAGTTTCTTGTCCAGGTAGGCAGGTGAGACCCAGCCTTGGCGAGATGGTGTAGTTTTGGTGGGTTTGGTCCGGACTAACCATTTGAGTGGATGAGCTGAGTCCAAAACCTCAACATACTGTCCCTCCTTTAGAGAGATGGATTCTTTGCTTGCTATGGTGGGGTTGTAGTCAGCCGTTGCCACATAGATGTCAAACATCTGTAAAAGGAAAAATAAAAAATGAAGCACACATATGGTTTCACAAAATGCTGTAATCACATTATATACATCCAGTATGTTGTAATGCTATTTATTCTTACATAATCTGTACCACAGAACTGAAAGTATTGTACAGCACTGCATCATATTGTGCAGGTGTCTCCGTTTTTATGTACCATTCAAGTGCTTACCAGATTAAATGTTTATGTTTATTTCCCCATATCTATGGCCAAGGCAAACACTGAGGTTTATGGTAAAACAGTTCTGGACATCAAAATATCACACTGAGAACTTTCATATCTCACCTCCCCCCTGGCATCCCCCTCATCAGACTCAGAGGAGGAGTCAGCAATGAGGGAGGGAGGACGAGAGCGACCGTGGTGAGGTGATGGAGAAGGGGTCTTGGTCTCGTCGTCACTGTCAGCACCTGGTACGCGTAATGAAGCTGGGGCAGCAATGACGGAGGGAGTAAGTCAGAGGAACACCGGTCAGTAGTGCAAAGAACTAGAGAATGTACCATTAAAATAAGCTATATTTTTAGCTTAGCACTGATATGTAACATAAAAACGTGATGTTCCAGCAAGGAAGGGATTATCATACTTTACTCAACATGAAAAGAAATCAGTTTTTGGCTTTAATATGGTAACAGTTATTAGTACCCACTCCTCCTAGTTTGTCAGAGCTGAGGTAGGACCAATCTCCTCAAAATCCCATTTCAAACAATAAGCCTAACTCTCTGCTGGCATCTACTGGTGCTTATTTACTTGGTAATGTTCCTCAAAGCATGTCATTTTAGATTTTACTCTTAAACAATAACATATGTTTTGAGAAAAGTCCACAACAATCATTTCATTCTAAATGCTTTGCTATGACTATGTTAGTATTAGGACAACATGCAAGAAAAGCTACAGTACAGATAACAGTTATTATCTGAGCTCTCCATATACATGTCTGTCTGTGGGCATGTATTCCAGCTATAATTTGGTGAAACAAATTTCAAACTCATTTTGAAACCCATTTGAAAAAAAAGGGCAGATGAAGCATAAGGAGTTTATAAAGGAGAAAAAGACTTTTGAACTAGAGAAAACTGTTCTTACTCCACCATTATATATAATACATGTTTTTTTCTGTATGTAAAAGGAAATGTAAGTCAAAATTGCTTCCACAAGTCACCTTCTGAGTAATCTAATGCTACAAAATTACCTCAATGTAAAAATGGATATTAATTGTGAAGCTGATGCACTTGGGATACATACTGGTAGTTTTGGGCCAAGATTTCATCCACTGGAGCACTTCGTGATTCTGTAAGCTGTCTGAATAACAAATTCATGATTGGATGAGCATTTAATTGGTTGGGTTGCTAAACTGATGGATGTAAAAGTGGTAAATAAATTATGTCTATATGAAGCAATGAGAGGTTTTAAGTCATATACTCGTGCATAAAGCAAAAACATGCTGAAAAACAAGCACTAAAAAAGCAGGAAATGAACACTTCTTTGTCAAGTTTGGTGTGGACCTTAAATAGGAAATTTAATTCAAAATTAAGTGCTAAAACATTCACAAAATAACACTTTTACCATTCTTGAATAATCAGAATTAACTCACTAGAATCCAACCAAACCTGACTGGCATGTAACAAAACACAGAAGCACTGTATCCAACATGTGGATCCTTTTCATACGTTTGGCATCTTTAGCATAAGTGACAAGCAAAGCCATTCATTATTCAACTGCAGTATCAGTATACGACTATTCTGTATAACATAGCAAAGGATTTAATTCCAACCACAGACAACAACAGGTGATTTTAAGAGAAAGGGTCATCCTCTGGGTGAAGGCATGAAGGCACAACATTTAAATCACCAACCATATGTTATCTGGTCACAGTTAGCTTGCTGGATGTATGATGTCTAATTTCACACTGATTAAAACAATCTGTTAATCTATTTCATCACATCCTACCACCAGGGGTACCCCAGGTAGGGATATTAGTTGGACATGCAGATTGAGTGTTCACCGTTTATTCTAATCTACTACTGTCCTGATCACTAGATTTGAATGTGGTCAATTGCTAACATAATCATTGCTTTATCTTGGTTGAAACCAGACTTGAATATGTTACTTTAAGCTTGGTTTATAGAAACACTTAACAATTTAATCAACTGACATATTCTAACATTGCTCAATATTTTTGCTATGAATTACTTTAAACTGTGAATACAATATAAACGGTCCATAACATAAACTTACCTTGGGTAAACTTTGCTGATACCATTTCAGTGATCTGCGAGGTGAGTTTCATAAGGAATTCCTCTGTGCCTACTTCACCTAAGTAGGGCATTTTACCCTCTTATGGCACACAAAAATAGGAGAGAACACACATTTATGTTACTATAAATATAGACAATAATACATATATATATATATATATATATATATATATATATATATATATATATATATAAATAATATATGCCAGGTATAAGGTGATCTCTCACCTTTTCCCCGGCTAGCCTCCTCTTCTGGAGGACTAACTGTAATCCCAAGAACCCTGAGGAAAATTAAATATTAAATCACATTTTCATATATTTGCATGTATTCAAAATGTACTGTACACTCATCTTTTTTTTAATTTGCAATGCTACTATGAATCTCAAATCTAAAAGAAAAACTTACTCTGAGGGTTTGGACTCTCTCTTTGGTTGTGGTGCTAGGGGAAAGGGGGGAAACACATATATACAATTACAATAAAAGGTGGTAAGAGGTTTTCACTCTAGTTAGTGTTTATGAAGATACTCAAAGGTCAATATATTTTCTGTAAAAACCGCCTAGATGTCTTTGCTTTCCTTACTGTCATCAACCTCGAGGTGGGCAGTGCAGATGGACTGTCCTGCCCTATTTGTGGCAATACAGGTGTAGGCGCCAGTGTATTCTGTGCCCACGTCCATCAAGATGAGACTGTGCTGGCGCCCTGAGCTTGCTATTTTGTATCCCTTGGTATCAGGCTTGATCCACAGGACATCTTCCATTGATTCCTCCTTTAGCCAGGAGACCATGGGAGTTGGAGATCCTTAAAAAGTAAAGGGGAGGATTGAGAGTTTTTAACACAAGATAAAACACACATGGATTAGGATGTCCCCAGGTTACTGTAGGTGTAACGGATGTTAAAATCACAAACCTTCTACTTTTACAGACAGAGTGATGCTGGCTCCTTGTTTCACCTTCCTGTTGCTGAACCTTTCAATGAAGCGGGGTGGCACCAGGGGCTCTTTGGGGTCTGTGAAGACATGGCGTAAAACAAAAGCATAGTCACTTATAATATACTATTTTATAAACTAAAGTAGTTAGTGGTGCCAAGATTGGAGGATAAATATCAAATTACCGTGTTTATCTTGTGGCATAATCTCCCCAGGACCTGTTAAAGAAAAACACAGTTACTCTAAACATCTTGACTGCAAGTTATAATCTTAAAAAAAACGTGAAATACAGTTTTTCAGGCTTTTTTGTTAAGGCGACTATTCAGGCGTTTACATACTCAGAACTATCAGTCGGGCAGAGGAGTAAGCAGAACCAGCCACATTGCTGATGTAAGCAGAGTACTCCCCCATATCCTCTCTCTTCACCTCCAGGATCTCCAAGCTATGAACATCTCTCTTTGATAGCAACATAATCCTTTCTGAAGGTCGCAGAGGCTGGCTATCCTTGAACCAGTAAACTCTGGGTTTGGGGAAGCCTGGGTAGACAAAAGGGACTTCAGTAACAACATTTTCCATAGGCAACTGTCTGTGTCTTTACTTCATTTATACGACTGTTACAATAAGCTGTTATTTGGTTGCCTCAGATGAATTGCCTATAAATATTGCTTAATAAACTTACCCTTTAGTCTGAGCTGCATCTTAGCAATTGGTGCACCTGGACTGACATGAACATCATGAAGCTCCTCCACAACTTGTGGCAGCTGATCATCTTCAGCTACAGACTCAAATGTCTCTGTTTCCCTGCTCAAGGAGAACAGAACAGTACACCTCACAAATTCAGTATTTATTTATATTATGAAAGATATTTATCAATATTTTGTACCATGTAACAGTAAAATCACCTGGACATGTAGCCCTTGGCACTGACATAGGAAGATGTCTCAGTGGCATCAGCGGCAGTGTCATAATCGGAGCTGCAAGACACTGATAGAAAAGATTGATGTACATTATACATGAAATCAGGGACAATTTGTGTGTCAATGTGTGCTTGCATACTTTCTCAATGTGAGGACATTTTGTCCAGTCCACATTTTTTAAGATACTTTAGGATTAGGATTTTGTTTCAGGTTAAAAAGTTTAAGGTTTAAGATGGTTACGGGTTAAAGTAAAATGCAGATGTTAGATACTCTTAAACTGTTATATAACATCAACTAGGTATGTTAACTCTAAATGTAATGAAAAGGTAATATTTTGGTGGCTCTCATTTCTGTGAAATCAGTACTTCAGCGTGCCTGCACCCAGATGTTGGTTTAATGTGTAGCGGAAAAGAGAAAAAGATATGGCTTTGCCAGGCAAAAACTTGACTCACTGTCAACTCTGAGTTCAGCCTTAGTAGCTGCAATGCCGCTGGTGTTTTCAGCTGTGCAACGATAGACGCCCATGTCAGTGGGCAGCACAGTGGTAATGATGAGTTGGTGGCAGCCTTCCTGGTCTTCATTGATCATGTAATGGTCATTCTCCTCCAGCAGTTTTCCATCCTTATACCAGCGAACAGTGGGAGGGGGCTTGCCAATCACAACACAGTCAAAGCTGACTGGATAACCGTCTGGAACATCCTGACTTTGTAGTTCTGTCAAGAAGACTGGGGCAGCTGGATAACAAATATTCAGAAAACCCAAAAGTTTAAAATTACAACACACATAAAATCACACACAATTGTAAGCACACAACAGGGCAGAAAGTTGATGTTATTTGATATATTATCACTTTTATTTGCAAAAATATACATGATATTGTCACAATGATTATATTAACAGATTTAGAAAGTGTATCAAAAATGCTATAATAATCCTTACAGAGAGATCATACGTTTCTTACCCGGGGCTCCAGCAATCAGTACAGAAGGCTGTCTATCTTGTGTGGGGGTCTCCGTGCCATCTTGCGTGTAGCCCATCTTTCTAATTCGCAGCTCCACTTTGAGATGGCCTGCCTCCATGATGGTGGTCTCCACGGGAACCCCATGGACTGTAAACATCTCCTGGAACCTCTTTGAGGCAACCTCGGCCTCCTTCCGTGAATCAAAGCGAATGTAGATGTAATTGTCATCCTCCCGGTAAGAGTGGGGATCTGGGGGACGCATGTCTCCTTCATCTGCGCTGACAAATGATTCTTCCTCAACATCTGGTGGAAGACGTGTGCGAAGAAGGCGCCGGAGACGTCTGCTTGCCTGCCTCAGTGACTCATCCATCTCACTACCTGAGGAGCTCTCGGGCTCGCTGTCGGCGCTGTAGCCCACAGTCAGTGGCCGTCGCCCGGACGATTCTCTCGCCGTTCCTACTGTGACCTTACCACTGTGAGAAGACACTCCATACTTGTTGGTGACCTCACAAGTGTAAACCCCAGTATCCTTTGTTGTGATGGCAGTGATGACCAGTGAGCAGGTACCATCATTGTAGATATCAATATGGTGGTGCTTTCCATCCGTCAGTGGTTCTCCATCCTTCAGCCACAGCACCTTATCAGGTTTACCTTCTGCCACACATTCTAGATGTATGGTGCCATTAGGTTCCTTGGTCTGGTCTTTATAGACCTCTTTAAAGACAGGGCGCATGTCCTTGCGGGCTTTGTAGCCCTTGAAGGCAGCTTGAATCTTAATGGCAGCCTCTCTAAGCTCAGGCTCATCCTCTTTACTGATCTCCATAGTCTCCTCTGTAGACACCTGTTTTACATCCGTCTTCTGAATTGTGGTTGTTTGCACTTCAGTCACTGTTTTCTCCTCTGCCATCTGGAAATGCGCAAAGAACCTCTCAGCACTCAGAGTCTCTGACTCATTGGTCACTGTGACAGCAGACTTGCTGCTCTTCTTGAGGTAGGACACAAGTGTTGGACCCCCAGAAACAGACTCATCCTCAGAGCTGGTGCACAAGTTGGACTCTGTCTGCTTCTTAGACACGATGGTCTGCTCCTTCTCTCCTGATTTTGTTTCCACTTTCTCTGACACCTTCACGTCTGTCTGTTCTGACTTCTTTTGACCACCTTTGCCGTCCTCCTCGGGTTGTTCAGAGATGGAGTCCAGAGTGGGCTCTCGACTCATGCGGCGTTTCTTGGCCGATTCCTCCCACAGCTCATGCACATCACCTTCTTCAGCAGCTTCTGGAGGCAGACTGGGCTGCCCCAGTATCTCAGTCTCTACCTGTTTAGCCTCTGCATCTATAACCACAATGGAGTTTTCAATGTTACTATGTTGTTTTAAAAAGTTAGTCTGTACACTCACAGCACAAAACCTACTTAACAGTAACTGATGCTATGCTAATTAAACCTGTACTTAATCCAACTAAGCATTACAGACATTCCTAAAGGCTTCAAATGCAGTTTGAGAAGGATACATATGCAGAGGAGTATAACCACAGAAGAACAAACAATGTCTTACCTGGGCATGTTTGTGGCTTTGCGGCTGTCTCTGTTTAACAATGATGAAACAAACACACATATTACATATCAGTTTAGAAAACATTTAAATGTCTCTATACTGCTATTATCATTGTAATATTATATTGTAAACAATGCAAATTTGTAGAGCTGTCTATATATGACAATAAAATACATAATAATTCTACAATTTTAAATAACTAATAGCACTACAAACAGCAGTACCAGGGACTTTCTGACAAGGGCTTTGATCTCATATCTCCAGTTCATGTAAAAAGGCAATAATGAGCAAAATACCCTGGCAAGCAAATAAACCCAAGTACACTATTTGATGAACTAAACCACACATCCACTCACCAAGCTGTACAGTCTGAGGCAACTCAACAGGCTCTCCAATCCCAGCTCTGTTGATAGCTGCCACTCTAAACCTGTAGCCACCGCCTGGGGTAAGATTTTCGACCACAAAATCTGTGTTGCAAACAGGTTCAGAATGACATGGAAGCCAGAGGGCACTGTCCACCAGCCGCATCTCCACCTTGTAGCCCAGAATGGGACTCCCTCCGTCATGTAGAGGAGTGAACCAAGAGAGGGCGACAGACTGTGTAGTCTTACTGAGGACCTCTGGGTCCTCTGGAGGATCAGGTACAGCTGTTGGTATGGATAAAAGCAGGGGTTCAATGCTTTTAATGCTATATTTAATCTACACAGATTGTAATGTTTATCTGTTGTACTGTTTTATACAGTATCAAGACTATCTCTCCATTCTGTTACATGTAGAGTTGCCATGCGTAGTAGTAGTTGGAGATTCTATTAACTTAGAGGATTTGTGTAACTCTCTCTCTTCTCTACGTAGAACCTTTAACATTTGAAATCTAAAAAATGAATTCTCATGATGCAAAAAGTGAAATACTAGAAACACTTTTTTGTCAAACACTTACTGATGATGGTGAGCTTGGCCAAAGAGAGAGCATCTCTAGCAGCAAATGTAATTTCCTGCTGTGGCATAAGAGGTGCCTGTCTCAGGACCAGGCGATAAGAACAGCCATCAATCCTCATAGCCCAGAGGTCACTGGCCTTGAGCTCAACGCCATTAGCATACCAGGCTACTTCTGTCGCAGGGACGGGCTCGGTGAGCTCAACACAAAACTCAACCTTATCTCCCACTGCAGCCACCTTGTCCTCCAGACCCTTCACAACATCCAGCTGCCAACCTTATGAGAGAAAATCCACAGAATGAAATGTAAAACTTTGTATATTTCAGGCAAGATGATGCTATAAATACACCTTCCCCTAAGTCTTGTGGTGTTCACTTGGATGACTGACCTTTGACAGAGAGTTGGGCAGATGTGGATGCTGTGCCAGCTTTGAAGGTCACTGTGCAACTGTCTTTAATGCGCAACTCTTTCAGCAGGAGCAGGTGACGACGACCACTCTCAAATGTCACAATCTCAGCATTGGGGGTTTCCTTCACAGGTTTCCCATCAAGAAGCCAGTGGCAATCTTTGCTCTCAGGACGAGAAAGGGCGCACTCAAACAGCGCTTCACCTCCATCGAAGGTCTCTGCATTCTCCAGTCCCTGGACTATGTCAATGGGTTTGGCTGTAGAAAACAAATGGAAAAATGAAGAAAGAAAGAGAGCACAATCAAAGAAGATTTTCAATAGACTGCAATGATAAAGAAGTCAAATAAATTTGGGATTTGTCAACAAAGGGAACGGACTGTGTGATCAGCAAGTGATCAATGTATTTGGCTGTGAGACATGGGGGAGCAGAGGAGACTCCGTAAAAAGGTTGGTGCTCTTTCCATGTGGAGGGAAGCTCACCTTCCACATGAAGTGAAGCGACCACGCAAGTCCCCTGTGCTTCACAGGAGTATGAGCCTCTGTCCTCAGCGGACACACGGCTAATGTACAAGCGAGCCACATTCCAGTCCTGCTCCACTACCACCCTTCGGCCATCAGGCTGCAATGGCTGCCCGTCTTTCTTCCACTGAGCCTTGACAGGCCTTGAGTACTGGCAGATGAACTCGGCCGGTTGGTTTTCGACTACCCGTAGGTCCTCCATCTCGCTCACCACTTCAACTGTGGGATCTGAGGTTTGGATCAGGGGTCATAGTGTCAGGGCTTAGCCATTACATATAAGGATAAGAGCAGGACATGCCGAATGACATATGGGCTTTATAACCCCCAAAAGCATGTTGTGAGTGATACTATGTTTTTATGGATTGTCCCGTACAAATTATATATACTTTGTAAGTCTTAAAGCCTTTAAGTATATTTCAATGTCCACTGTGACCACGGTACTGTCCCATGTGACAAAATAAATAGGGGGGTCAAAAAGCCCAACTGCAAGGCTCCAGACGTGCTGGCAGCTGATGAGAAAGGAGGGGGTGATAAGTGGATAGAACTGCCACTAGTAGGTGAAGGAGGGTTAGAGGTTTTAGTGCTTGAGGGTTAGGGACAGGCCTTGGTGGGATGGGATAGGGGAGGTGAATGGAAGGTGAGTATTCAACAGCAGCCGGCCTTTATGGATGGGTGGAGCAGCACTTTCCTAACACAACATTTCTGTTGTGATTACTCAGTGGTTCACTAACTCTGTACAATAAAGCTTAGATAAAACCAAGCCTCCTGTATGGTATCCATTGAATGCAATCAACAAATTTGCATTACTCATCATTTACATTACCAAGAGACATGTAAACATAGGGCTGCACATTTAACCATATAATAATCACGATCATGCATTAAGGTTCTACCATTCAAATTCAACAGTGATACACCTGAAAATTTAACAGTGCATGTTCAGATGTATGTTTCTGGCATGTTGTGATTAACCAGTCTCTTCTTCCCAAACACAGTGGTAGCTTCACGCAATGGCACTTTCACTTCCACATAGTTAAAGGGAATTCCCGAAAACATTTTAATCAACTCCTTTTAAAAGATGATTCCAGTAACACTTCTACAGTGCCATCTGCTAGTGACAGAACTGGCACAATCATTCACTTGCACGGTCATTCACAATCCATGAATGTACCTCGGATGACACTTTAAGAAAAGACTCTCAGTTTTGGTGCAGTGTGTCTCCCATGTGTTTTTGACAGATTCTTTTTTGGATGGAAAGGCAGAGAGACGTCTGAATGGTGTGTAACGCAAGCTTGTAAGTAAGAGTTCATTTATCCAAACTAAAGGACACTGGTTCATATATACTGCACAGAAATCTGCAAAACTGCAGGGAGACATCAGAGACATCAGTGAACAAGCAGCAACACCCTGTTGTTGCTAGCCTCATCCTGGGGATGAATAAGACTTGATGAATGAAGACAACAAGAGAGTCCAGTGCAAAGTTTGAATGTGGACCGATCTGACTTTATGTCAGATTAGTTCTGCCTGGGATAAAAGCCTTCAATCTGTCAACAGGGAAAACAACAAATGCCAACAGACAACAGTTGAGGACTGTGTGTGTGTTTATGTACCCACAAGGTTTATAGCTGGCAATGAAGGAGTATGTCATTTTCTGGTCTTGCGTTGTTGGTAACAAATCTAGCAGAGCAGCCACCAATAGTAGCAGATTCTTGCCAATCACACAAAAGTACAGTCATAGTTGGTAAATGGTTGATGTGTATTTTAGGGGTACATTAAAATATATCGCTTATGCACTTATCCTTGAGGGTTGTACGGGGGCTGGACCCAATCCTAGATGGGCTACACCCTTGGACAGCTCACTAGTCACATGGCTGAAGTTCAAGAACTATAAAACCCCTTTGTTCCCAAAGATGGATGAATAGTTGAGATAAATAATCTCAAAAGTGAGAAACATAATCGTGATTATCATTGATTTATCATTTCAGCAGCCCAATATACAACACATAGGAAAGATTCAGAGATAATCCAAAAGAGGAGCAGAAATAAAATTAACCTAAATAATACTTTTGTATTAAATTAATTGATAATGGGTTTAGATGTTACTCTGCCCTAATCTAATAAAACTTTGCTGTGGTGCTACACCCAGTTGTATGTTTTGGTTGTAACAAAGCATACAGCATGGAGTTCTCTACCGCCATTATTATTATTATTGATGAAATTAGAAAACAATGCTGCTCATGCACGGTGAAGCACTGTAATGTAAAAATATCTACTAATCTACTCACGAACTGCAAACTTTTTAAGGAACCCTGCAGAAAACATCATAATACATGGTATATTTACTCTTACTCTTTAAGAATTGCACCCATTTTTTTGGTTTTTTTTGTTTGGACAATCTTTGAGTAATCAGTTGAAATTTGGTATGCATACTATTTTAAATCAAACTTATGCAGAATATGGCAATTAGTTACACTTTACAACAACACAAATTTGGATTTAAAATAAACTACAAATATTGTGTTTATAATTGAATTAAAATTCTGCAGGGTCTAAAAGGACTAAGATATTGCTTATCAGTCTCTACTGATTATCTTTATAACACGATACCTTTGACTAAGAGCTTGGCGGTTGATGTTAAGCTGCCAGTTTTGAACGTGACAGTGCCAGAGTCATCTGTAGCCAGGTTCTTTAAGGTGAGTGTGTAGATGTGGCCCTGGCTCAGCCCTATCTCACTACTGGGGCTGTTCTCCAGCAAGGTGCCATCCAGCCACCACTGCACCTTGCCAGGTGCCCTACCAGACAGCTGGCAGGAGAAGGTTGCCCATTCTCCAACAAAGACGTCAGTGGCCTTAAGACCACACACAATGAAGACTTCTTTCACTGTTGAGTGAAAAACACACATACACATGTACTGAGCCTCTGAGTTACTCGTTATCAGCACTATATCTACTCGACAGAGCAACATACAATACAAGACAGAAAGGACAGAACATCATGCATCATCACAGTTTACAAAGACGTAGGCAGTCCTAAAAAAAAACCCTACTATTCTATTTGTAAAAATAAATTGTAGAATACAGTCAGAATCAAACTAATTAGCCTTAACTAAACGGACGCAACAGTATTGAGATTGGCTACCTTGCACTGCCAAAGAAGCTGTAGTCAGCTGGTCTCCTGCATCACACGTGTAGTAGCCACTGTCTTCAGGCTCCAGGTTCCGCATACAGAGCTCGTGAATGCACCCTTCCTGCCTCATCTCATACTTCTTACCGGGCTGGAGGACCATGCCTCCTTTCCTCCACTCAACGCGAACACCTGGCTTAGACATCTCACAGCGAAGAGTAATATCATCACACTCTATGGCGTCCTGGTTCTTGAGCTCTTTGCGGAAAAACACTGGAGCACCTGGTGAGAATTTAAAATGGGAAAGTTTGGCATCAGATGTTGAGATGGAACGTTTGCCATCAAATAGTTGAGATGACAAGACAAACATCTCTGAAGGGACTTTAGATAAAACTTTTGCTGATGCACAATGATGCCAGACTGGGTGTATGGTTGCGGGAAGTGGAAGTTCAAGAATATTTCAGCTGTTCATTTCAATCATATCTTGCTCCACATTCTTGAATGTGATCGAGGTGAATGGGAACTTTTTGTTTTTTTTAGAGGTGGCATCTGTCTTTACCTTCCACAGTCAAGGAGACATCACACTGTGCATCTCCAGTGTTACAGGTGTACGTTCCTGAGTCATCAGGCACCAGGTTGTGGATACGAAGCTGGTGGAATGTTCCGTTCTTCTTCAGGTCATACTTGAGACCTGCTTGGATGACCACGTTGTTTCTGGTCCAGGTAACAGTTGCCTTGGGGTCAGAGATGGTGCAGGCCAGAGTGACAGTTTCACCCTCTAATGCCAAAGTGTTGTGTGGCTTCTCTAGTATTAGCACTGTAGATATGGGAAACCCAAAACTAGATTTAATAATGGTAGCATTTATATGCAGGCTTTTCCTTTTCCCTTCCTTCACAACCCTTGCATAAATAATTAATAAAGCTACAAACATAAAAACATGCATGCATGCAGTGACTATTACTATGCTAACACAAACTTTACAGCATAGTGATAAAAGATCTGATAACTTCATCAGAAATATACTGATTTCAATTTTGTAAAAAGAAACAAAGCTATCAATCAGTAAAATTTAAAATGAGTGCTGAAAGCAATCCATCTTCAAGAAAATACTCTACAAATTAGAGTGTTAAGTAGTTTATCTCCTTTCGTAGCAATATTTGTGTTAGCTAAATGCAACGAATGGAAAACGTTAGGATGGTGAAGATGATGGTGCCAGCAGATTTCCATTTGCCAAGACAAAGCTGATGGTCGATGGAAATGGATGTAAGGAGTAAAAATCTCTAGTGACCATGTTATCTCCTTTACCTTTGGGTTTCTCCTCCACCAGGAGACAAGCCACAGTCTTCTCTTCTCCCACTACAAAGGCAACATCCCCTGATTCATCTGTGGTCACCATCTTCAGGACCAAACGGTGCACTCTGCCCTGGCTGCTCATTTGATTCAGATCGTTATTTTGGAGGATGTTGTCCCCAAGCCACCATTCCCCGTTTGTCACGCCAGAGTGTGACAGCTCAACCTCAAAGACAGCATCCTGCCCAGTGATCACAGTAATATCGCAGAGTTCTCGTAGGATGCTCACATGCTCTGAGGGTGAATGGGATGATGGGAGGTCAGTGATCAGATCTCAGCAGAATTTCCAGAAGGCATCAGTAAGAAGGTGACCAAGAATCTAATTTACTTACTTAATAAGTAAAGTTTGACAACTGGCAACTTCAGTAGTACTCGATTTTACAGAAAAACTCAACTGTACCAAATACTAGAAATTGCACAAACCTCCGTTAAAGTCCATTCACTGTATCTGTAAGGTGATGACCCACAAAAATATCAAGGCAAATATAGTAGAATGAGTAGCATCAGATAATTATGTAAAACTCAAACTACATGCCAACTAAGACATCACACTTATAACTCAAGGACTATGAAATCCGAGAGACATAGATGCTGAGTAGAAGATATGATCCAGTGCTTGTTAATGGGAGGGATGTGTAAAATGAACTTCAGGAACGATGAAGACAAGAGGAGACAAGAGAACATAGATGAGATGAAGATGTGCTCTGTTACCTTTCACAGTCAGGGTAGCAGTGCTTCTCTTGTCCCCTGTATCGCAGATATATTCTCCACTATCCTTCACATTCACGTTGTGTATGATCAGGATGTGGGTGGTGGCATTCTGCTCCATACTGTACTTTTCCCCATGGATGAGCACAGTTGAGCCCTTCAGCCAGGTCACCTTGCAGTCGGGGTTGGATGTCTCGCAGGACAGGGTGGCCTTGTCTCCCTCAATGGCCTCTTGACTCTCCAGCTCCTTCTTGAACAGCACAGGTGTGGCTGCCAGAAAGACCATTATTAATTAGGATTAATTATTTTAACAATTTCTAAGGTAAACACGGCCACCACAAAACACAAATGTACTCATAAGCAACATTAATACTCACAATTCTACCAATTCCATACCATCAACACGCTTAAACCAGAGCATGAAAATAATTGTTAAGTCACTGGTTTATCTACCACAAGTTTGTGGTTAAAGACTTATAGACTGAATCAGAAATCCAGCCACAAATTAAGCTATTGTAATATGGTGAATCACTAAATAACCATGCCATACATAATGTGTGAGCACCATAAAACAACACAGAAGATTCAAGAGTGCTAAGACAAAATACAAATACTAAAAATGCTTTTGTTTATTTTTGTGGGGATGTTTTCCTTTAGAGGTGACAGGACATGAAGGAGGAGTTATTGGGGGTGACATGCAACACAAGTATCCTGGCAGGACTCGAACCTGGGACATTGACAACATCCATCAGTGTCTTACACCACTAGGTCACCACAACAATACAGAAATTCAATAAATGAACAACAGGAGTTTAGTTTGCGTGCAGAAAACTTGCTGTAAACAAGAATTACAAGAAAGCATATTGATCAACATAACCAATATGTAATTTGAATACCAAATTGAAATGTAAAAGTGAAATATGGTCAGTTCGATGGAAAGAGGAGTGAACATGCACACTGTAGAAATGTGACGGAAAATGAAGTAAAGTGCAGATTTTATACAAATACAAACAAAGTCAGTATAAAGTGGAAAGATAAAATAAAAAAGGAGCCTTAGGAAAACACAAGCATCCATCTTCTGTGATGATCTTAAAGAACAACGGAAAGTGTCCCACAAGGAAGATGATAAAGACAAATGATATATGAAGTTCAAATGTTACTTTACTGTATTTATTCTCATCCCAAGAAATAAAATGCATATTCCCCTTACCTCTGACTGTCAGAGAAGCAGTGGAAGTGTGGTTACCCACTGTGAAAGTGACTGTCCCTGAGTCAGCTGTGGTGACGCCTCTGAGTGTGAGGCTGTGTACACGGCCTTCGGCGTTAATCAGGTTCATTTCATTATTCTGTAGAGGGACGTCCTGGAGTTTCCACTGGGCCAGAGGTGCCTCCTCGTGAGAGACCAGACATTCAAAGCGGACGTCTTCACCCTCGTAAACAACGCAGCTCTCCAAGAATTTCAGTATGTTAACCTCGACCTCTGTTTGACAAATACATTTCAGCAGAATAGTTAAATATTTGTCTGAAGTGAGCACGTGCTTGGCAAAGATATAATTCAAGGTGTGATTAAATATATAAAGATTCATGATGAGCTGTTATTGTGAGTATCAAGTGAAGAAAAACAATAAAGGGTGTTAATGTTAATGTTTGTGAAGAAAGACCAGAGATGGGCACAAAAGATGAGATGAGATCGGTGATCAAACTCAACAGAAATTTGTTTGTGTGAATAACTACAAGTGCTTTGAAAACAGTGAACAGCAAAACAAGAACACACGTGGGATGAGAAACAACACTTGAACATCTATATGCCGGCAAGAAGAGAGCAAACAGGCTCTTCAGATGAAAGATCGCCATGCTCAAGTGGTGGAGTGATGTGGGACACGCAGAAAGAGGTGACTCCAGAGGGTGCATGAAAAGGTCTTAAATAGCCAGCTCCTACCCTGCACAATGAGGACAGCTGAAGTCCTCTGGCTGCCGGTATCACAGGAGTATTCTCCTGAGTCAGCTCTCTGCAGCTTATAGACAACAAGCTCCACAATGGTTCCTTCCTGTTTCAGGTGATACTTGCTGCTGGATACAAGCACCCTGTCGCCACACCTCCAGACCACAATAGCTCCCGGCTTTGTGGTCTCACAGCGAAAACTAGCGCTCTCCCCTGCCTGTCTTTCAAGGTTCTGCAGCTGGGTTTTGAAAAGCACAGGCTGGGCTATAGGAGAGGAAATTGAGGACATTTTAGGACGGCCAAGAGAAAACTGGCACAATTTAAAGCCCCGCTATACACATAAAACTGTTGTGTTGATTCAAAAAGTAAGTAGCAGAGGTAGAAGTGAGTACATACATTCCCTATTGATTATAGTCACTGATAGCTTAAGCATTATTAAAATGCCAGAAAAGGGAAGCCTCTTCTGTATTTTTGGTTTTCATCACATACCAATGATACACAATAATGTATAAACAACCAACATTAACTCAGATTATTTAAGATAAAATCTTATTTATTCTAACTATTTATATAGAAATAACTTATATTCAAGTTTATAAATTATCAAGCGTACCCTTCACAGCTAGCTGTGCAGTGCTTTGACAGTCACCACTGTCACATGTGTAACTCCCAGAATCCTCTGGGTCTACATCATGGATTACTAGTGTACCCAGGTGTCCTGCTTGTTTAATTTCATACTTGGCACAAGGACAAAGACCAAGTTCTCCTTTCCTCCACTCCAAAGGAACACCAGGTTTAGAAAGCTCACAGTGCAGGGTTACACTGTTCCCTTCATCAGCCATTTGGTTTTCAAGCTCTTTTGTGAAAATAACTGGGGCAGCTGATGAATGAAAGGAAATAACCAGATGTTTATCTACAGTAGTCAAGAATGGTGATGAAAAAGAAACAGTGAGATAAAGAAGAGGGAATTAAAAAATGAAAGGAAAGACTTGATGGCAGAAGACTGCAAAAGACTGTGACATGGTCTCCATCCTACCATTTACTACAAGAGAGGCCGAGCTTATTGTGTCCTCTGAACAGCACGAGTAGCTTCCTGTGTCTCCAGGTCTCAAATCGAAGATCTGTAACTTATAACTGAACCCCGTTTGTTGCATTTGGTACTTTTCTCCACAACTCAGGACTTGAGTTTCCTTCTTCCACTCTACGGGCAGTCCAGGTTTAGAAAACTCACAGTACAGAGTGACACTGCCTCCATCCTCAGCCTCCTGGCTCTCCAGGTCTTGAATGACTACGACTGGAAGAACTGGGAATTGAATCAATTAGATAAGATGTCGATGTGTACGGTTGTGACTTGCAGACTTTCAAATGAGACACTATGAAGACTACAGTATGCTCTGTCAGAAATATACTATTTTTTAACTTACCTGACTAAGCATTTGATAAAAACATATGGCTGCTTTTATGTACACACACATACACAAACATACAACAACACAAATGCCATTCTTCCATTCAATTCAAAACAGGGGGCCAGCAACGATTAATCAAGTCTGTTTAAATATAGCTCTTAATTATTCCTATCTTGAGACAACAGCAATCCAGCATACAGCAAATCTGGAATTCACGAATGAATACAAAGTGAGCAACAACAATAAGGACTGATGACAATCTCCTCATACAAAACTCCACATGGAAAACACAACACTACTGAGGGGAACAAACAGTGTGCAGGTTCCACAAAACATCTACCTTGTTCATTCACTTTGTTATCGATCTTTGTAGGCTCTGGCTTTGGTGTGACTTCAGACACAGCAGGCTTTTCAATCCCTGAAGGTGTAATTCATTTATTTAGACCTTAAACATCTACTGTAATAAACACAGAACACCAAAAATGACAAAAGATGTTGCCGATCTGATAAATCCTACAAAAAGCACGAACAGCAACAAAAACAACAGTGAGGCCCAACTAAATGCAAGTGCCAATACACAAACTTCAACTCATCTGCCGACAAGAACAAATAGGCCACAACTATTGACCCAGAACACAAACAACATGCTGAATACAAACAGAATTCTATTTGCACTCAATACAAACCGTTTTGTTGGAGTTTCTTAATAACACTGCCACATACCTTCAATTCCCTTTTTGGATTCCTGCTTCTCAAGTTCAACTTTGGGGGTCACTGCTGAAGCTGGTGCCTTCTCTGCTGTAACTGAAGTCATTTAAAGGCATATAATGTAGGTTTTAATTCAGCTGACATAAACTGGAAATGATCACCGACAGACTGAAGCAATGTGCCACACAGGTTTTAGAGCCACAATGTCCAAGACAGACTACACTGGATTTCTGTTTGTCTGAAACTGACGGTGACAAAAGCGCTTCACTTCATTTTTTAGATGATATATATATTCATGCCGTGTGCAACAAGAACAGCAGTATCTTAAAAAAACGTACAGACAATGACGCAGTGCAATAACGGAGAGACAGTTGAGCATTAAATATCAGTTATGGCCGAGCTATAATACAACATTCAATACAATTCAACATTTATACCATCTCTCCCTATATTCATACTGTGACATTCTGTGAACCTAACCATAAAACATTAAACATTAAATTCATTCTGTCAATTGCTTACCCCTTCCTGACAGTAGCACAAACAAGCCACAGCCAAACATACAACACGCTTGACACACCATAGAAAGTAAGAAACATCAGTAGAGATACAACACCTGAGAGTGGGATGTTGCAGCAGACAAGGAGGAAGCGCAAGGCCAATAAAGAGCTAGAAATCTTTGCATACCTTCTACTGGCTCTTTGCTCCCCTGCTTCTGTTTATCTTGTTTTGCAGCCTTTCCAGCAGCAGTGTTTTCAACTGGGATAAAACACAACATTAACCTCGCAATCTTACAGGGATGAGTTCTATAACCTGAGGACAACAGTTGACTAGAGCCAGTGAAGCACACATACACTGTTGCACAACTGTTTACAACTTGGCATAATGTCAAAAAATAAGGGAAACCATATCTGTGAGAACGCAATAAAATCAATAAAGCTAGAAGCAAAAACAACTAAAGCCTCTCTCTCCTCTCATAGATAAGTATCAATAATCCAACACACAGCAGGAACCCAACACAGTGCTGCCAAAGTGCCATAAACAACATCAAAAAGTTTGACATTCAACACAGAAGGAGTAAACAAAGCATTAAATTACAGGACAAAATACTGTACCAAATGGAACTGACAGAACATAAACACACAAGGGCTAACAAGAAAACAAAAACCACCTTCTTTATACATTTTAAACATTGACCAGGCAACATGACCTACTGCACAGACAGTAAATCCAAACTGAGATGCCTATTCCTTCCATATTTTCCAGTACTTCTTAGTTTTTCTACAAGCTTGAAATTGCATCTGGAATAAAACAAATGACGACCATGCTTACAGTGCTGACAGATGTCACATTGTCGGACAAAAGCCACGAAGAACACAAGTCTCATTACCTTCACCTCCAACTTTCAGCTCTTGTGACTCTCTCTGAATCTCCTGATTGAGGAGCTGCTGTTTAGGAGTCTGTCCAGTAGATGGCAGTGTCACAGCTATGAAATTGAACACAACATTGGGCCCACAATTTGAAATTGCCTTAGGATAGCACTTGAGACATGTCTCCATATCAATAAGTCAGCTTCCATGCAACAAAGTAAGCCAGAGACCACAGAAAAACACAGATATTGAGATTGAAACAAGGATTTTTTTCCCCTACAAGCCCAAAAAAGGGTGAAAAAAGCTACATTTACAAGAACGCAGGTGAAACAGTGCAGGTAATGTATAAAATATAAGATTGGGTAAGATTATTGAGTATTTATCCTTAAAGCAACTCCTGAAAGCAACAAGACACAATATGAACCAGCTCATGACCCAACAAGTTTCTGTTTGACAACACCAGTCAGCAGCCAAGACATGGAGTGCTTCTCACTTTTGGATTAACAAAGCAATGCATTGCACTCAATCATTACTTACAAATGCACATGGGCTAAATAGCCAAGCCAAGCTAAGAATCTTCAGAGAATTACCTTTCACTGTCTCATTTATCTCTTGCCTCTCGTGCTTGTCTTTAGCAGCCACAGACGGAGCTTCAGGTGTCTTTGCTGGATGCAAATATGATACGGAAATAGAAATGCTGCATATAAGTACACATGGCAGCAACCACTGACATTGCCAGCCCTGCAGTATTTAATATAAATATGAGATATGAATATCAGCACAGCCTATAACTTCACAAATTCTATAACATTCTGACTTCTCAAACCCCACAAATATGTAAAGCAAAAATGATGTGAAGGACAACGAATCATGCCACACACAAGTATGCAGATGTAAAATCCAGCCAACAACAGATATCATTCTCCATCAACATGTTACCAACACAACTGCCACAAATACAAGGGTTCTTATTTCTATTTCCTAAATAAGCTGGTTATGCTACATAATGTATACTGCAATATAACACTGAGAAAAAAGACCCACATAAAAAATACAAAACACAATCCCACTATTTGACACAGCAGAGGCAAACAAAACTGCAACGTAAAAAGTCTGGTAAACTAGAATGAAATAATGCTGCAAGAAAACATTTATCATAACCTATATAGGCCAAAATGTACAGGCCCAATTTAACGGGAGGCTGCACTTGTCTACACAAAGGCCATTATCAAGATGGACAGAGCACATAAAGCTGAGAGTCAAGCCAGCATATTGCCATCTTCCTTCCATACCTTCCGTTGTTTCTTTGGTCTCCTGCCTCTTAGATTCCAGTTTAGTAGCTGAAGGAGGAGCTGACAGCTTCACAGCTGAGAGGAAACAATTTCAATGCTGTTACACACTTGATCCTTTACTGCAATTTACCATAATAACAAAAAACTAAATATCACTTGACGAAATGGCTCATAGCTTGTAAATTAAAACAATTTCAGGAATGAGCAAGCACCACAAACCACAGTTGTAACAACAATACAACCTGAACAAATATCAATTGGATTGTCTGATTAAATAGACAATTTATGGACATGTATTGTCTATGGTCACCACTATTACTAATAAATACAAAAACATAACATACACAAAAGAGCAGCAAGCAAGGTCTGCTGAAAGGACAAACTGTGTTGTGTGAAAAAAGAGGATTCCTTTGTTTCTCAAATAGACATTAAAAAAAGAAAAAGTGAAAGAAGTGATGAAAAATCCTCTAAAGAAAAAAGAAAAATTCTAACTCTGTATCACAGCACAGAGCACACTGCAGAAAAGCAATCAGTCGAAGACATCCAACCTATTGATTCACCACATACAATGATAAGGATGCATTTCATGAATCTGATGTCCCACAAAGAATGCTGACATTTCATGAGCCAGCAAACAAACAACAAAAAACAAAGCGACAGCAACAGAAATATTATAGAAAAAGCAAGTGCTTCAATACAAGTGTTTCAGTCAAGACAAAATCAAATTGTAATAGAAATATTCTTCCTATCAATTCCACAAAAAGTTTTAAAGCAGTCAACGTGATTCAGTTTCTAAATTACCAAGACACATCTTATGCAATGTACAAATCTTCCTACCCTTGATCTTCAGGCTGGCTGTTGTCTTCTGGTCTCCACACACACAGCTGTAGTCTCCGCTGTCTTCTGGCAACACTTTGTTGATCAGGAGTTCATTCACAGAGGCCTTCTGCTTCATCTGGTACTTTTCTCCAGACTTCAGGATCTGTGTTCCCTTCTTCCACTCCACTGGAACTCCAGGTTTAGAGATCTCACAGCTCAGAGTAACGCTGGCTCCCTCCTCAGCTTCCTGGCTTTCCAACTTCTGTTTGAAGGTCACTGGTTGGGCTGAGCATTTATTAGTTGGTTAGTAACCAGGGGCATGCCATGATGTAAAACATAAAATGACATATAAACCAAAACAACAAACACTGAGAGGTTGCAATTGCCAATGACAGGCAGACCCTAAAACAAACATGGCTAAATGTGTACATATAAAAGGTTGCCTTCAACAATCCTCTCCCTACCCTTGATCTTCAGGCTGGCTGTTGTCTTCTGGTCTCCACACACACAGCTGTAGTCTCCGCTGTCTTCTGGCAACACTTTGTTGATCAGGAGTTCATTCACAGAGGCCTTCTGCTTCATCTGGTACTTTTCTCCAGACTTTAGGATCTGTGTTCCCTTCTTCCACTCCACTGGAACTCCAGGTTTAGAGATCTCACAGCACAGAGTAATGTCAGCTCCCTCTTCAGCTTCCTGGCTTTCCAGCTTCTGTTTAAAGGTCACTGGTTGGGCTGAGCATTTATCACTCGGTTAGCAGCCAGTCGCATACCATTACATAAAGCATTAATACATATATATATTGATTATACAAAAACACACACAACAGAAAAACTCTGACATTTTGCAATACATGGTGAAATGCGACTCCAAAACAAACATTTCTAAATACGAATAAATAAAACACAGTTCTATGTAATTTTTAAAAAAATGTTACTCAAACTGACTCCTTGAAAATCCTCTCCCTACCCTTGATCTTCAGGCTGGCTGTTGTCTTCTGGTCTCCACACACACAGCTGTAGTCTCCGCTGTCTTCTGGCAACACTTTGTTGATCAGGAGTTCATTCACAGAGGCCTTCTGCTTCATCTGGTACTTTTCTCCAGACTTCAGGACCTGTGTTCCCTTCTTCCACTCCACTGGAACTCCAGGTTTAGAGATCTCACAGCGCAGAGTAATGTCGGCTCCCTCTTCAGTCTCCTGGCTCTCCAGCTTCTGTTTGAAGGTCACTGGTTGGGCTGAGCATTTATTAGCTGGTTAGCATTCAGCGGCATGCCATTACATAAAACATATATATTTATATTATATATTGTATAATATATAATAATTATACAAGAACAATCACACAACAGAAAAACACTGACAATTTGCAATACAAGGTGAAAAGTGACTCCAAAAGAAACCTTTCTAAATACGCACAAATAAAAAGCTCTTCTATACAATTTTCTGTAAATGTTACTCAAGCCGACTCTTTGAAAATCCTCTCCCTACCCTTGATATTGAGGCTGGCTGTTGTCTTCTGGTCTCCACACACACAGCTGTAGTCTCCACTGTCTTCTGGCAACACTTTGTTGATCAGGAGTTCATTCACAGAGGCCTTCTGCTTCATCTGGTACTTTTCTCCAGACTTCAGGACCTGTGTTCCCTTCTTCCACTCCACTGGAACTCCAGGTTTAGAGATCTCACAGTGCAGAGTAACGCTGGCTCCCTCCTCCGCCTCCTGGCTTTCCAACTTCTGTTTGAAGGTCACTGGTTGGGCTGGGCATTTATCAATTGGTTAGCAGCCAGTCGCATACCATTACATAAAGCATTAATATATAAAACAAAAAAAACCAAAACAAAAAAAACACTGAACACAAACAAAGAAAAACACTGACAATTTCCAAAACATGATGACATTCAGACACCAAAACAAACACGTCTGCATATGTACATATAAAACGCAGTTCTACGTAATCTTTAAAAAATGTTACGCAAACTGACTCCTTGAAAATACTCTCCGTACCCTTAATATTGAGGCTGGCTGTTGTCTTCTGGTCTCCACACACACAGCTGTAGTCTCCACTGTCTTCTGGCAACACTTTCTCAATCAGGAGTTCATTCACAGAGGCCTTCTGCTTCATCTGGTACTTTTCTCCAGACTTCAGGACCTGTGTTCCCTTCTTCCACTCCACTGGAACTCCAGGTTTAGAGATCTCACAGCGCAGAGTAACGCTGGCTCCCTCCTCAGCTTCCTGGCTTTCCAACTTCTGTTTGAAGGTCACTGGTTGGGCTAAGCATTTGTCACTTGGTTAGCAACCAGTGGCATATCATTACATAAAGCATTAATATATATATGTATATATATATTAATTATACAAAAACACACACAAAAGAAAAACACTGCAATTTGCAATACATGGTGAAATGCGACTCCAAAACAAACATTTCTGAATATGCACAAATAAAAAGCTCTTTTATACAATTTCCTGAAAATATCACTCAAGCCGACTCTTTGAAAATCCTCTCCCTACCCTTGATCTTCAGGCTAGCTGTGGTCTTCTGGTCTCCACACACACAGCTGTAGTCTCCGCTGTCTTCTGGCAACACTTTGTTGATCAGGAGTTCATTCACAGAGGCCTTCTGCTTCATCTGGTACTTTTCTCCAGACTTCAGGATCTGTGTTCCCTTCTTCCACTCCACTGGAACTCCAGGTTTAGAGATCTCACAGCGCAGAGTAATGTCAGCTCCCTCTTCAGTCTCCTGGCTCTCCAGCTTCTGTTTGAAGGTCACTGGTTGGGCTGAGCATTTATTAGCTGGTTAGCATTCAGCGGCATGCCATTTAATAAAACATATATATTTATATTATATATTGTATAATATATAATAATTATACAAGAACAATCACACAACAGAAAAACACTGACAATTTGCAATACAAGGTGAAAAGCGACTCCAAAAGAAACCTTTCTAAATACGCACAAATAAAAAGCTCTTCTATACAATTTTCTGTAAATGTTACTCAAGCTGACTCTTTGAAAATCCTCTCCCTACCCTTGATATTGAGGCTGGCTGTTGTCTTCTGGTCTCCACACACACAGCTGTAGTCTCCACTGTCTTCTGGCAACACTTTGTTGATCAGGAGTTCATTCACAGAGGCCTTCTGCTTCATCTGGTACTTTTCTCCAGACTTCAGGATCTGTGTTCCCTTCTTCCACTCCACTGGAACTCCAGGTTCAGAGAGCTCACAGTGCAGAGTAATGTCGGCTCCCTCCTCAGCCTCCTGGCTTTCCAGCTTCTGTTTGAAGGTCGGCGGTAATGCTGTACAACCAGGTTTTCATTACTTGTCAAAATCAAGTGAAATAACTCGTTTAACAAAGGTCTTAACAAAACACGCTAAAGGCAACCGAAGTGAAACTCCTTCCGAAAATACAACATAAACACATAAAATCTATCCATACCATTGACTTTTACAGTTGCAGATGTCTTCTGGTCCCCACACACGCAAGAGTACTCTCCGCTATCTTCGACCTTCAAATTCTTAATATGAAGCTCGCAACAGATCTCCTTCTGCTTCATCTCATACTTCTCTCCAGCTTTGAGGATTTCAGAGCCTTTCTTCCACTGAACGTCAGCGCCAGATTTTGATAACGTGCAGCAAAGTGTCACAGCCTCCCCTTTGTTTTTCTCTTGGTTCTTGAGCTTCTCTTTGAAACTGGCAGGCAGGGCTAAAATAAAATGAACAATGACTTGATTATATAGAACAGGGAGTTGCATTTTGTTGGGTTGCGATGGAGGATGGGAAATGATTAGTCGTCCAGTTGTCCAACGTTAGCCATTGGAACCCAAAAATGATTCCAACACATGTTGACTGATGTTCCTTTTGATGAAGGTTTAGCTACAGGGCACTTTATATAAAAACAAAACACACTCCCAATACAATACAATGCTACAGAATGAAACTATTTTGAAATGCACAAAAGAAAGATTTGTTTATGCAGTGCGCAGTCCTTGCATAAAAAGCATTTGGAAACAGATCACTTTGAAATGTTTGCACATGCTGCTGGATGCCATTCGCAGTGTGTGGATGTGCAAACAGTCTCGAAATCATACAAACCCCAAGACAAAGATGACAGAACAGTGCAACAAAAGAGCAAAGTAGGTCCTACAGGGATACACTCACAATGCAAAATACTGAAAACAAAATTCTATTAGGAAAATGCAACAGATTTAGTAAAAATTAAACCAGATCTATGGTACTTCTGACAAATCTACACTATAAGTAGATTTGACTGACATGTCTGTTACCTTTGACAACAGCATACTTTCTGATTCCCAGCAACCACAGAGATGGTGCCCGAGTCGCTGGGAGTTAGCGCTCTTACAGTAAGAGAGTAGAAACCCCCCTCTAGAACGTGAATGTCATTGAGGGGGCTTGGCGGCAGCGGGGTATGATCTAAGCACCACTTTACACGAGGCAGATGAGTAGGACTGACACGGCAAACAAATGTAGCACATTCCCCTTCAAAACAGTTAACATCTTGTGGTTTTTCCACTATAACCACCAACTGGCCTTAAAAGCAAAACCAAACCAAAAAAATAGAAAGATAATCAGCTCTGCAAGACAAACACTTACCCAAACTTGTAAACATACATACATACATACTTAAGTTCTTACCATTGACTGTCACCTTTGCCATGCTCTTGGCAGTGCCCACGTCACAAGTGTAGATATCAGTGTCTTTCTCCTCCAGGTGCTTGATGGTGAGAATTAAGACCCCCTCCTTCTGGGACATCTCATATCGGCCTCCAGCCTTAAGCTCTGCGTGCCCTTTAAGCCATATAACAGTAGATGGGGTTTGTGCAGTCTCACAATTCAAGGTCACAGAACTCTTCTCCACGGCTTCACTGTCCTTCAGTGTTTTAGTGAATTTATGGATCGGCTCTGTAAAATGAAAATAACCTTGTTACACTTTTTAGGCACAGTATGAAATCATTGGATTAAGCTATGGGTTCATGAATTTAGATTATCCCATAACTGGTCCTATATTTAGTGAAGATATTGATTCTCTTTAATGCTCTTATGCTATCAAAGGTAAAACGCATAGTAGTGTTTTCAGTCTTACCTTTGATTTCAAGCTTGGCTTTGGTGGTTGCACCTCCAATAACTTCACAACTGTACTCTCCAGAGTCTTGAGCAGAGACATTGTGGATGATCAGCTTCATGACCTTGTCCTCTTGGCTAATATCATACTTCTGGCTCTTTTTGATGGCTCTGCTTTCCTTGGACCACTTTACGGTGGAACTAGCCTGTGTTACCTCACAGGTAAATACAGCATCTTCCCCTTGATCAACATTAACATTCTGTAGTCCCTTTGACACAGACAAAGCTTTGCCTGCAACAAGGAATGATAACACGTTTGTCTTAATTCCTTAATACCTTTTTTTTCTATGTCTAGCCCTCTTTAAAATTTAGCTTACCTTCAACTGTTAATGTTGTTTTGGAGCTCAAATCTTTAATGTTGAAGACCACCTCTCCAGCATCAGCAGGAGTGACATCCTTAATGGTGAGCATGTACTTGCGCCCTTTACTGGTGATTTTGAAGCGGCCTCCATTTGTAATAGTTTGGCCATTAAGAGTCCAGGAACACTCATCTGTGCTCTCACGAGATAAGATGCACTCAAAGGTACAAGACTCTCCCTCATTCACCTCAGCTGACTTCAGCCATTTGGTTATTCCAATGCCAATCTCTAAATTGGGACAGAGAGCACAAGTTTGTGAAGATGCCACACAATACCACATGTATGAAGGCTAACACTGTAAAACTCTGGTAATACCGGTACCAACCTCTTACAGTGACCTTTGCTTTAGAAACTTCAGTTCCAAGATCACAACTATACTCTCCAGCATCTTCTTTGGTGACATCCTTGATGATCAGCCCCAAAGACTTGCCTGTGTGAAGGAGCTCATACTTTGGTCCAGCCTTCAAGACTTTACCTTCTTTTCTCCATGTGGGAGAAACCCTGGGCTTGGACGCCTCACACGCCAGAGTTATCATGCCTTTCTCCTCTCCAATGACATCATCTAGAGACTTGAGGAAGACAGCACGTTTCTCTGGAGGGGCATTGAGAAAGTAAAGAATGGGAGACATATTATGTTCTCACCTTTTGGGTAGATCAGGTTAGGCCACATTACCAGAATTTATAAAGAGCTGATTTTAAGAGCAAATACTAATAAAGCTTCTAAGTATGGTAACGTCTGATTGCCTGCCTTAACCTATATTATTATTATCATATTCACACAGTAATTTTTTAGTGTGCTTGGAAATGTATTACCTTACCTTTAACCTTAAGTGTCACAGACTCTTTCACCTTGCGGACTTGAAAGGTGATAGTTCCCCCATCCTGAGGTGCTAAGTTCTTCAGTGTGAGCTTGTGAACCTTCCCCTCATGAGTGATGGTGTTGACTTCATTAGTGAAGAGCACCTTGTCATTCAGGAGCCACTGCACCTCTTCATCTGCATAGTTAATCTCGCTCGTGAAAACTGCATCGTTGTCTTCGTCTACCTCTGTGTTGGCTAAGTGCTTGGTGACCTTAATTTCACGTACTGGACAGAGGAAACACAACAGTTTTGGTTTAAAGACCTGCTGTAATTGCTTGTATTTTGTGTGGTATTCAAAGGTTCAACCCGTACCTTCAACAGTAAGTGTGCCTTTGGTCTTAGCAGGTCCAGACTGACAGCAGTACTCTCCACTATCTTCCTCAGTCAACCTTTGAATGGTGAGTTGAGCCCTTGTAGCATCTTGCTTCATGTTATATTTATCTGACGCTGCCAGAGGTACCTGTCCTTTGAACCAATTAACCTCTTTGGGTGTGGCAGAGAATTTGCAGCTAAGTATGGCAGAGCTTTTCTCCTTTGCCTTCACATCTTTGATGGGCTCTGCGACCTCAAGCGGACGCTCTAAACGTGAGGAACAGTATGCGATTAGACTCAGCTGTATGATGCTGGATATATTTACCTACAAAAGTATCACAGTACACAGGTTATTATGGCCAACTGCTGTATAGACGTGATTCAACACATTTACCTTTGACTGTAAGCTGGGCTAAAGATTTGCTCTTCCCAGCTGTAAACTGTACAGGTCCTGTCATTGATGCTTTGGTCTTTTTGAAAGTGAGACGGTGCATGGTGCCCTCTTTCTCCATTTCAACATCAGCACTCTCCTGCACAGCAACTCCATTCAGAGTCCATGTAGGAGGTTTCACCAGTTCCATACTGATTTCAACTTCAAAAACAGCGGCGAAGGGTTCTGTCACTTCTACAGAACTAAGCTCCCGCACAATGCTGATGGATTGCTCTGGAGGGGTCATGAAAAGAGAGTGGTTCAGTTAGAAGTCAATGATACAGTATGATTTCCTAAAATAAAAGTGATATTGATTTATAGTAAAGGACCATACCAATGGTTTGGTCTTTTTAGACACCCAGATCAAATTGCAAATCCCATATACTTACATTACTGCCTAACACTGCACTAGTGGTCAGAAATTAAGAAATGGCGTCCAATATTTTGCATGCTATAAAATTCATCTTGCTGAAACACATAACGTAAATAAACTAACTTAATAGAGATCCATTTGATTTATTCTGACAAGACACATACTGAGCGGGATACTTAAAAAAAAAAAATTAACTTCCTGATGGACAAACTATGTGGAGACACTGTTTCTAAATTACTTAGTTTTCTGTTCCCTGTATGTTTTGTCACTTATCAGCCAACATATAAACAGATATAGATACATGTGCAATAAGCTACTTTTGGAAATAATAATAGCAATAATAGTAATAATTATCCAAATTTGTAAAATAACAGTCCACATATGATTATTTCTAAACACACACTACTAACAATTTCCGGCATATCCTCAAATTCCCTCCCACCCCAATGTCAATTTTTTAAAACTGAAATATGAGAAAAAATTGTTTTTCTTATGGCATTTTGAATTCTCTTGGGCTATAGTTTATCTTTAATATTATCTATAGAAATATGCATTCAAAATTATATAATTGCCTTGAAATAAACAAAAACAATACATCATATAAAATTAAGACAAGTATAACACAATTACTGTACATACAGTAGAAATCAATCTTTTTTAGGATCTTTTAGGTTTAACTTAATGCCTCTAAACACTCACACATGTGTTTTCACCATTGGCAGACTGATCTCAATCTGTGTTTTGTTGCACTTGCTAGAGCAGGAATATGGCACACAATCTGACATAGTAGAAGAAGCAGAGGTTTTACTAAATTAATGATAGCTCCTTTCAGTCCCAGTGTCCCTGTAAGCCATGACAGTGACAGCATGCACAATGCCAGGACACCGAAACCGTAGCAGCTGAATGGAATTTAGCCATCACTGAATTTATTATTTACACCAGTACTTAATCTACTGTGACATGTCCAGATGTCTTCTGTGAAACGGCCTATTCTTTGTTCATGGACTCTGATGTAATGACCTGATGTATTTCCCTACAAAATTCAACCTGAGCAGAGGTCTGCTTAATCAGAATGACTGAAAACACTGTCACTTACTTCATCTGTAGTGGGAATTCAGTTTGGTTAATTTCTTTCATGCACAAATAATTTGAAATATTGATTACTATGTTAATTCATTTAGTAGGTCAGGCCAAGAAATAAATCAACATAATGATCCTATATTTCCCATTAGTACAATACTAATGGATAATAGATACATGTACACATGTCGATAGATAAATAAATAGACAGACATGAATATATAGACAGATACCTCATTGACTAGGAGTCTGATGGCTTGTTTTGTGTAAATACCTTTGTATGAACGTGTATTTGCACAATCCTATACATAAATGCCCTACAATTCATAAACCCTAAGCTTACAATCAATCGTTGTCATCTTCCATCATGTTACCTTCCACAAGTAGTTTACAGGATGTCTTGTCATCAGTGGCGTCACAGGTATACGTGTCCTCGTCACCCTCGTCCACGTCGTTGATGGTGAGTTTTCGATACACATCTTCACTTTTGATCTCATACTTCTTGCCAGGTTTGATCTCCGTCTTGTTCTTGAACCACTTCACCTTTGCACTGGCACGTGACACTTGGCATTCAAGATGACCGCGATGCTTATACATCGCTATCTTATCCCTGAGTCTCTTCACAAACTTGACAGGCAGCTCTACAGTAACAATAACACTGAATCAATGAAAACTATCACGTGTGGCACAAAGGAAGAATAAAGGCTACTAATGCCAAGGCCTTGCCAAAAGCCTTGCCTAAGCGCACAAAAGGACAGGCAGTGTTCATTATGGAATTACTGTATGTTACAGCCGAAGCAAATTGGGAAAATATATAATGGAATATTGTAACATTCCAACATTTTTTGCAAAAGCTAAAGCGGATAGCAAGAATATTGTAATGACACTTGCCATTTGTTGTTTATATATCAGTTGCTGTTTGATTGCAAACAGCAAACACTGACACAGAAACAAGAAAACATGTGCATGTTGATGCAACTTAGAGCAACTTAGAGCAACTAATGGTCAGCTGATAGCAAAGTATGCTATCTAATCTGTAACATAATTTGTTTTATTCTCATACTCCAAGAGATTTTCAATCATCAAATGATCCCAAAATGTCCATTGATGTCTTCTATATAGATTTCTCTATTCTCAAAACCCCTTAAAAATAATCCTAAACCTCATATAGTTGTTACTCCTTTGCCATCAGGCCTCAATGAGGCATAACAATGTACACTGCAAGTTGCAACTGGATTTTCTATCGCACCAATATTGTCAGAATGATGTACTGTGTTTACTCCCTCAGGAAGATGGCATTTCATCTAACTTTAGTGTGGCCTTTTTCATTTGGCTCACTAAAGCAGTTGAAATGTTGAAGTTACTTTATAAAATGATCCAGGAGTTCTGTATAGGATAATAATAATACGTTTACAGAAGTCTAATAGTGTATAATTTCAAGGGAAAATAAGGTTTAACGTGCAGTATTTATTTATTTGCAACTTTCTAAAAGCTTTTGTCATAATGAATAGAAATAATCCATTTGCAACCACATCTGAACATTGTAACATAATGGTTAGCTAATCCATGCAACAATCTACAGAATATAATGTTATGTGATTTCAGCACATAACACACACTCTTTTACCTTTCACTTTAAGCTTTGCAGTTGAAGAGGCCTTCTCAGCTGTGAATTTAATATCACCCATATCTTCTGGGGAAACAGACTTAAACAGCAGTACATAGGTTTTGCCTGGAATGAGAAATAGACAGCTAGTAGCAGTTAGCGAAAAATCATTATTCAGGTAAATCCTGTAACACATGATATGAATATACAGGTAGCTGAATCACACTGGTTTGCTAATCTCTCGAGATATTACCCTCTTGTCTCATCTTGATGTTGTCACTGACTTTGACTTTGGTACTTCCTTTGTACCACTGACAGTCCACTTCATCATGTGAGATTTCGCAGACAAATGCAGCACTCTCCTTCTCCATCACCTCCACATCTTCCAACTTCTTAATAATCTTTATATCTCTGGCTGCAGGGAGAATATTTTTAAGATGTTTCTATATACTGGAAAATTTTATAATTAAATAATGGTTGATTTGTGTGCATTATAACGTGACTGACAATTACCATGAATGGTGAGCTTAGCAGAAGTGTTGTCATCAGTCGTGCGACAGATGTAAGTGCCTGCATCTTCAGGGGTGCATTTGTTGATTACCAAAGTGCGCTTTCGACCCAAAGAATGGATGCCAAAGTTCTTTCCTGGTTTCAGTTCCACATCATCCTGCAGATAAATCATTTTGTTAAAATATTACATTGTATTTTACACTTTTTAATCAATCTGAAAACAATTATTCCAATAATAGTTTCTCACCTTAAACCATTTAACATCTGCATTTGTTCTGGAAACTTCACATTCAAAAGTAACCTTCTCCTTCTCAGGAACACTAATATCCAAAATGGGCTTGGAGATCATAGCAGGAGGTTCTGTAGAAGTAGTAAAAATGTGACTAGACTATGACTCTTAAGGCGGAATGGGTGCAAACAGATAGAGGTTTGGTCGGGCAAGACCCTAACAACTGAAAGCAGCCCTTACCTGTTACAATCAGTTTGCCAGAAACATGTACTCCTTCTGCTTGGAAGGCAATAGTTCCTGCATCCTCCCTCTTGAGATGGGACAATGTTAGGGCATGTTTCTTTCCCAACGCTGTGATACGGCAGTTTGCCCCTGCCTTTAACTTGGCCCCATCCCTGGTCCAGGAGCCCTCGACATCAGCCTGGCTGAGCTCTACCTCCAGGGTAACTGTCTCTGTCTCATGTGCCTTGGTTTCTTTTAGGCCCTTTATTACCTGGATCTTCTTCACTAAAGGGAGGAAGAGGAAATGTTTGAGTTTTAAAATGCAGGCAAGGTTTCCTAGCTTGTATCTTGTCATTTATATCAAATACACATTACTAGAGAATGACATTTTCTTTCTGGCGTTTAGATATGTCCTTAAATACTGTATTTTGTTTTTTAACAATATCACTGTAGATCAGTCTTACTCTCTACGGTGAGTTTGGCCTGGGTTTTGTCATCAAGAGTTTCACAGGAGTAGATGCCCCGGTCAGCATGAGTCACACTCTTGAAGACCAGAGCCTGCTTAGCTCCATCCACCCGAATCCCCATGTTTCCTGCAGGCTGCAGGACTACGCTGTTCTTCATCCACCTCACTTCGTCTGATGGCTTACTTAGCTCAACTTCCAGCTTCACTTCACTCTGCTCCTCCACTGTCAGGTTTTCTAGCTTTTTCTTAAATGTCACAGGCTCATCTAATTAAAAGAAGTGTCAAAGTTAAGGAGGAAATTCAATTATTTAACATACTTAAAGCTGATATTTTAACAAAAAATGCATTATCTTACGTTGCACTTGTAGGGTAGCTTTGCAGCTTTTGCCTTCAGCGTCAATGCTAATTTCTCCAGCATCTTTTTGGGTGACAGAGGTGATGGTGAGTGAGTGACTGTTGCCACCGTGTTCAATCTTATACTTGGGCCCAGCAGCGATGGGTATACTGTTGTGGAACCATTTCACGTTGACGTCCGCTAGGGAGACAGCGCACTTGAAAATGGCCTCTTTTCCCTCCATTGCAGCCACATTGTTGAGTTTGGTGGTCAGCCGCACTAGTCTGGGTGCTGAAAGGAATGAGTGACATCAAATAAAGCAGACTGATATGAAAGAAAACATTTCTAACCTGAAACAAAGCATTTTTGAGTTTAACAAAATGATTAATTACCTTTTGAGGAAACTTTAGCAGAGGTCTTGTCATTTCTACATTCACAGCTGTATTCTCCTTCATCTTCTTTAGTCATGCCACTCACGGTGAGAAAGCGCTTAGCACCATCTGTTCTTACACAGTACCTGCCTCCAGGTTTAATCTCACGACCGCCATGCTGCCAGATAACATCCCCTGAGGCTTGATTTAGTTCACACACCAGACTAAGTGTACCTCCCAACTCCACTGTAGCGGGTTTCAAAGGGACAACAAACTTCAAAGCTGCATCTGAAATGAAAGCATGGGAGTTCAGTTAGACATCAAAACAAAATCTGGCATCTGAAGAGGTCTATACAGCAATGCAGAATGTGAAAAACAATTCTATGCCTTGCCTTTAACTTGAACTTTGAACTCCAGTTTGTCATCTGCAGTTTGACAGCAGTATGATCCACTGTCTTTGGATCCGGTGGATTTTACTATCAGGGTACGAGAAAGGCCATCTTTTTTCATTTCATACTTGCTGCCCTCCTTGAGCTCCACACCGTCTCTGAACCACTTCACACTACCACTCTCTACGGTCAGCTCAGTGGTCAAAACAATGTTTTCACTTGCTTGAACAATACATGTATCCTTGACAAGCTTCTTCTGGAACTTGACAGCTGCATCTAAAGAGAAGTAAGAGCTTCTTGTCAGTGCTTTGTGCAGAGAGTGTGGAAAAATACACTTTATTTGAAATATATTTCACCTGTCATCTGTAGCTTAAATACCAGCTTCTCTGTTCCAGCCTCACATGTGTATTCTCCAGCATCTTTTTTCTCCATTTTTTCTATCACCAGCTCACGGCTCTTGCCCTTTGACTCCATGTGGACTGCTTTGCTGGAAGTCAGCAGCTTGCCATCCTTGTACCACTTTACCTCTGTCTTGGAATCAGAAACCTCACAGCTCATGGTGGCTTTCTGCAAGAGAGTGGCTTTCACCTCTTTCTGGACAGACTCCTTGTTGGAGAAGCCAGCTGGGGCTTCTGGGAAAGCAAATGAAAAATTGCATGTAAACAAATGGCAACATATCAATCCACCCCGAAAAAAATTTAACCAGCCAAAACCTTTCAGCCACAGTGAACAGGCTTAATGACTGAATGCAAAAAAAAAAACCCATACACAATGCTATAATACATATAATACATATATACATATAAATAAGAAAAATTAAAAAAAAAAAAAAATTCACACTTGCATACAATTGGCAAATACTAGCAACATCTTATTCCTCCTACCTGCCACCTGTATCTTAAAAGCCAGCTTCTCGGTCCCAGCCTCACAGATGTACTCCCCGGCATCCTTCTTCTCCACGCTGTCGATCACCAGCTGGCGACTCTTGCCCTTCGACTCAGTATGCACTGTCTTGCTGGAAGTGAGCAGCTTGCCATCTTTGTACCATTTCACATCTGTCTTGGTATCAGCTACCTCACAGCTCAGAGTGGCTTTCTGAGAGAGAGTGGCTTTAACCTCCTTTTGGACTGAATCCTTGTTGGAGAAGGCTGACTTGAGTTGGATCTCTGTAAAAGTAATAATGGAGAATGTCATTGCCCAACTTAATTTTGATACAACTCATGAAAATTACTGATTCAGTATCATACAAGCCAAAATATAACAAGTAAAATTAAATAGAGATGAAATTAAGTGGACGAATATACAGCCAAGACCAGCACACGTGAATAAATCACAAAAAAACAACGCAAATATCTGTGATACCAACATACTACAACATCAATCAACCCAGAACAGCTGTTAAGCACAACTAAAAATTCTAATCCTCCAATTTTTACATATACCATTCTCTTTAATTCCTCATACCTGTCACATGTACTTTAAATGCCAATTTTTCAGTTCCAACTTCACAGATGTATTCTCCAGAATCTTTCTTCTCTACGCTGTCGATCACCAGCTGACGGATCTTGCCCTTTGATTCCAAGTGAACTGCTCTGCTGGAACTCAGCAGTTTTCCGTCCTTGTACCATTTTACCTCTGTCTTGTTATCAACTACCTCACAGCTCAGGGTCGCTTTCTGGGAGAGAGTGGCTTTCACTTCCCTCTGGACAGACTCTTTGTTGAGGAAAGCGGATTTAGCCTGGCCTTCTGTAGAAGTAACTGTAAAGGAGTGTGGCGGCAGTACAATTACCCATACAGAAAAAGGACTTGACTCCACAACACTGACACCACTTTGGATTTACTAGACATACGCAACCAAACCTTACATATACAGTGCACAGAGAAATAAGCTCTATTAAAGCACATCAAATTGAGGGAGACACAACACAGCACTTAGAGGTCATAAAGCAAAAGCAAATTGGGCATCTACATGTTGCCACAGGGAGGCACAATAAATACATCAAAAGCAATTCTTTCAGAAAGAAAACGACCAAATATGTGACCAGCAACTGACGAACAACAGAGCCACAAGACACCAGAGCTGCCTCAGCAAACAAATGCTACAAGAAATCAAAGTATGAACCTCACTAGTGCGTACAAGCAACAAAATATTTGCAATTTGAATTGTCAATGTGAGACTCCAAGTCAATATTGGACTATACATGCTTGAGCAAAGCAAGCCAAATATTTCATAACTGAAGCAACCAACAACGCAGCCAAAATTAATTTACGATCACAAATCAGAGGAGACTACAGACACAACTATAAAACACAAAATATCCACCAGTTTCACACAGTACATTTCTTTAATTATTAAAAAATACTTAGTATAATGTCTTGAGAGTAAAACAAAATTTAAATGCTCAGTGTTTAGTATCAAACATCTCGCATTATTTAATTAGCCAACAACCTTTAACACATATATCTGACAATGTAATTACCCTTATATAAGACTAATATTAAAACTAGTTGGTATCTATGTTTATGTTTTACATGCTATGTCCTCAAAATAAACATTTTTTGCAGGGAATACCATCAAGTATCAACCACAGTTAGGATTTAATAATACATTTTTATTTATTAAACATACTGCATTCTCCTTACCTTCCACGTGTATTTTAAAGACCAGCTTCTCAGTCCCGACCTCACAGATGTACTCTCCAGCATCTCTCTTCTCCACACTGTCTATGACCAGCTGGCGACTCTTGCCCTTTGAATCTGCATGTATTGTCCTGCTGGTGGTCAGCAGCTTGCCATCCTTGTACCATTTCACTTCTGTCTTGGTATCAGAAACCTCACAGCTCAGAGTGGCTTTCTGGGAGAGAGTGACTTTCACCTCCTTCTGGACTGACTCCTTGTTGGAGAATGCAGACTTGACCTGTGCATCTGTGGAGGAGACCAAGAATGTGGCTGACAAAAACTTTTTACCTGTCCATTACAATGGACGCACCTGGGATACCTGTACATCAATCAACAAAAATACTATAAGACAGTTCTGTCCTTGCCCCTACCTGCCACCTGGAGTTTGAAGACCAGCTTCTCAGTCCCAGCCTCACAGATGTACTCCCCAGCATCCTTCTTCTCCACGCTGTCGATCACCAGCTGCCGACTCTTGACTTTCGACTCAGTATGGATTGTCTTAGTGGAAGTCAGCAGCTTGCCATCCTTGTACCATTTCACCTCTGTCTTGGTATCAGAAACCTCACAGCTCAGAGTGGCTTTCTGGGAGAGAGTGGCTTTCACCTCCTTCTGGACTGACTCCTTGTTGAAGAAGGCTGGCTGGGCCTCTGGTGGAAGAGGCATGACAGGGAGAACCTCAGATGCTATTCTTTCAGAATAAGCACCTAATATGTAATATAATGTTTTTGAAAATATTCCATCTTCCCTTACCTGCCACATGCATCTTAAAAGCCAGCTTCTCAGTCCCAGCCTCACAGATGTACTCTCCAGCATCCTTCTTCTCCACGCTGTCGATCACCAGCTGCCGACGCTTGTCTTTCGACTCAGTATGGACTGTCTTGCTGGAAGTGAGCAGCTTGCCATCCTTGTACCATTTCACCTCTGTCTTGGTATCGGCTACCTCACAGCTCAGGGTGGCTTTCTGGGAGAGAGTGGCTTTCACCTCCCTCTGGACTGACTCCTTGTTGGAGAAAGCTGACTGGGCCTCTGAAGCTAATGTCGGTGAGAGATGAGAATGTGTAACATCAACAATGACATCAACAACATATAACAGACATCTAATTGACACGTTCTACATTCATTTTTTACCCTCCTAGTCTTTTCTGGTACATTTAAAATCACACAATTTATTCTACATCCTGTAAATTTGATGCACCCAGATGACTAAATGTGTAGGAACTAATCTCTCCAAACCCTTAACTCAAATGATTGTATCTCTCAGACACACAAACCGAAATCGTGTTTATATTTGTTCATTCTTTATATTCAATTCACCAATTGGACAGTCCTACCTGACACAGATATCTTGAAGACCAGCTTATCCCCCCCAGCTTCGCATGTATACTCTCCAGCATCACTCTTCTCCACCTTTTCTATCACCAGCTGACGAGTACTGCCTTTCACTTCTGAGTATATCGTCCTACTGGATACCAACAGCTTGCCATCTTTGTACCATTTCACCTCAGTCTTGCTGTCCGAAACATTGCAACTAAGAGTGGCTTTCTGGGAGAGAGTAGCTTTCACCTCCTTCTGGACTGACTCCTTGTTGGAGAAGGCAGCTAGTGCTTGAGTTTCTGAAAGAAAATAAATAAGGTAAAGAAATGTATATCTGTGATGTGCAGGCAAGTGTTGAATAGTACTACAAAAGCATCATACAGCCTTACCTTTTATCTTGACCTGGAATGTGACTTTGTCTGCTGCTGTCTCACAAGAGTAATGTCCTTCGTCACTTTTCTTGGCACTCTTGATGATGAGCTTCCTTTGAGTCCCTTTGGAGATGATGGTACTTCTTTGGTCCTCAGTGATCTCCACTTGATCTTTTCTCCACACAACGGTCGCGCTGGCAAGAGATACCTCACAGCTTAGCTCAAGATCTCCTTTAAGGGTCGATGACAATCCCATGGGACCTCTGGCTTTGTTCAGAAACTTGGCAGGTTCATCTTAGAGAAAAAAGAGACGCAAATTAAAGTTCCTTTAAAAATGTGTTTGTTATCAGTGCAGTTCATATGTAGGAAGAGCATGAGTTTTGGGGGTAACAGAGTAACTTGATATAACTACATGATGACAGACAGGGCTTTCCTCCGCTTGATGGCTCAGAAGCATATGCTAGCAGCCATCAGAGCAGATCACATTACAGTACATCACATGGTCTAAGACAAACCTTCTGCATTATGTGGGCTTTAGTCAGTACTTGCTGAACACACAGAGCCCAATTCCCATTGCGGGAAATCACATTGGAGATACTAAAAAGCTTTGCAGGTCAACAAATGATCCGTGGCAGTCAGATTGTTGACTTTGCTCTGTGATAGCTAGGTTAAATTTCATTCCAATTCAATTCATTATTATCCTTATAAAGAGACCCAACAGTTCCCACCATAGGCAATTGTACTCAGTAGCAATGTTTTTGATGAGCGTACCTTTAAGAGCGAGTTGCAGGGCCAATCTTTCATCACCTAAAACACACTCGTAGATGCCCACATCTTCCTCAGTAACATTATGTACCATCAGGATCCTCTTGCGGTCGATGATCATACATTCATACTTCTTTCCCATCTTCACCTCCCGCCCATTCCTCATCCAAACCACCTGAAGAAACAAAAAAAGAATAAAGAGCCAAGTTAGACACGATCAAGTAAAAAAGCTATGGTTAAATAAGTATATTCTACTAAAGCTGTTAGTGTTACCAAGTAGGAGTACTTCTGTTGATAAGTACTCAAATACAAAAGTGTCTCTTTTATAGATTATTCTGGGTAACATTAACATGAAATAGAAAATGTGGCCTACTGATTGTATGTTATTTCCATATGAATACCCTACCAACCTCAATCACAATACTGTACATCAATTCAACCCAAAGTACTGACTGTACTATCTCTCAAAGATTGTCTTACACTGGAAAAAAGGGTCAAAGCTAACTTAAATGGAATATTCTTCTGCCATTTCTAAAGGTAGTTGAGTATAATGCTTCATCAAAAAGCAGAATTCTAAAATCTATTCAACAACATAAATTATAGTGCTTTTTACATTTTCCATCCCCTGTACACTGTACAAGAATCTGTAAAAACTAAAAGTAAAGTTAAAAATGATGTACGCTCCCATCACAAACCTTTGCATCATAATCAGACACCTCAGCAGTCAGCTGAGCAGTGGCTTGGGCACTACAGATCACCACCTCCATGATATCTGACTTGTTGGTGAACCTCAAAGGAGGAGCTGTCAGAGGTGGTAAGAAGGCAAAAAGGAGTAAACATCAATGGCCTTAAATTAAAAAACAGGGCTATCTACAAATGTACTTAAATATATCAATATGATTTAAAGCATTTTTCTCTATTGATACTTTAACTGGCTATGAGTGCATACCCTTCACAGACAGGACGCAGCTGCTTTGTGAGCCTCCACCCACAAACTTGACTTCAACTCCGTCCATTTCCACGGTCACAAAACGGATGAGCAGAGTGTGTGTGTTCTTGGACCTGGTGATGAGGTAGTCAGCTCCACTGCGCAGGAGGCGGCCGTTTAGGGACCAGAAGCCAGAACAGACAGCAGACAGCTCCACTGAGATAGAGAATTCCTCCCCAATAAAAGCAGTACTGTTCATTAGGCCTTTCCTGATTTCAGCAGAGGGTTCTGAGGACAACATGCAAACCACACATGAGAAAAGAACATTTGAATGTATACACCAACGGCACATGAATGATAAATGTGAGTCTTACCGAGGTAGAAGCTTCCAGGCACCTCAAGGTAGGAACTCTGGCCAAAGTCGTTCATAGCAGAGATGCGGAATTGGTAGCTTGCTTCTTCAGTGAAGTGGCAGATGGTGATCTCTGTTGACACAATGGTTTCTCCAGCATTGCACCTCTGCCATGTCTGGGTGCCAACCTTCCTCCTCTCCACAATGTAGCCCTTGATGGGCACAGGGCGGTCGCTGTCAGGAGGAGACCACTGAATGGTGATGGATGACTCGGTCTTGCTCTGCACCACGGCATCGACTGGGGGATCGGGAGGATGCTTCCTTGCAGCTAGAGTGGAAAGAGTGACGAGCAGATATGTATTGAGTTAGTATTGTAGTACGTCAAAAGAAAGAGTATAGGGAAATTCTGTTCCCTTTTTCTTTTCTTTTTTCACAGACTTGGTTTTACTTTCATAGTTGGTGATCATTCTTGTCAGTTTAGCTAGTATTTTGTTTAACAGCTCAATTACTGTGGTGTTGTATGAAGTCAATGCATCTGTGCCACAGAGTCCACTTTAACCTATTTTTATAAACAATTTAAGGGAGATAAATCCAAGTCTCCATAGCATTATTTCAGAGTTATGTTATTCCTATGATGTGTTTTTATTATTTACCCCATTAATTACCATTGCTAAGGCAGAGCACATACAATGAATCTGAAGTTATTGGCGAAGGTGTCATCCTCACCAGTGACAGAGAATCGAGTGGAAGTCTTGCAGTCTCCAGCGACAAAGGCCACTTCTCCTGAGTCTTCTGCCTGGCAATCTCTAATAGTGAGTGTGTACTGTCTGAGCATGCAGGCGATGGAAATACGGGAATCCTCCTTCAGCTTCTCGCCATTGCGGGTCCAGTAGGCGTCCGGGAAAGGATGCTCCAGCTCCACACAGAAGATGACAGTGTCACTGACTGGAACTACTGTCCTCCGAGGAAGCTTCTTAGTAATGTTGCCTGGGATTTGAGAGAGTGTAGATGTTACATAAAGAAATGAATTTGGCAGCATAATAGAGACACTGAAAATTTTTTCAGGGATCAGGTATGCAGTAGATTCAGTCTGTATAATTTCCTAACTTTTAGAAGTCTTTTAAGAAGGTTCAACTGTTTACTCTAGTATTATACATAATGTTTAACAAGAAATAAAGATAGAAAAAAGTCTCATCCATACCCAGGACGGTGAGCTCAGCCACGGTACGACTGCCTTCTTTCATCTCGCAGATATAAACACCATCGTCGTTGGTTGTGACATTGTGTATGGTGAGACGACGCAGGGTTCCTTCCTGCTCCATCTTATATTTGGTACTTTGCTCCAGCCTCGTTTCCTCCATGAACCAATTGGCGTGAGTGGCACTGACAGGCACCTCACACATCATTGTAGCTGATTCTTTCTCCTGTACCTCCACGTCCTGCAGCTTCCTCTTGAATGGCACCTTAGGCTCTGTCACAATGAAAAATAACATATAATTCAAGTTGTGCATTCATGCTGATGGTTTTACAAATGTCAGTGTATTAACTACAAATTGCAGCATATAGTTGATGATACTGTCAACCATTCTCCAAATGTTCTACATCTGCTCTCTCAGATGTAGTTAATTCACATGGGACTTTTAATCTGCAATTTTGTTGTGTTTAAGGAAACTTCAGCACCCATGATTTTAGACTTGTCTATTCAACAACAACATTCAACAGTCAAAAGCTCTAAACTGACAATAGTCTTTTCATTACATGTTTGCACATCCTCTAGATTACATTTTTTGATAATATAGCAAGTAAAATAAAAGCTTTTCTGTAGTCAACTTATGAAATCATAGGTTGTTGAAGTAAAAGTTTGATAAAAGGTTGAAAATCAATCAAAAAAGTTTAATCATACTCAATATGCAAAATTCTGTGTGCATAATACATAAAAATGTTATTTGTCCCGATAATTGTTTGTATTTACATGATTTTGCTTAATGTCAACTATGAATGTGCTACTACACTACAACTGTGCTTTCAATGGAGGTTGTAGAGTACATGTTGTACATTTCCCCTACTTCTCAGTTTTCTTACTGCCCTCTGCACCACAAATAAAGGTTACAGTTTCAAACTGTATCCATATACATACTTTGGAACTGAGCCATCAGTTTTAACTGTAGGAATTAAGTGTTGAAACATGTGGAACTCCACTTTGAGTTATGGGTAACGTCCATGGGTTCACTCAAAGCATGTGTGTAAAATAAATATAATATCTACATTCAAATATTTACAATATTTTCTGTAATGTACCTTCCAAAGAACAAGTGAGTTGTTTTCAGCTTGGCAGTTAAATATATTTACTTCGAGAATATCAGGTTGCACAAAAACACACGTCAAACACTAAAGAGAATTAAAGTTCATGAGATACAGTTTGGCTACTAAAGGGAATTTAATCTTATAATCCAGTCTCAGTCTTTGACAACATACAGTACATTAACAACAGTATTAATAATGCTTAAAAGTTAAATATTTAGTTCCTCCCTCCTGCTTTCATAAGTTATCTTCCCATGGATTTAATTTATTTCTGTCATTTCTAAGTAATGTATAATAATCCAGCATAAAGTTGTTGAATTACAGTTGTGTGTATACTGTGTATTTTGTTGAAAATTAACTTTTTATCCTATGTCCATTGTTACTGTACTGGTATAACAGAAGTGACAAACAATAAATCAAGCAAACTAACAAACTCCAAGGCAAATATCAGAAGTATCCATTTTCCTGCACACAACAATAATCAGGTGCATCAGTGGCACAGACCTCATTATCGGACTGAATGGAGATTAACAACCGACATAAATCTACAACTCTACAATTTCATCTCTTGGGGAAATTTCTTCCTGAGGGAAGTCACACTAGCAGCGGTGCCAATGTGCTCCAGTAAGTGAGTGACCATCTTAGCAACTGTGAACTACTCATCACCAGCAGAAAATAGATGCAACACAACACCCTCCTTCAGAGGATAAGCCAGAATCCAGCCTTGTTGTGAACAGCCACACACATTTTGAGAGGTTTAAATGAGGCTTTGGTAGAGTGATTTGTACCGTACTTACAGTAGTGCAGTTGCCAACAATGAGTTTATCCTACAAACGTGGCATATTCCTCTGTGCCATTTACCTCCATTATTATAGCTATTAAAAACACATAAGCGAGCCGCACTGCTGCACTGGGTGACATGTTCCTTCATTGCGATGAACACAGGCACTGTAGTTTATTTTGAGTAAATTACACATGTGCCATCCCGGTGGTATAAATACTGATGAGGGCACCAAATGTGTATTAATTTGCAGCTCAAGATAGTCCCCAACAAATGACTATTCACTCCTGTTTGAGTAATGTTTGCTAAAAAAAACCCAGTCCAGCTGTTTTAGGAAATTATTCAGCCAGTACAGGATACATTTGCAAGTCATTTTTAAAGGTTTATGTCTTCAGTGGGAAATAACTGGCTTGGGGTCTTGGGATGGGGTGCCACAGACATGGTGGAGAGGTTGAAAAGTATTGAGAGACAGACTAAGATATTGTTGGTTTTCACTGGATTTGTTAATATATATATTTTTTTATGAATCTTGCCAGCCTTGTCCTTTAATCGTTGCTTGGAATATTCTGTAAATGCTGGACATAAGGTGGTGGAGCGACAGCCTCTATGATGTTAAATGTGCTGATGATGCATATAATTCATGCATCTCTAATGATAGCTTACTTGTAGAGGATTCTCTTAAATGTGTACACAAAACTGATCATTGTACTGCATGTAGCATTTTGTTACGATACGACAATCTTACCTTTGACTGTTACCAACACGGCGCTGTAGGTTTGCCCAGCCATATTGGTTGCATTGCAGGTGTAGAGACCATTATCACTCTGCTTGCAGTACAGGATCTTGAGGATGAAGTTCTCAGCTTGGTCCTCGTAAATGACATGCCTGCGGCCCTCGCTGATGTTCGTGCCATCCTTCCTCCAGATGATGTGGGGTTTAGGGTGACCCGTCACAAAGCAGCTGAGTTTGGCGTGTTTTCCTTCAGTCACCGTGCAGCTACGGGTGAACACACCTTTGGGAAGCTTTGCCAGCGCAGAGGCCCTAAGCTCGTGTTCCAGACTCAGGGAACTCAAACTATCTCTGATGTTGGTTTTGGAGGAAGAAACCGAGGAGCTGCTTTCTTCGGTGCGATAGATCGAGATGTCCTTGTTCATTTCCTCTTTGCGCTTTTGTAGGTGAGAAAGGAGGGAGGTGTTCTTGTCTGCAGTGAGGTGGCGGGAATCCTGGGCGTCTACAACCAGGGCTGCCGCAGCATGTGCACGGCCGACTGTGTTCTTGGCCCTGCAGGTGTAGGTGCCGCTGTCCAGATTACGCACACTTTGGATCTTTAAGGTGCTGCTGTCACTGTCGGAAACAATCTTGACACGGGTAGACTCCCCCAAGTAGCGCCCATCTTTCTCCCAATCAAAGTTGGCTTCAGGGTAAGCTGCAACCCGGCAGAGGAAAACGACATCGCCTCCCAATCCTACGCGTGTAGATGTAGGCTTAAGCAGGAAAACAGGGGCCCTTTGTGCCATCTCCGTTGGCAGGGCCACTTTGAGGGTTACCGCAGCATAAGCTTCCCCAACAGTGTTTTTGGCCCGGCACATGTACTGGCCACTGTCCTCCAGCGTTAAGTCATAGATGGTCAGGCGGTACACATCTCCATCCTCCACGGTCTTGAAGCGTCCCCCAGATGTCAGCTTCAGCTTTTCCTTTTCCCAGGTGATCACAGGGGTCGGGCTGCCCACGATAGTGCAGCTCAGCGTGGCATCCTTGCCTGCACACACCGAGAACGCCTTTGGGCGGGTGAGAAACCTGGGGACTCCACCAAACAAGTTTTGATCCATTGTTGGTTCCTGTAGTCAAAGAAAAGGGTAATATTAGAATCCAGTAACAGTAAGAAATAATATTCAACACTGAATGTGTCACAATTGTTTACGTCCTTCTAATGATTTTCACAGCTGGTAAAACAACAGGTAGTAGTTTGACACAGTTCCCCATTAGATACCAAATCAAAATAATTGTTCTGTTACTAATTTGGGTAATATTATGATTAATGGATAAAAATGTTGCTTTATAATTCAGTTTATTAAATGTTCAGGATTAAACAAAGACAGTTTCCTCTGAACTATAACAAATAATACAAATAAAACACATTTTGTGTTACAAAGGAAAGTAAGTCAATTATTTTATATCACAGTAATTTCTCACCACACATTAAATTACAAAGAAACCCTGTGAAATGCACCAAAACCATTGTGAGACGAGACCGTTTGTAAAGTCCACTCTATAAATATGTTGTGCTATGAAAATAGACATAAATCCACAGTTCAGATGGTCATATTTATGGCTGGCAGTAAATGTCAGTCAACATATTCCACTCCTGCCCTGACCCTGCAGACATTCATCATCAATATAAAGACTTCACTTCATGCATCCGCAGCCTATTTAATAGGAAGGGTAGTTTTAATAACACAACAACAAATGAATTCCCCTGTAACAAGGTCAAATAGTGCAGATATGTGCCTTTCAAAGAGTGACATTTGCCAGCTTTGTCACCTCTGTCGCTTGAACCGCCTGTCCCTAAAAATAACCTCAGCTGTCAGACCCCGTCTCTGTCCATTGCCATTTGTAGAAGCGAAAGGGACATCAGCTGCTTGATAAAGCTCCCTCTTCAGATATACACACTTCACTTCTCACACAGTGTGGTTTCTCTAAGCGAAACCAAAACGTCTTTTAAAAAATATATACACATGTTGGAATTGAATCACTAATTTACTGTTAAAAGTGCGCAAACCGGACCACACACACACACACACACACACCTGTAGTTAATTACAGTTAAATGACATTAACATTAGCCTAACCGAAACTGGAAGTTGTAGTTCAACTAGTAACTCAAGGCTCAAGTTGTAGCTGTTAACAGTTCCAGGTGTGTTTTTCGTTTTTTTAATATAATTTAGTTGATAATTAACAGTTTTAATACAAATAACTGCTATAACTTCGGTTCATTTCTCAGTATAATTATAAATGTAACATCTGGTGTTAAAGCTAACCGTCGTTTATTAGCCTAACGTTACTTTTTCACCTTGAGTCTTCAGCCACTCAGGTAAGACGGTGAACGGTGAATCATGTGGGCTGAAAAGTCAAAGTTGTGGCCGTCAAAAGCTTTCCGGGTGATATCCAACTCCAGTATCCAGTGTTTAGAAAAATCCCACCCAAAAAATGTCTTCTTTGTGCTCAAATATCCTTGAAATGGTTGTAAATCCAGGATGGTGGAACATCCCCCAGTCTCCTGCGGTGGGCGGTGGACTAGACTCCGTCTCCGGTACCTCATGATGCCAAATAGCTGACGTGCCTATTTTGGCGCAGCCTCCTTTTCCAAAATAGACTTGTCATTTAGTGTGGAGATAGGAGATCTCCTGGTCGGGAAGGAGAGCAGACAGGCCTGGCCCCTGCCGGGCTGCACACTTCTGCAGGTTGCACACTCTCCAACTCGGTCGTAAACAACTCATAATTCTGACTTTTACTACTAAAAATGAACCTGCAGGGAGGAAGCTCAGCAACACTTTCTGTGTGTAACATTAATCGAATATTACTTTATTTACTTTCATTAATAATTATATTCATTTGGTAGATGAGTTTGGCCAAAGCAACTTACAATAAGTGCATTCAAACCATGTAGGAGCAAGAGCTAGAGACTATCCAAAATCCAAAAGTGCTGGAGCTGTTTGTTTTTGTTTGTTTGTTTGTTTGTTTGTTTGTTTACAAATGAGACATTAGTAAGTGGTAGCAAAGGTTGGTGAAATGTAGTATAAAAAGGTGGGTTTATTTATTTGATTTATTTATTGGCTGTCAGTGTTGGCCAGTAACTCATTACTAGTAATAATATTACTTTCCCCAGTAACTAGTAGTGTAACTAATTACTAATAAATTCAGTAATAATACAGCCTAAACTGGCGCCCCAACTGCATTACTTTTGTTGGCAACCCCTACTAATTTGAAATCCAATCACATGCTTAGATTATTTTTTGTAATCGTGGAGGAAACTAGTTTGGAAAATGGAAACATTCAGCAGCTTGAAATAATTTTAACAAACGAAACTGGATTTCAATTGTAGTAGTAAGTCTGAATTTTGGGGAGAAGGGGAACAATTACCAATTTTGTGGGGAGTACAGCAGAAAAGTAATATAACTAGTAGTGTAACTAATTACTGTTGGCAAAGAATAATATGTAATAGATAATATTTTTTGAGTAAGTAGCCACACTGTTGGCTGTACAGTCAAATTTAAATACACTGAGACCAGAAATGCTGGCATTAGTGAGCAAAATACCCTCTATGTCACCATGTCAAGCTACAGCCCTGACTTTGGCTTATTAAACATCTTATTCAAGTCATCTAAAATCACATGGCCCTGTCTGTGTGCGAAAGGTGGAGGGGATTTGTTTTTATTTAATTTAAAATTTAAAAACGTATGTACTTCAGACTTACATTTATGCGATTAAGGGTAGTTAAGGTAAATGCTCATTTCGCTGTGGAGTCACACTATAGGGCTAGAAATGGCTTCTAGTACGGGACAATTGATGACTCAACTCGACTTCACCTTTCTTGTATTCATTTGCAGGTCAACTTTGTGACCAGGAAATCAATCTCTTGCTGCCTCTATCAGTGTCTAATGATGTTTTGAGCTCAGTTTACCGTAGGGTGAAGTGAGAGCTGACTGAGTATGAGGGATCAGCAAAATTAAATGTGAAGTGGTTGATTGTGAAGTTAACTTGTGTACTGGAGTTCTTGAACAACAACAGCTGGTCCCTATCCCTGTCATGTCCCATATCAAGTCCCTATCATGAGGTCACCAGTTTGGCACAGAACAAAACCCAGGTGACTTTTGAAGTAGTTGGCATATTTTTTTTCCAGTAGTGACGGAGGCTTAAGGCTCCCGTTCTTATACTTTTTCAGCCACACTAATAAACAGCCGTTCTGATTTGTGTAATGAACGATTAGTCATGAAACTTAGAGTGATAAACAATGTCATAGTGCGCCTCTAAACCTTATTTTCTGTCCTTTTCTGTTCTGTTGTGTCACTTGAACCTCACCAACATGCAGTGGTAGACAATCACTCATTTTCGAAACAATAATATTGCATTATTAGCGAGTTTATGGTAATAATATTGACTCGTTTGTCTTTTTGCTCACTGCTCATTATGTATCATCAGTGTCATTTTGTCCATTTTTTTGACATTATCTTCTGTGTAAGACCAGAAAATTCTTGTTATTCACGTGTATACAGTCTGTGTTAAGACTCTATTTCAACTCAATGTAAATGTGATTGGGGTAAGCTGGCTCAACTTGCCCCCCTGGCACATTGTATTGTTGACAGCTGCATTACCCAGCTGGTCAGGCCCATAGTTAAGTTATGACTTCATATTGTACAAAAGCCTAAAATACAGTAATGCGTTAAATGTATCTACCATGATAATCTTCACAACGACGAAAACCCTTTGCAATATCTCAGAATGACATAGCAATCCTTAGCAGGGCATTTGTGTGCCACTTTCTATTAGGCTCTACTTTAGCACAGATTTATATTTCTTAAATGCTTGCTAGAGTGTCTAGAAACAAGGGGTAGCAAGTCTCACCCCTTTCTTCCCTATTCTTTGGCTTTCATGGTATTTTCTTGGTCTTCTGGAGTGGGCTTTCCCCCAGTGCCAATGACTGACAGCAGCAGGTCGCCTGGACCCTGATTTAAACTCCCCGAAACTCTAGCAGACGGTAATCCACTGTTGCTGCTCGCATCTACTTTATCCTGTTCTGGCTACTGTGTTTAGTTTCCATACTCCTGAGAGTGCATTGAGAACAAGAAAAAAGACAAGAAATATAAGATAACTCCTTTGTCCCACATTCATCCAAACCTTTTAGGTCACTAACATGTAATATGTGGGGGAAATAAAAGCATGTGTTGTATAAAGTTACAATTTAACTGACCTCCAATAGTTTTTCTCCCTCTCCTTTGCTTTTTCTGTGGTTGCTGTGATGCCAAATCAGTTCGTGGCATCAAATCACATCATGGATGGTATTTACACAAGCTTTGGTAATCATCCAAAAGTTACTTTCAGCCAGCAATCGTGGCACCTGGATCACAATACAGCAGAAGACAGTAGACAGGCACATAGCACCTGGCTATATTTTTAGCAACTATAGAGTTGGATAAAGTCCCAAGTAAAACATTCCAATGTAATGAGACGATTTTCACCAATATACTCTCCAATATCTGACCTACAGGGCCTTCCACCTGACCTCTTAGTCATTTCAAGAATAAGGTCACGGTTGTATCATGTTCACAGCCGAAACACATTGGTGTTACCTCAAAAGAACATTTACATAGCAGATGACAAGTGAGACAAATGTCAGTCGTACCAAGGACAGATAACCAAGAATGAACAGCAGATGGCGTTTATGTCTCTAAAATGTTCAATGGGGACTTGAACAACAACCAACTAGATATAAAAATCAAAATAGTGTGTCACAAAATAGAGGCGGGTGATGTTTAATTAAGATGTGGACAGCATTTACAGTATTGACAGAGTATAAAATAGTACAGTAATAATAATAGTAACAGGCGTAAAAGAAAGAAATGCACGAGTCATCCTATTCTAACCCACAAAATGAAACCAATCAAAAATGTCGATTCTAATTATTTTACCCACCATTAAACCTAGTGTATACAACAGAAATATCAGATTCCTTAAGATTAACAGTTCCCTTGCACCACCAGTCAACTCTTCATTAAAAAACAGTCTAAGTACAAAGTAAATTAGTAAATACGTCCTTATATTTGGTGTTCATAGCGAGGATTAGACAACAGCAATGAGCGTTTATTCTGGTACGTACTGGATCTAAACTGTGAGAGGTTATAGACGATTATAGCATCTGAAAATAGACAGTGAGCGAGACGGACAGAGAGCTTGGGAGACACACAACACAAACTAAGCCTGTGTGCAACACTGAATGAAGTCCTTTTAGAAGATTTGTTCCAGTGAGAGAAAACTTGCTGATGGTGATTTATCAAATTATATCAGACTCATAAATCAGATATATATTTACACAATATGGAATATGTGACTTAATATTTCTGTTAGATGTTTGTTATTACGTAGTTATTTTGTCTGTAATTTGTTTGTATCGTCACTGGTTGTTTTATCTTTATTGTTACATTGTCTTTTTTGATACCACCACTAGGGGTCGCCAAAGTGAGACATTTTCAAAACCTGCATGAAGTGGCTTTAATGGAAAGATTTGTTTTATGTGGATGTCCAATCAGTGCTGATGGCAATACATTTCTCAGTGCATGCTACAGTGACAGAGATAGCTGAGTTCCTGTATGTACCAGACTGTACAGCACATGAGAATCTGACACCTACACTGTGGGCTGGGTGCTAATCAAAGCTACGATGCCAAGCAAATGAATTCCTGCAATTTAACCATTTCTTTTTCACGTGGCTGTATCATCACCTTTAAACTCCAAGCTTAACAACTCTATAATTCTTCCTCGACACCAACTACATCACTGTACTTAGCTATTTCTCGATCAATATAGGATACACTGAAGAATTTACTGCTTCAATTAACTACATTAACCATCACACCCACATTAAATGTGGCAAGTTATCCCTTTAAGTATCTTGGGGTTTATTTATACAAAGCGTGTCCTCTGTTTAGATACCATTTTAGGACGTCTCAGACTTAACTCCATCATCCTAGATATAATTAGGCTCATTGTATTTTTGGCTGAATATATGCTAACATTAGTAGCCATCTGCCTATATTTGGTATGCTAACATGCTAACAGCATTTAACTGGCAGGTTAAATATACTGGACAGTAGATGAAAAGTCATGTCATGAATGTCTATAGAAAATGTCATGACAATCATTGTTACAGTTATCATGATACTTCACTATGGACCAAAGTGTTGCGCAGACATGCTGACATCTATGTTCTCATATAAAAGGTTGTTCAGGACAAATGCGTCAATACTATTCTGTACCCGTCAGATATGTCCAAGACCGGGAGAGAAAATGTTTCACAAGCTGACACAGCAAACAAGGAAAAGCAATAATAATAAAAAAAAAGTGAAAATTAAAATATATTTTTATTTCAAATAAACATCACATAATCAACCACACATGAAATGATTAAATACACTCAAAATAAGATTTATTTGCCTCTCTACTCACTCAGAAAACAACACATGTATTGTAAAGCTGTGCCGAAAACAAGTTCTTTTGGCATGTTTCATTTTTCAGCTAGTGAACAAAAACAAAAAAAACAGACAAACCTATGTAACAAAAAAAAAAAAAAACATGTCTTAAAACATATTCAACATTTCAGGATGAAAACTTAGCACCTTGTTCCAGTCACTGTGATTCTTAGACTGGTGTATAGTGGATAAGAAACCATAGTTCGATGATGACATTGCCAATTACAAGGCATACTCCTGCTTCTTTAGGATATTGAGGACAGTGCAATTTCAGCCACCATGACAAGAAGAAGTGTGCTTTCAGACGCAACAGACTGACATGAGATCTCAATGTCAACATGCAACTCGTCTTACAAGCCACATCCACAACTTCACCACATACTTGATGCTATACACAATGACTTGCCAAATAAAATACTGTACATAGTTCGTTCTGCTAAATCTGTTAAAGTATTTTCAATAGTTGACATGAAATGGCTTCTATAAAGAGCAAACACTAAACCTTAATACTAAGGCACTGCTTAAAATAATATGACAAACATAACAGTGAGGTAAAAATGAAGAGACCTGTTGAAAGAAATCAACTCTGTGCACAAAGCTGAGCTCCAGTGTCTCTACAATAATAAACTCACTGCACAAACGGACAGTGACCACAACACCCATGTAGGCATATTTAACAAAGTGACAGAAACACACATCATCCCCTACAGGCCGAACCTGTACTGAGGTAAGAACGACCGTATGTGATTTGGCCACAGTGTTTCCAGGTGGTCTGCTGTGGACAGTGACTATACAATACGTGCTGATGCTTTGCTTATATACAAACAATGAGGTCACTCAGGATGGAGACTGACTCTGTGTCCCTTTTGAGACCCGCCCTTTCCAAAAATGTTGCCAGTACTGTATCTATGCACACGCTTAAAAATAAAAAATAAAACGTTTATTTTTTTTGTCAGTGCAAAAATTCTGAGTTCATGTTAGCATAATTACGCAGGTGTCAAAACGCATTGCTTCCACAGTCGCACTCACCGAGGAAGTGTACTAGTTTCTAAACACACGTAAGGGCAAAGACACATTTGTACCCTCTGAAGTCTTGCAGTCGTGGAGGATGAGATCTATATTACTGTGATCTGTAAAGAATGCAAAAAAAAGATAGAAAGATATTTTGCGCACTGCATAAACAAGCAGATGTAGTCTGAGTTTATTTTTTTAAGTGTAACATTCAACATCATGCTGCTGGCCATGTTATCTTTGCATTAATAAATCCTTTTAATCAGAATTTCAAATCTTGTTTTTTTTTTTTTAAACTACTGTCAGTGGGAGGTACATGCCATTTCTTTCATCAACAAGAGTATACGCTTTTATGAAAGTAAATGATCTGACAAAACAATCTAAATATTTCTTTTTTCAAATAAATAATACACACATATCAATTAAATATCTGGAGGGGAAACAGGAAATAAATAAAACTAAAGCTAGAACTAATGCTGACTGTGAAAAGGTTTTTTTTTCTCTCCTCATGCTCTTACTTTGAAAGTATAAACCCAACACTGAGAGGAAGTGCTAAGTCCTAAAATCTTCAAACCAAAAGCTGCAGAAGCAACATCGCACGTTCTGAAATAAGCCCTTATGAAGAAGTTCCTTTTTTTTTTATGTGAGCATTTTGGAAAAAGGATACAAACTACATACTAATGTGCACAACAGAGGATTGTAAAATCAATAACACCCTGTTTTGTTCTAAAATAAATTATTCCTCCGCACCCTTTCTGGGACATCAACACTTGACTCATAACTTCTGCTGGACAGCAAAGTGAGAACAGAAAAAGAAACAGATTCCATTTACACCTGCCATTAAAATCAAAATGCAGTTAAAAAGATGCACCTGTACACGGTGAATAAACCTTTATGTACTGTTTATATATTTACACAAATACACTGAGTAAATACACTGCAGAGGTATTGATTGGAGTATTGGTTATACTTCACCACCACTGAGGTAATATGGAAAACCAGGATTTAAATATGTTTTTTTTATATTGGTGTTAAGGCATAAAGCTGGCTCTGTGTCCAGCTTAAATAGACTTAAAAAGACATCTTATATCTGCATCAGATTTTGACGACGAGTGTATTTGGGTCCCATGATTTCAGTTCTGTTGTTGAGGAATAGTAATATCTTGATACATCAGCTGTGGAAATATTAATACTGAATAAAATCTGTATTTAGAACCACTAAAAACAGACAGCAGCATCAACGCATGTGTACATATTTATGGTTTAAAGACAGGTTTTGTCAAAGCCAATGGGGCTTTTTCCTGGTACGCATGGTGTTTTAGTAGTACAGCTACCGTACCGTCAGCTCTTTATCATAGCAATACTTGGTATCTTTTTTTTGAGGATTAGATCTGGTAGTAAAAATGTGGACTTTTAAAAGGATAAGTAAGACGCAAAAGAGTATTTACAAATCACCAGGGTCAAACAGCACAACTTGAAATATTGAATACATTTCTTTCAGGTGAAAACTGTTCAGGCAGCTACAGTACAGTTTGCAACCTTTGTAGCACAGATCAGGACACCACCTCTGTGAGAAGCTTCAATTAGACTCCCGCTGTATAACTCTGTGATGCACAAATACTTGAATTGCACACACACGCAGGCTGAGCAGAAGTCCCGAGGATCCTTTTTGCATTCCACAATAAAAATTGGCCACACCCACCATCACACAGTGATCCTATGAATACACAATATTGTCTTTCTGTCACTTTATACGTAGTTTGTCTGTACACATTTATGACGAAAATCAGGATGAAACGGACGGAAGACATATGGTTTCCCTGATGCCATAGTCTGCCTGATGTGACAGGATGAGGCGTGGAGGTGCAGAGACAGTGGTTATTCAATGAGCCCCCTCCTACAACAAACGCTGAATGATGCTTTAAAGATCCATGCTAAATTCTCCATGAAGATCATCTAAGGCCACAATGTTCATAGAAGAAAGTAAAATGTAAACACTATAAAAAAAAGAAGAGAGAGGGGGCATTATCATGGCGATGTATCCCTTGTAGGATCAATGGCCAAGTATGTCACAGGATACAGAACCACAAAGCATAGACTGAAGACGATGTGTCATATTATAAAGTTTAAAATAGAGCATATACCTTATGACATAAGGCACTTCAACAACTACTCCCAGTGCCCTGTTTTGGAGTAGATCCATTGTTAATCTCTTGATCATCTTCATTCTCCTCTTCCTCCTCCTCTTGCCAGCGACCAAGGTGGACAGGGGTGGGCATGGAAATGCTGGAACCGAGCCCACTATGAGCCTGGAAACCTAATAAGAGTGTTGATGCAAGGTCAAAGTCTTTCTAAGGCATAGTCTCTAGTTTATACAAAGGAAATCATCACACTCCAATGTTATCCCACCTCTCATTTTAAACACTACAGATCTAATGATTAATGTTTTACACCTTTAACTGAAGTCTGAATATGTTTTAATGTTAATGCTTATAATATATTATGCGTCGTTTTATGAACAAAAAGGAATATATAGTTGAAGGATCATATCAATGTTTTGGCATGTTTTAGCCCATTTACTACAATATATGTATATACAAATACTTGTATACTTTTACAGTATATTTACGTGTGTTTTCACCTTTCTGGCGGCTATTGGTCTCCTTTAATTTTACTATAATTGGGAAACCATCATGGAGAGACTTGCACTTGTGTTCATCAGTGCAGATTTGGTTTCTGTACTGTGTTATCATGTCGTTATAGTATAATGACAAATATTAAAGCAGACATAATTGCTTCTAAAATCGATTCTAAGTAAGTAACTAATTCTACGTCCTTTAAGGCTGCTCAATTTGTAGTGGATATGACTGGAGTGTGTAATGAAGTGCTGCAGACTGAGGTCATCACCATGATTTCAGCACTACAAGCTATCTTTTTCACATTACACAGTCACTGGATTCAGTGTTAATATAAAGAATATTTATAAATGCGGGAGAAAATCGTCACTCAAACAGAACTGTACACTGACAAGAATGGGTCATTTGTTTTTCCACTATACTGAGGCTGCAATTTTCTTCAAAATCAATATGTTCATTTACCAGTGCTTGTGTGCAGATCTCTCATTGGTACTGAGCTTTGCCACTGCCCTGAAGTTCTCTGTGGGTGGGAGCTCTGCTGGTGGAGCTGGAGAAGACAAGCAGTTGTCAATGCACAGCAGAATAGAGACCTACTAGAGACACTGAAAAGAGCTACCCAAAATCTATCTTTTGAGCATCAAATATACAACACCTGTAAACCTAAAACAAGACTATTGAACCATTGAAATCTTTTGCAACCAATGTGAGTTCAATCTGACTGCAGCCACTGTGCTTCAAACTGCAACAGTGTATGTAAGAAGTGTATGTCTCAAAAGATATGTCTCTTTAAACTCCAGGCACATAACAGAGAAAAGGAGGATAAAAATACTGTCAGACAGTTTGTGGTCAGGAAATTACCTCATGCAGGTAGATGGCATGAAGACTCATCTCCGCTGACGCAAACTCTGAGTGCAGAGCATTGCTCCGGATGTGGGAGTCACTGTTAGTCATACTGAAAAAAACAAACAACAACATGTTTGCTTTTGCATTCATTCAACAGTCTCACCGATCCTATTCCATCTACAGTATGTACATGATGCAGTAGCAAAAGTGAGATGTGATAAGTACCTGTCAATGATGGTGCGATCGCTGCGGTACATGGTGCTCTCGGGGTGGACGGATGATGGCAGGAGGCCATGTGAGCGGCCGCGGCTGGGATGTGCGAGCTGGGAGGTGGACAGAGAGGCCAGGACACTGGCAGCAGCAGAGGCAGCAGTGCTTGGTAGGATGAAGCGATGGTCTCGCCCTTGTAACCCAGAGGCAGTTAGAATGGGGTGGGCGAGGACACTGGCCAACAGATTATCAGGCTGGAAAGAAAAACATACATCAATACAGGACCACTAAAAGTAAATAAGAGCACATTGGATAGAAAAGATGTTCCTAAAAAGTATTCTGGAATTATTTAAATATCCTATGGTAATTTACACTGTTGTTATGTAAGGTAGGTAAATGCTTTACTGTTTCCTACATCAGCTGAGTAATATCTTTAGTTCATGTGTGGTACACTGTATTTGCGTGATCAGCATGGTCCCCAGGGTTTCTTACCCCAGTGGCAGAGTCGTTAGATTGCAGCGAGGTGCAGAGAGGAGCCTCAGAGAGCAGCAGCTGGGTGGAGGGGCCGCCCTGTGCATCGTGCTGCACCTTTTCCTTCAGATGGCTGATAAACACTGAGCTCTCCTGAGGCGGCTGCCAGCGTGGGTTCTTAATTGTGAAATGCATGAGAGACAACTCTGTCTTGCCGTTCTCAGCTTGTTGGTATATTGAAGCCTCTGTCTGGCCCTCTGACATCCACTGCAAAAACATTTAAAGATATACATCCATTCAAGCAACATCACAACATCAGATGAAACATTCACTAAGAACTTTGCTCGTTGAGAGTCACCCGCTCTCCAGTTTGAAAACAGCTAATGAATGAATGAATTGAATCTGAATGTAACAGAAGGAATGAAAACGTACTGTTGGGTTTCCGTGGCGTCTGATGTCCATCTGCGCAAAGGAACAGATGTCTCCGACTCCAACCACCTCCACAGTGAAGTTCCTGAAGAAGTCAATGATCTCTAGAGACTTATTTCTCAAAAGGAAGATGAGGATGAAGGGTGTGACAATAGGACTCAGCAACTCCTCCAAGATGAACACCTAATTGGTACAGAGACAACATTGATTATAGGTTAATTATAAGTCTAAATATATTCCTATTGTACACATAATCAAATACAGATCAATGTTCCCCAAGAAAAATAAATCCAGTGATTGTACTACTGTGTCAAATCTGACAGTCTTATCATTGCACAGGTGCTACATTAAAAAATGTCATCAATCACAACAAAAACTCATCCATAACTTTAGTTTTGACAAATGTGTTCCTGTCTACGGAGTTTCTCCATTCCTCACCGCTTTGTACTGGAACAGCTGCGCCACCTCGTCACGGGTCTCGCTCTTGTTAGCATTGCCCCTCCAGTGGTCTGGCATGTAGTGAATGTGTGCCAGCATGCACTGCAGCAGCTGTTCTGGACACCACACCATATGCTCATCTGGGATGAAGGACCTGGTGTAGGATAGGTACAAAATATGTACATTTTTAATTTGAGAGTTTATTTGAGATAAATTGGGAAAACAGGATAGTTTTGTACAGATTAGATAGATCTTTGACTATAAGTCTATGATTGACTAGGGGAAAATTCTCCCATACTTATAATTAAGTGTCTACAATCTCCTCAACAACTTGAAAAAAGCTGAAACTGAAATGAATTAATTAATTTAAATTGAAAAAACTAAAAACAACTGCAAATCATAATCTATTATCGTATACACTGAAAACATCATAAACAGCAAAAGTAACAATTAAAAAGAACACATTTTCTACACCCCCTGATAGCAATCCTGGACTGGCTACAAGAAATAAAACGGCTGTGAAAGCTCACCTGGTGATAGTAATAACCACCCCCAGCACAGTGATAGCGGTCAGAATGTGCTGCACTGTCAGAACATCCTCGTCGTAGACCGTCAGTGCAATGAGCACAGCCAACACCGAGCCTGAGAAGAAGGCAATGTTCTGAGCCAGCACAGTCAGCAGTGGTGATGTAAAGGAGTTCATGTATTTGGAAGTGGGTTTGTAGCCACGGCCTAAACGTCCGTGCAGCTCATGGTCCAGCTCATTAAAGTGTCGCAGGTATAAACGACCATATAGTGACCAGCGTCGAGCACCCAGGCTTCCAGGTTCCCTGCGGATCACTTCGGTATAGCTGAAAAAAGCGTACAGCACCTGCCACACCAGGATAAAGGGACATAGCAGCAAGTTGGCCAAACCCATCAGCAGGATGACCCTACTAAGCTGCTGTGCCAGCTCGAGGCGGTTTCCATTCCGCTTGTACTTGGGGTGCAGGTTCCACTTATTCTGAAACAAAGAGCCAGGACCCCAGAAGAGGATGAGCTCAAAGTTGTACTTGAGGCCCTGGGTGAGGAACACCACATTGCCCAACAGGGGGAGCTGCAGCTGCACTGGCAGTAGTGATTTGTTTATCATAGCCACCATGTAGTTCTTGAATCGCAGGATGCGGTGATAGATGTCAAGTTCTGTCAGCTCTTTCTTATGTATGCACATTTGCTGTTCTCGTTGCAGGCTGATGAGCCGGTCCTGGACTTCCTGCCATGTGAAGTTGCATAGTTCATCCTGGTACAAGGAGGCAGGGAGCACAAAGTGAACTGACTAATACTACAGAGACAATGGATGACTCATCATTTTAGGGATGTTTTTTTATAAACATAAGCACGAAACAATTGCCACCCACAACACTGATGTGAATGACCTTTTGCTGTGTGTAATGATAAGGTCTCCAGGTAGAGCACTTACCATTCTGATCTTCAGTGCCTTGATGTAGAACTGCCTGATCTCCCAGTAGCTCAGGACATTGCAAAAGACTTTAACAAGTCGATAGATCCAGAAGATGGCTGCCATGATGAGAAGGAATATAATCCAGCTGTTCTCTTGAATTCTGAACAGAAATAAAAGCTTTATTCAGACATGGCTGGCTTTATGTATGAATTAAAGTAATGGCTTTTTGTCATTCAGACATGAGAAACTATGTAATTATTAGTCACAGCTGTATTAAAACATGGGAAGACATTTAGGGTTATGATATTAAAGAAAACAATGCTTACAAAAAACCTGACAAAGTGGTTAAGGGGGAGGCTAAATTGAAATCTGGGATTAAGAATTTCTGTAAAATGACATCCATAATGGGTATTCAGAGGCACACATATGACACTGTGTGTCTCCCCCATTGTGTTGTGTTGTCATCTGACTTCAAAACACCTGCCCTGTGTGAAGCACAAACTTATAAATGTTCAGATTATAAAACACATATGACACCCCCTCTCCTCTTATGACATTGTAAATGGACCCTTCGTTCAGGTTTTACCTCGTAACATGATAAACAGATGGGAAAATTAGCAACCGTTGCTCTCAGTGCATGTTGCAATCTATTGAACTGACACTTAACTCCTGTTTACAGGTTGTGGGTGAGGCAGCCTGCTTACTTCATTCTAAAATTAAGGAAACAGTCAAGTGTCACGTGTCAAAACACAGTGCATACAACATACATTAGCCAATATCGGTGCAATTGTTGCTGCTCCTTTACATTTCTACACAATGTTATAGTAGGTCACTTTCAGATATAATGAACTAAATATTAGACGGGACAGGCATCTGGCTTTACAAGGGAAATTAGAGAAGGGTATGAGGACAGAGGATCCAAACTGTGGGACAAGCTGTTCCCAAATTAGAGTTCCAAGCGGTTGTACGTCATTGACTTTGATATAAATGACTATTGAGCCACAGTCAGAACCAGGAACAAATTGATGACAGGGCCATTACACTAGCTGAAGAAAACAAGCAGAGGCTAGGCTACATCTTGGAAAAGACCCCCCGTCTGTCCCTTGCAGGCAGCTAGTGAGGTGTCATGTGGTTGTCAGCTCGCTGGCCCAGCCAAGTTGTCAGTATTTCGACTTGCCAGAGCTATCAATTACATTGCCCCGTTCCCCAAATCCAGTCTGAACACAGTACACAAATACACTCCTCCAAGCATCAGTTGGAGGAATGTTGCAACAAACAAAATTGAGAGATAGAAATAACATTTCATAGAAAGAGAGGTCACTCGTACTTCAGAGATCCAGTGTGTATAAAATATAATAAATAATAAATTCATAGGTATGTTCAATCTGATCAAGCCTTATGCTTTTTGATAGAACTGTTTTCTAGAACACATCCATTTAATGCTTAGTCACAATCCACTATTACCACTGGCAATAAGACTTTTCCTCAGTTAATCTGCTAGTAACTGAGTGCTCCTGGTGTCATAAAATATGGAATAACTTGTGATACACCATTTATAATCACTACTTAGAGGGCTAACAGTTAATAAAAGAGCTTAAAGAGTCATTGCCCATCATCACAAATACAAGAAAGTTCTTATGATCTTCTGGTGAAAATAAAGAAACCCACGGGGTACAGCTAAATAGGCTACTGTTCCATATTTCGTCCCTGTGAATGTGACTCTATCTTGCCGTCTGAAGCCACATCTGACACAATCAAATAAGAAATTAAGTCTGAAAGTCTGATTGCAACTGTATTAAGTCAGACAAATTAAATCCCTCTGAAGGCCTGTCTTTAAAAGGGCTCTAATAATACCCAAGACCATGTCTGCTTGTATCTGATCAAACTGGCTAGAGTCACTTTATGTAACAGCATAGCCTTTTCGATTAATTCTCACAGACTTTTATTTTACGATAACGTGTTAAACACAATTACCTCTGAGTGCACTGCTGGCTAGGTAGGATGGCATCTGGAAGAGTGACCTTGCTCCTATCCAAGGGGTTGTGACCCGGTTCGGTATGGTTGACCGCTCGATTGGCAAACAGGACATCATACTCCACACAGTTGACAAGGAACGTCGTGAATGTTACAACAAATAAAAGCTGGCTGTTAGGATGAGATGAAGAACGAAAAAGAGATCAGACGTCATACTTAATGACTGCAAAAACACAATAAAACCCTAAATAATGACAATGACAAGAAATATAAACTGTAGTATTGAGATAAGTGATTATATTTATAACCACCAAGCCACAGATAATGTGTAATAGTTCAGTTAAGACAGATCAATTGCAGCTCCTTTATTAAATATGTTGACAGGCTGAGATTTATTTATTTTTTGGCCTGTCATTATGTTGACACATTTTCTCCACCTAATGGTTAAATGCTTTAACCATAAGGCTGTGGCCAGATTCAGACAAACACCAGACCAGCACCTAATATTAGAGGTAGCCAGCTGGCACTGTAGCAGCAAAACATTATCTCAGACGACCGGAAAATAAACAATGTGCTGCACTGGCAAACTAGCCTGCTGATGTGATTAATCAAACAGAAGAAGTCATATCATGAGAGATACTAACTAAGTAATAATATCAATTATAATAATAGTGATAAAGTGAATAGTAAACAAAGCAATTATAATTTTGTTTGTGTGTTTATGAAATTCATGAGATTCAAGTACAGCTGCAGTTAAAATCATCTGGTTGAACTTGTTCATGCTGAGACTCGAGGCACACTTAACTGTCATAACAAGATGAAAAATTGCCAGTGACACAAACGAGCCCTAAACCTGACTGAAAACGAGCAACACTTTACTATATTTCCTGATGTATTCCAGGCATACGGTGAGTATTTTGTACAATTTCATACTTACACAAGTTCAAAGAACTCTGTTAACATCATACAAGCAAAGCCATTCTTCTGGTGAAAATGATATATGTGGACAGGCTGGTTAAGGAAAATCTGAAATAAAATGAACTTGAAAACATGACTATATACTTGGACAGTCACTAAAAGTACTCTGATGAAGAACAAAGTTAAGCATGTGTCCCCTCTCCCCACTGATCCCTGTAGTAACACTGTAAAAGTGTGCGACAGTCAAGAAGTAAACATTGTGAAATTCAACAGATTCTAAATATGACTACTGACATGCATCTTGGTAAGTCTCTGTGTTGTGAGCGTGACATGATGCCAGTGAGGTTATGCAACAACAGCACACTTTGGGAGACCTGCTATTTAACTGCACTGAAATATTAAAAGGATATCCTTGTGAAGAAGTTATCCAGGTTCTTGATATGGTGCCATGAGTCTGCAACATAAATGAAAACATTATACAGCTACAGACGTTTACCCAGTTGCATCTTTTTTTAGCTTATATATCACGTAAAAGACTTCCAATGTGCAGTTAGACGACTATATCAAAATACAAAGTATACTTTAGTTGTACTAACACGTTTACCTTTCAGGCCTTCGGGCACATGCACCAGTAAATCCTCCTCCCCTGGCGGTGAGTCCTCCTCAAAGTCCTCAATCCTCTGATACTCCTGGTAAGCTTCAAAGTTGGCCATTGTGCTTCACATTCTCGAGGTCGCTCCCAACTAACGAGCTACTTGTAGTGAACACCGTGTGAAAAAGAAAAAAACCCCAATGCAGTCTCTCAACCTCAGTACATTCTGTAAGCTAGCAATCTCAGCAGCGGTTCAAATAAAGGGTAACGTTAGCAACGGCTAACGCTAGCCTGCTAACTCGCTAGTCTAACGGACGAGCGCTTGTGTAACACTACACTACCATGGTAACGTGTTATATACTCGGTACAGCCGTTGAGAATCAAGTGCGCCAATCTTCCGCAGATTAACTCATGAATGTTAGTTACCTTCCTGTAATGTTACAACCGGACTCAAGTGTTGTGGTGGCTGGGTTAGCCTGTGGATGATTCAGCCTCTAGTGTAGTCCGGGTGACACGGTTTGTTTTGTTCCCGACTTTGTCGGTCCATCTGCTGATCTAGATCCTCTGTCGTGTTTGTCCCGAGAGTCCGGTCCTAAACCCGAGCTAACGTTGACTTTTAATCACGGTACGTTTGGTCTTCACGTCTGTCTCGAGGTCCGTCCGCTGGTTTCCAAAAATATCCCCATCCTCTGTGTGTGTCCACTGTTTTTGTCTTTCACAAACAAATGTCAACAAAAACGTCATTGACGTCACTTCTGTCACTGGCGCTCCGTCATTTCCGGGTCCGAGTTGTAGTTTTTTGAAAGAAAGCACGTTTCTTGTCGTGTTTCTGTTGAACAGTGAGACACAAATCGCCTCACATTGGTCCGTCTGTCTCCTGTTATGATATGAGCCAGCTCTCTGGTGTCACAGGCCGATATTAACGGTACAGACGACCTCCTCTGTAGTCACAGAAATGCACTCTGGGTCAGAGTCAACATGGCAGCCTGCAGGTTGCCTGTGGATTATTGCAGAGCTTAACGACTATTTGAATTCAATGAGCTTGTTATCACTGAAATAAGCATTAAACATGTTGCAGTTACTCTGCTGTAGAGCAAGCATCACTGCTCCAGTGCGGTCATTGCCGTTATACCCGCGATGCAATAACACTGCAGACTTATGGAAACTTTCACGGTAGGGTAATGTGACCGGTGTTTAGTATAGCTAATGACAGCCGATCTGTTTCTGCTAAGCCATGTGTTAGTTAATCGACACTGACAAGCTTAGCCTGCTTTGATTTTATATAAAGAGTAACTGGTTTCCTCTGGTGTTCAGATATAGATACATTAGGACGCACTTGTGTACAAAGGTTTCTAATCAGAAACAGGTTCACTCATTGATTAGTCAACAGAAAATTAATCAACAAATTTCATGCTTGTCAAGTTGTTTCTTCAAGTGTAAAAAAAACCATCAGGCATTTAATTGATTTTCGATAATTAATTAATCGTTTCAGCTGCTCCAGCTTCTCCTATCACATCAGTGTAAATGTAATAACTTTGGGTTTTGGTCAGAAGAAGTTATTTGAGACTGCCCATGACACACTCCCTTCCTTCCTACTGTGATTTCAATGTAAGATTGAGAAAATATTCATCAATCATGATCAACTGAAAAAACAAAATCATCAGATCAATACTATTTGCAGCCCTAATTCAGATCAGTCTAAACTCTTACAGCCTAAAATCCACATCCTTTGTTACATTAACTTTGTAGGACTTTCATGATAAGTTACTGAACTCCTAATTATATTATTATTCTTCCCCATACCCAGGTGGTACACATCTCCAGGATGTAAAACAAACAGCTCCTCACAGCAGCCTGGAAACGCTGTCAGCCGTCTCTGGAGCCTCACTCAGAGAGCCGTCCGCCAGTCCACCGTCAGAACGCCCAAACCCCCGGGAGTGGCTCTGAAGTTCATCCTGGGACCAGCAGTACTCACCGTCTCTGCACGACTGTTTTGTCACGTAGCCCACTGCGAGGCAGATGTGAATAACAACATCCCTGTGGAAGCTGTAGCCAAAAACCCCGTGCCTGAGTTCAAATGGCATATCCTGTGGGAATTTGTCAAACCTCAGCTGTTTGCTCTCATTGGTGCAGTTGTGGTAAGCTTAAGAGGGTTTCTAGAATAAATTATTTAAGATAGTAACATGTCAGTAACATGTCATTTATGCAACTAAAATGAGTAATTTTCTTCTTCTCTCCCAGCTTGCTTTTGGCGCCGCTATCTTGAATATTCAAATCCCACTGATGCTCGGGGAGCTGGTGAACGTTGTGGCACGTCACCTGAGAGAACAGACTAGGAATTACGTCCAAGAGATAAGAGACCCTGCACTGAAATTACTTGGACTGTATGGTATCCAAGTAAGTACACAGAAAAATCTCGACAAGTACCATCAGCCATTGTTGATCTGTTAACAAATGGAGATAAATGTCTAAACTATTTCCACAAGGTGTTGTGCTAATTACCATTTAAATTATGTAATTGTAATATAAGGGATAATAACTGGACATTTATTTATCTGTTAATTAACTGAGAATAAATGCAGTGGGTGGACGCAATAAAAGTAACATCTGGACAATAAAACCGCTCTGGAATAACCATTATTATACCATATTTCTATTGAAACTGTGTCAGAGAATTGTTGTTCAACTCTACGATACCATCACCTTTGAGGCTGTAAGTGTGGTTGAATTGGATAACTGTGGTTCTTTTAATAATTCTTCCCGGTTTGCAGATCTCATTGTTTAAGAAAGTTAATATTTCTATATCTGCATGTTTTGTTCCTGTGTCTGTTGTGCTGGCCATTAATCACCTCCTCCTTCGTGCAGGGCCTGCTGACGAGCGGCTACATCATCCTGCTCTCGAGGGTGGGGGAGAGAGTGGCAGCAGACATGAGGAAGACCCTTTTCGCATCCTTACTGAGGTACATAATCGCTCAGTGTTAGAGCAAAAGAATGCTTGGACAGGACAGGATGCTGTCATTTATATGCTCATGGTCCACTATTAAGCATCTGCAGTCCAACAAGCCCCTTTAACGCTGTCAATGTTATTTTTTGTCACAGGCAAGATGTGGCTTTTTTTGATGCTAATAAAACTGGGCAGCTTGTGAATCGATTGACTGCCGACATTCAGGAGTTCAAATCCTCCTTTAAATTGGTCATCTCTCAGGTATGAAGTTCTGTATTTGTGTTGTAATATAATAAATAACGCTATATAGTTTTAACTTTCTAATTCCTTTTTCTTTTGTTGCATATTTGCAGGGTCTACGGAGTGTTACACAGACAGTTGGTTGTTTTGTCTCTCTCTATATCATCTCCCCCAAACTCACAGGTTTGACAGTAGTTGTCCTCCCATGTCTCGTGGGAGCCGGGGCTCTCATTGGCTCATTCCTCCGCAAACTGTCCCGTTTGTCTCAGGAACAGGTGATGCATTTTGCTCAGGATCTTTGCTACTGCACAATATCTTGTATACGGTTTGAGTTTTACGGCCGTGTCACAAGGGGCTGTAAAATCAGAACAGCCATATTTCAAAACAAGCGAATGGGACAGATATACTCTTAATACAATGTAGATCTGTTCTCACGTCTGCCCATAACTGTTAAGATGCAATGTTTCTCTACAATTTCTTCTTCACGCCTACTCTCATAATTCTTGTGGGCTGACATACAAATAGAAAGATATGTCGATGTCATTTACACTGAAAATAAGCAATAGTCAAAAGTGACACAAATTTGTGTCCTCCAGTTTGCTGGTGGTTTTCAGAACCAGTCTTTGCACTGCTACCATGAAGCTTAATTATGTTATGGTTTTCAAACTGGTTTCCAGGAACCAGCAGGGGTCCTTGAGTGGATTGTAGGGGGTCCCCAGCAAAAGGAGGAATAGAATATTTAAACTTTATCAAATTTTTTGGAAGTTGGAACAAGGAAGAAGAAAAGGAAGGCTGTGATTGACTGTAATTAATAATAATTGTAGTTTGATCATTGATTGCAGATGAAGACTTTTTTTTATCTTCAAACCTGAATATATATATATATTTTTAAACTCAAGACAGAGGTTCCTCAAGACAAAATCCTCTCAAATTAGGGGTCCGTGGTTTAATGTGCAGCTATTTTGGGACTCCTTGATATGAATGAGTTTGGAACCCACGTATTATTACAGTGCAAAACTCAAGATAGTCATAATCAGTGTCTTCTTACAGTGTGTAAATTGAAGTGTGATCTGCTGTCTGACTGTGAATTGACATAACTGTGTTTAATTTAAGGTGGCAAAAGCAACAGGAGTGGCAGATGAGGCACTTGGCAATGTGCGGACAGTGAAAGCTTTTGCAATGGAGGAGCGTGAGCTCCAGTAAGAGAGAGTATATTTTGGTATACTCATCGCCATAGTACCTGTAGAGACACTGTATACTGTATTTTAGAGATATAATGTTATTATGTGTTATGTTTGAATTTTCTAAATCTTTTTTTCTCCAGGTTATATGCATATGAAGTTGACAAGTCATGTGAAATAAATGAAAATCTTGGCACTGGAATAGCAGTTTTTCAAGGAATGTCAAACATTGCCCTGAACTGTGAGCATATTTTACTGTTAACTGATAAACACAATGTTGAGCAAATTGGCGCTGTATCTGACGATATCCAGTACCTTAATGTTTCTGTGTTATGTGCTGTTAATACAGGCATTGTCCTAGGAACTATTTTTGCTGGAGGGACTTTAATTTCTAGAAGTGAAATGTCCCCTGGAGACCTCATGTCTTTCCTTGTTGCTTCCCAGACTGTTCAGAGGTAAAAGACACAAGTTGCCCCACAAAGTTTGCTCATTGTTACCATTTACAATTAAATGCATTAGTGTAAAAGTAGCTGATGTTTAGGGTATAACTCCTGCATTCTCTTTATGCTCAGGTCATTGGCCAGTATCTCTATCCTTTTTGGACAGGTGAGTAAAAATGATGTGAGACACATTATGTGTGCATTTGTAGAAATCTCAGTTACTTCGAAATCAAGCCAATTTCTAACATTTGCTACAGATGGTGAGAGGATTAAGCTCTGGGGCCCGAGTTTTTGAATACCTCGCTTTGAAGCCAACCATTCCACTGTCTGGAGGAGGACGCATCCCGTACAATTCTCTGACAGGAAGAGTGGATTTTACGGACATTTCATTCAGGTTAATTGAAAATAAAAATCGACATTAACTGAACATAAATATCAAATGATTCTGTGTATTGATTTCTTCTTCGTATATTTATAGCTATCCAACAAGACCTGGCCATCAGATCTTGAAGAAGTTCAACTTAACGCTTCCACCTTCTAAAACTGTTGCCATTGTTGGAGAATCTGGAGGAGGTAATTTTTTTGTTTATGCTTGTAAATGTGCGACGTGTAAGTGATATGAGTGCGAGCCTATTAATGATTGATGCAACACATTTTAGGAAAGTCCACCGTGGCGTCCTTGCTGGAGCGTTTCTATGACCCCACCAGTGGTGTAATCATGCTGGACGGACTTGACATCCGAACACTTGATCTGGCCTGGTTCAGGGGACAAGTCATTGGATTTATCAATCAAGTAGGTATTGTTCATCATTAAGGCATCCCAGTTTCTTAAAATAGGGTTATAAATAATTTGTCAGTTTAATAAAACTTTTAATTATAAACTTTAATGGCTGTTCCAGTTTTCACAGTATCTCCCACCTTGTGTCTTTGCAGGAGCCAGTTTTGTTCGGATCATCTGTCATGGAGAACATCCGCTTTGGGAAGCCTGAGGCCACAGATGCTGAGGTCATTAATGCAGCCAAGCAAGCCAATGCTCACCGCTTCATTACAGGTTTCCCAGATGGCTACAACACTGTGGTTGGTATGTGCTCTTGTTTAGGCTTTTAAATATTAAAATTTGCGTAAAAATTTAAATTTAGCTCCAGATCTTTTAACCCAGGTGAACGAGGTGTGACGTTATCTGGTGGCCAGAAACAGCGCATCGCCATCGCCCGCGCCTTGATCAAGAACCCTAGCATCTTGGTGCTAGATGAAGCCACCAGCGCCTTGGATGCTGAATCAGAGCGAGTGGTGCAGGAGGCTCTGGACAGGGCCACAAAGGGTCGCACTGTGCTTATCATCGCCCACCGGCTGAGCACCATTCAAGGGGCCGACCTCATCTGCGTCATGAGTGATGGCCGCATCGTGGAGGTGAGTATTCAGAGAAATGGAGGTGCTCTTATCTCCTCCTAAAAGTCTCGGCTAATTTAATCAGACTGTCTTGTAAGTTCAGAGAGACACTGAACAGAATTGACTTCATACAGGTAAATTGGTTCCTTCCATCTCAAAGTACTTACTTTATAATATAAGTTTTAATTATATCTAACAGCTTCGTCTTTTCTTTTAAGGCTGGGACTCACTTGGAGCTGCTGAGCAAAGGAGGACTTTATTCTGATCTGATCCGCAGGCAAAGAGCTGAGGGGAAGAAATGAACACAAAACTTGTTTAATGTAGATCTACAATGAGACTGTGATGAGTAATGGGATTTCTTTTAAATGAAATTCATAGGAAAGGTTTGCCTGAACAGATAAATTATGTAAAACATGTTGTGTAAATTTACCAGCTCTCTCTGTCTAGTTTTATGACAAACTCAAATGTATGTATGTAAATGTATAAGTGGACCAACTGGATCAGCCTGTGATGAATAACAAACCACACTACTGTACAGTTATCTACCTTAATGGAAATTTCATAACACTGTTTTCTCTTTATCTTGTATAGAATGATAAATTATAATGTGGTAGAAAAATAATTAAAGTTTGTTTCACTGAGAGTGCCGGTATACTTTATTTTTTCCTTTTTTTATGCGTCACAATAGACAAAATTTCCATCTTCCATTGTCACAAATAAAAGGTTGAAGAAACTAAACCTAAATAAGGAGCAGTATATGTTTCTTAGAAAGTGTTTTTTCTTGTATTGATCCTACAGTTAAAACCCTGTACTTTACTGGTGGATTAAAAAAAATGAAATGTAATTTACTTTCTGTGCTTCACTTGCTCCCCACAATTATCCGTTCTGTTTAGATGTGACACCTAGGGAGGAACTGCTATTTTGGCACCAATATTACCTCCCATATACAGGTGACAGCTGTTAACAGTGTATTAGGGCTGGCGTCTACCTCTGGATATACAGTAATCTATTGTGACACAACTGCTGGAAATTACAAACTCTTTACAATCACCTTTCAAACCATACAGAAGCCAAAAGAAAGGTGGTGTAATATAACTTTAATGTCCCCTTTTTGATATTTGTTAATTTATCTGAGCGCTGACATAAAGTCACCGGTGAATATTCCTGCAATTACTATTCATTAATTGTATTATGGGCTCATTTGCTAAATGGAACACGTAAAAATCGAAGATTGGAAATAACATTTCCATCAATAACCAGGCAGATTAGGCTGCCTGTACAAGATAAATCAAAGTACACTAACATACAGCCTGACAGCTTCCTAGAAGAATCCATCTGCAGTTTGAGATTAGATTACAAATGATCAATTGAATCAATGGAAACACATTAAGGTGGTACTTTTCAGATATCATATATTCTACAGTAAGTTTACACATCCTTCACATCAGGTGGGGTCAAGTTGAAGAGTGATTAATGTTTACCATTTGTACACAGTGCTTTATGACCAAACCCTGTCACAAAATCTCTCCCAAGAGCAGAAAACTGCTTGTGCTACTTACACGTTTCTGCATCTAGCTATGCTTTGCTTTCAAGGATGCTGCAATTCATCTTTTGGCCCCTAGATGACCAACAAGAGAAGCTTTGCTGCAGACCGACCAGGAGCAGCAAGTGCAGATAGCTTTAGGCTAACGCTAGCTATCATAACACTATTAACCCCCATTTGGGGCTTTAATCAGTCATTGGTTTGCTAGCTTGTTCGAGGCTGGCTTCACTGGCCAAACATGCAGAAATATGAAAAGCTTGAAAAAATCGGAGAGGGTAAGTTTCATGCGCTTTTTTAAAATAAAGTTAATATTAGCTACCCTGGTTTGCTAAAGTAGCATTCATGTAGTTGCAGTGCTAGCTAACGGTAGCTAGATTGTGAGCTAACCAGCGTTAATTCCTCAGTTAACCAGAGACAAAGCTGAGCTCACGGTTTCTACTCACACTGAAAGGTGAAGAGTCGGAGACAAGAGTCCTGCCTGTTAGCCTTTACGATATTAACGCTAGCTAGGTCGCTAGCTAATGTTAGCATCTCTGTAGGTTGCCATTCATCAATACGATACGTGTTATTGTGATCTGCTCCGTAGGTACGTACGGGACAGTGTTCAAGGCTAAAAACAGAGAAACCCACGAAATTGTGGCCTTGAAGAGGGTCCGGTTGGACGACGACGACGAGGTTTTGTTTCTAACATAACTAATGTACATTTCATGAGTGGTTAGCATGCTGGTGCTAACCGAGCTGGGTGTCATTTCTTTCAGGGGGTGCCAAGTTCTGCTCTGAGAGAAATCTGTCTTCTGAAGGAACTAAAGCATAAAAACATTGTCAGGTCAGTCTGCTGCCCAAACTGGAAGTCAGATGTAAATAAATAAAATACCAAGCAGTTTGCGTTTAACCCTGATGGTAACTTAAAGCTGTTGTGTCTTCTGCAGACTACATGATGTTTTGCACAGTGACAAGAAGTTAACCTTGGTTTTTGAATATTGTGATCAGGTGAGATAGAGTCATCCCAAACCTACTGTATGTTTTAATGTGTACCTTCTAAGGCTAATGTGTGTCTCTTATCAACTTAAGGATTTGAAGAAGTATTTTGACAGCTGCAATGGGGATCTAGATCCTGAAACTGTGAAGGTGAGAGATAAACATCCTGGATTTTACTCAGGACAGCCTATCGGATTTAATACATGCTGTATAGATGGCTTGTTTTTTTGTTTTTTTGTTTGAGCGTTATGTCTGTAAACTCAGTCTTTCTCTCTCCGACGCAGTCATTCATGTACCAGCTGTTGAAAGGCCTCGCTTTCTGTCACAGTCGAAACGTTCTTCATAGAGATCTGAAGCCACAGAACCTCCTCATTAACAGAGTGAGTGTTTAGGTGCATTTGGATTTTGACTTGAAGGCTGGTAAATATATGTTACTATATGAGATGACGGCTAAATCTGATGCCACACGGAGGATGTAGTTTATTAGTCTGTGGTAATATCAAATGGGAAGTTTTGGTAACCTGTGTCTGTGTCTACAGAATGGAGAGTTGAAGCTGGCGGACTTCGGTTTGGCTCGAGCCTTTGGCATTCCTGTGAGGTGTTACTCAGCAGAGGTAGGTTGTACTTCATTAACACAGCAGGTGCTAATAACTGACTTCTTCCATCTTTTAAAATGTTTAACCTGTGTGACATTCGCATTGATGTGTGGCACCTTCAAGGAGAAACCAATTCGGAGACTGATATCTGAACACTTTGATTGCCTTTGAGGGATTTTAAATTGGCAAGGCAGAGACATTTCTGCTCTTTAATCTGGACTTTTATAGAAGTTGCTTTATGTCTGTGTAGCCAAGGTAAATAGTCCCAAATCTCTGCTAAAAAATCAATTTTCCTAGTTTTAAAATCAAACAATATCTCATCAGCTTTCAGGCTTTGTTTTAGGGCTGGAAGATATGACCTAAAAATCCATATCTCAGTATAAAGTAATCAAATATGAGTAGTAAGATAGAAACTGGAACAACAAGGGCAAACGCATGGCCTCTACCCCAATGTTCCCATGTTTTTTAAGGCTGTTAAATTGCCCTTATTATATGTGTGAACAGTCGATGGACTGTGTTTCTCTGAGGCCCTGAAGTTAAGCTGTTAAATCAATGATGGGAGAGAGTGGAACACACAGCAGCATGTGGTTTAAGTGGTGTTTTGTCTTTTTTTTGGGTTGCTGATTCCTTCAGAGAAATGACAGGCGAGTCTCAGATAGGTTTAATGGTTTTTGGTTGGCTGACCTAAGGGCCCGGCGAGCCAATCTCAAGAGGCGGCACTTGACCCAGGGTGATGCTACTGATCTGAAAATGTAATAAACAAAAAAACCTAGAGGGCAACCGAGTTTTAAGCATTGAGAATCTGAAGTAAGGTCATTGTAAAAGGTCATTTCATTTCAGAGGATGTTTTACCCTGAGACTCTTAGCACTGTTTCAGCAAGAAGATATGAATGATCCTTTCACAGTAAACAGATATACTGTATGTAGTACATGCAGCTTGAATTAAATACAGTACCTTAAGTTGTTAGGATGATAGTATGTGGATTTGGTTTAATTTATTAGCAAGTGAAATCCACAGTGGAGTCTTATCAGTGTTCTTACTTTTTCTTAGGCTTTGTAAAAACTACTTATCTGGCAACCCAAAGTTAAAGTGAAGCAGTAACAGAAGTATTATTCAGGTGCAAGTTAGTTCCCTGCACTTATTTTGAAATTCTACTTCATAAAACCATTTGTCAACATGAATAAAAAATCTCCCACAACCCGCAGGTGTGTTTTAAACACAGTGCTCCAGGCTCCTTGCAAAGCCTTAAAAAGGCATTAGAATATGTTCAATTTATGTCATCTTTGTGCGTCACTTTTTAAAAAACAAAATGTAAATAAAAAAATAATATACTGCAAATGGTCGTGACTCAGTATGTGACGTTTTGAAATGACTTTCGAATCGAGCTTCTCTGTAAAAATGGCTTATGAAAAGTTAGTCGTGATTCTGTAGCAGGTGGTCACACAACAAACCTCTGCACTGAATTGAACTTTCAAACCTTTCAAGCTGAAACAAGCACTTCCAACTGCTTTCAGTCAGCCCACACATTCACTCTCTGCGAAATACAACTTTTCTATAGTTTTCCAATTTATTCTTGTTACTCTTTTCTATCTGTGCACTTCACCAAACGCATTTTCACATAACCTGGAAAAATGTCTATAAAACACTCGACAATGGACAAAGCAGCAGTTTGTTAGAATGTCAAGAAGGTGTAATGGGAACCAGATGGCTGATGTAAGCTGACTGTTTAGTGTTAGTGACAGTGCTGCTAAATCCCTTTCTTTGAGAAAAAATAAATAAAAATAGTACAAAATAACACCCGCCCCGGAGAGTGGCCATTATGCTGAATGCCTGAACAGTTGTGGTGACACCAGTTTGGCTGTGATAATTGGTGTAATTGGTCTAATTGTTACACTTAACCCTGTGATTTGTACGTAGGTGGTGACATTGTGGTACCGGCCTCCAGATGTGCTGTTTGGTGCTAAACTTTATTCTACCTCAATTGACATGTGGTCTGCTGGATGCATATTTGCAGGTTTGTGTGCGATTGATTGTTTGAGATTGTTCTGGTACCTAATGTGACTATAGGATACTGTTGACACTAATAATAAGAAAAATCATAATACTTCCATTTTAGTAGAAGGTTGTAGTAGAAGTCACTACAATGTTTAAACATGGCTCACAAGGTTCAGTATCTTGCAAGTCATCTTTATAAATGTCTGAATACCCTCACGCCTGGCTATTTACTGGAGTTTGAGTGTAGTAACAACATAGGTGTAAACTATACTACACATAGTCAAAATTCAAATATAAGGTACTTTTGGAACTAAATCCTTTAAATATGTTGCTAGAATGTAAAAAACCTTATCAGATGATGTGAAATATTTGGAATATATCAGTTGTTAAACACACAATATGAAAAATACTCTTTTTTTTTTTTTTTTAATATGAAATGGAAAGAGAAGAGATGGGTGAGACAGCTGGGTGTTTTCAGTATTTTATTATAAAAATGACACAATGTGTATAATGGGACAGGCCAGGACCACTATGGAATGAGTCTTTTGAACATACATGTTTTTATCCTGTGTCATAATTCAAGTTTATAGTTTGTTTTCGGTGTCTGTGTGTCCGTTCTTAAGGTTAGATTGAATCTGTGTGTTTGTTGGTTTGTTTAGTGAATATATTGATGTATTGAAGTATAAAGTCTAAAGTAAACCATATATAAAATATTAATCGTGTTTCACTTTGATTCCATATCGCTTTCAGAGCTGGCTAACGCTGGAAGGCCTTTATTCCCCGGGAACGATGTGGACGACCAGTTGAAAAGAATCTTCAGATATCTTTTTCTCTTTTTACGTCACGTGTTAGTATATTGACAGTGTGGATCTTCTGCTTACGCACTTTATGTCGGCCTCTGAGGGGTTTGTTCAGATAGAACTATTGATCTACTATGCGCTCAATGATTTACTGTAAGTGTAAGTCCGGACACACCTCTCTGTTGCAATAAGTTTTTCTTTAACCACATGGTACATTGTTGGGTACACCAACTGAAGAACAGTGGCAGACGATGACCAAACTCCCCGATTATAAGGTAAATTATTGATGTCATTTATTTTGTAAGGCCCACAGTGGATGGGAGTGTACACCGTGTGTGAACTTAACCTCTGCTCCTCTTTCTACCTGCAGCCATATCCCATGTATCCAGCCACCACCTCACTGGTGAACGTGGTCCCCAAACTAAGTAGCACAGGACGGGATCTTCTCCAGGTACTTAAACTTTCAACTTGCCTTCCTTTTTTTGTATTTTTCAGAATAAAAGCGGCTGCATTAATGTTTGGATTTCTATTATGCATGCACTTGTTCATGTATTCAAAAATCAAAACAAATGTTTACATCTGTGGTTTTAAGTAATCTTTTCTTAATAATAGTTTGTGCAAATACTTCAGTAACTTCAGCTACAAATACCGTATTGTGTTGCTAATAAACAGCTTTGCTTGCATAAAATATGTATTCCGTATTAAAATATTTCCTTTCATCTCACCCAGAACCTGTTAAAATGTAATCCTGTCCAGAGGATCTCTGCAGAAGAGGCCTTGCAGCACCCTTACTTCGCCGATTTCTGCCCACCCTAAATGCAAAATTGCTTCTCGCTGAACCTCAGCCGCCAGAATCAATCATCCCTTCACTCTGTTGGGTCATTAGGACCAGTCCCAACAAGGCAAATCCCTCACTGGTTTTCAAACACTCTCCTGCTTTCATTCTGCTGTGCCTCCGTGTGGAACAAAGTCCTAGTGGCTCTGCAAGGTTTTAAGTTCTTTTAAGTTGCAAGCCTGTTAAATTTGGTACATACATGCCTCCCAGTTAATTAGCACTAATGTGGGAGGGTGCACTATGTGTTGCATTGAATAAATTTTATACCTGTGGAAATGGTTGTCAACAAGAAGTCCCTTTGCTCCAAAACACCGAAATGAACATACTGTTTATTTCTGACTTTTTTAATAGTTGATCATGAATGGAGAAAAAAAGGCCCTTTGAATCTGTGGTGATCTCATTTGGTGAATTCATTTTGGATAACTTCAACTCAAAGTGCTAGAACACACTGGATCAGCTACCCAAACAGCCTTTCTAACATTATGGTTTCAGTTCTGACTGTAATCTGTCTTGCAAAAGCAGTTTTGCCAATTTGTTCTCATATAGAAGCCTTAAGGTTAAACTGTAGCGATTCAGGAGTTTCAATACCAATATAACATTTGGGATTTTAGAAAATGTGACAATGATATTATTCTGTTTCCATAACTACAAAAACATAAACATCACTTAAATTTGTTTGATTGAGCTACATGTGGACTGTATTTCTGAATGGTCTCAAACATATCTTTGGCATTTCTGTTCCGCAGTTTGTTGTTACTCTTTAGCCGCAATATACGCCAGCACTGATACATGTGGGATTAGTTAATATCCACTGATATATTGGCTCTAGTGGAGACCGCAGATTCTTGGGGCAACTAATGCTACAATACCGCTTGAATGAATAGATTGATTTGTCCGTTTTTGGAACCACAAGCGATTTATTTGGAAATTGTGTAGGGTTACGTCAATGTTTCTTTCTTTTTCTTTTTACAAGTCTGTAATTTCCTACGAATACAGAACTACTGTTTGTAATTTGGTACTAATTATTGGTTGGTCTTTGAAAGAATTCCAATCAAACCTTAGTGTGTATATTCAGAAATGATTCACATATTATTGGAAACTTTATTCTCCATATATACTAAATTGTATGTTTGTCTGTAAACAAATTTCAGTTTACATGTTCAGTTGATCTGTTTTACAATGAATTAATTAGAAGTATTAATTGGAAGTGTATCGATTAATTTATGTCCCTCCTGTTATTAGTACCAAATTACATACTTATTTCCTGGAAACTTTCTAGAAAGTCTAATAGGCAATTACAGACCTATAAAATACACTTTATTTTATTTTATTTTATTTTGACCAGAACAGACAACGGACCTTTAATACTGTTATTTCACATAGTAAAAATACAACTCTTTGTCCCTCTACCTATTACAAGATTGTATCATAGCATGGGAAGCTAATTTATAAATTTCTTTTTTTCTCAGGCTTATTTCCTTCTTTTTTTTTGTATTTGTCTTTTGTGCACTTTGTAACTGACAGTTTTATTTTAAATCGTTTAGTTATCAATATTATTAAATATGTTTTACACTGACAGCCAGGATTATAGCCGGTTATCAATAAAATGGGCCAATATATGTTAATACTAGTGGACCATTAGTGACACATTTATGTTTTTTTGACATCATCGTTCTCATTATTGTACTAATGTATTGTAGCTTTTTTCTGAAATGCTTTTGTAATAGTTAAATTAGAGATGAAAACTCCACTGATAAAATGTATTTTCATATAATGATTGATTTGCACCATTAGCTGTTTCCATTTTGGTTACTTATATTAACATGGTTAACAGCTTGCAGTGTTATTTTACTCCAGATTGTTACAGTGCTCCTCATCCCGTAAAAAAGCCAACATAATGAGTCATTTGAAGTATCTGTTAATAGGGAAGGGATTTATTTTCATTTTGCTGATGTAAGACAAGATAATGGATGCATGTATTTATTAATGATGGAATGTCTGCTCATGTTTTTGCATTCGTTTAAATGTAGCACAACTTAATTTGGTACAGAAACTCTTTTCTGAATGATTCAGTGATACTCGGATCTATAGCATTTAGCAGGTTCTTTTTAGAATTTGAAATGTTTGAAGGTTGTGTGTGTGTATGGATTAAGTTATAATGACAAAACAAAAGCATTTTCTCTCAGTATTTCATAATCTTGTGATTATAGGACATTTCAGACTAACTGCTGTAGAGTTACTTTACACAGCTTACATTTAAATTCTGAATGAAGAGTGGGTTTTTGCACTTTGCTAGTATCTTTGCTTTTGTTGGTAGAACTTGGGACAGATGTTGTCAGTGATTCTTTCTGTGTATATTTCAGCCAATAAGACATAAATACAAACATAAGTTTGCTTTTGAGACTGGAAGTTCATTCTTGACCTTGGAAACAACTTTTGTCTCACCTCGAGGTCCATTTAGTAGCTGTTCTGGACTTCAGCAGATGGAGTCTGCCCAGCTGTCATGGAAATATAGTTTATATATAAATGTTTAAATGTTCTCGTTTGTGTAGTCTTAAAATTTGAGTTTAAAAGTTAATGGTAGTTGATAAAGTAATCTCACAAGAAGGTCCATTCATTTAGTAGCTGTCCTGTATCCATGACAACTTGTGGTATGATATTTTTTGTGTCTTTGTGCTTTTCTTAGAAAATTATTTACACAGCTTGCTCATTCAGAAGCCACCTAGACTATGTCACCATTTTAGGAACAAATCCAGGTTGATGTGTAACAACCAGTGTACACCGGGCTAGGCTGCTGGGATTGATCCAATTGATCCTTGAAAACTTGACAAATATCAACATAAAAGAATATGTCTCAATAAGCAACAATAAAATTCAGCGTTTTTGAATAAAAATGATAATTGACAGTTTTAACAGTCAAAAAGCTAATCTGTACCATCAAGACTGAAGTAAACAAAACTCATTAAATTCTTATTCAAATGTTCAAAATCCTGATTGGTGCTGTGACTGTGACATCACCTATTTCCAGCTGAGCCCCACCAACCTTTAACCAATGAGAAGAGCTCAAACAAGTGTAGCAGAAAGCTTTGCATTAAGGTGGAATCACATCATTCATAATGAGAAGGCGGTAAGGAGAATAATGTTTCCAGGGCCTTAAAGTTTGCACGCAGTTTGGTGTCAAAGTAAAAAACACTCATGACTGTTTGACTTAAAACTCACTACGTTACACATAGTTAAGTGTATATTAACTATTTAATGTACAGTTCAGAGTTAAAATCACATATCTACAATAAAATGCACATAAAGTACATAGAGCCAGATGAAGCAAGTTCAGTTTCTCAGATGTTTGTGCGCATGAATATCTTGATGTTACCTGTAAGAACCAGTCTTGAAGGCACATTTTAGTTTCACTTCAAGCCATGTTATATTTATTTAATCCATAAAAATTGACAGAAAGATATCACAGTTTTCCCACAAATGCACAATATCTTTCTTTTCGAGTATTGCACGATCCCAAGCCTGGTTTGAGGAGGATTTTAATGTTGTAATCACGTGATGTGGAGAACACCATTTTGATTCATCTGGCTCCAAAAATACATTTTGGACCTTACAAAGTGAATAGCATGGCTAAGATTACATTAAGAGACCAGATAATAGGAATACACAATGGTCATGCAAGGAAGAAAATGGGTGATGTGACATAAATGATTAACTGTAAGAATAAAAGAGTTCAAATCTAGGTGTTGGGTGACAGAAATATACAGAATACTGTTTTCGACTTGGCCATAACTATGCAGTAAATATCAATCGAGGACTACTTAAAGAGCACAAACAGTTACGTAATAGTTTCTGCCAGTTCACATACACTCTGCTGTTCTTTGACTGGTAGTAAGGCAGGGGGTGGGGAGAGAGAGGTAAAGACCCAGGGCATTTTCACAAATCCTTCATCCACAGTTTGCGCTAAATGCTGGGTCATTTTTATGCTTTCTAACCCAACATGACACACACACACACACACACACACACTCGAAATCAGCATGGCAATGCAGCAGCATCAGAAAAGCATCATTGTGTAACATGAATTGGCATTTGTGTCCCTTTATTTGGCTAATGATGGTTAATATACAATCGTCATATCATACATCTGTGTTTCGGCTGGCAGCTGGCCAGTCTACATCCATTCCAGCTGTTGAATACGTCATGAATTGAAAATGGGGATCTCAAATCAAATGTTGTTGTTTTTTTTTAATGTCAATTTTATAACAGTTGTATCGGATTCAGTGCATTTATTGCTCATGAGACAACGCCACTGATTCACCTTTTTTGTTTCCTGAAAGGTAAAATTTATATTTGGACAACGTCTCTTCTCAAGGTGATCTCTGGCCTTCTCTTGGAGAACGCTCTTATTTATGTTAATGCTGGAGCAGTGAACACACTGCGTCTAACAGTGTGTGTAGTTAAAACTAGAGCCATAAAAGGTAGTCACAACCATAGACGCCGGTCATTGGCTTTCAAGTGATGGCTGATCTCCAAGGGTTTGTGCTTCACATCAACAGTCATCTAATACACAAACAACCGAGTAATAAAGCTACAGTGTTATGAACACCACTTACTTGATTGGCATAATACTTGAAAGTTTCACATATTAAAAAAACTCTTCTCTGAACTTTTAGTAAAGTATTTATAGTGAGGATATGTACCTACAAGTCCGTAGTTGTAGTGTCAAGGATTTAAATAACAGTGAACATTAACAATAGAGGAAGTAGACTCACAAGAAGATAGGAAGAAAAGTTGTGTACGTGAGTATGATGGGTAAATATAGAGTTTATTATACTTGATCATTTATACATCACAAATTGTTATTTGTGACTTATTACATGTTCTGGAATAATAATAATAATAATAATAATAATAATAATAATAATAAAAGGACAATGGTAAAATTGTACAATGCATTTCTGTTATAAACCAACTGAACTGAATGGGGCTGAGGTGCATGGTGGTTTTCGATGTTTTGAGGCAATTCTCTTGAATCTAATAAAGTCTATTTAGTTGTCAGTCATGTTATAATCACCAGAAACTCAAAGACACTTATGGTCCATCCAGATAGAAAGTCCAAATTCCTTCTGGTTTAAGAACAGATGAGGAAACATTTTTGATCTATATATATCTATATTTATATATATAGATAGATATATACAGCATATTTGACCAATGTCTCACATGAGCGGTATAGAATTTCTTCATGGCATTTGATTGCGGATATTTACACATTTCTGTCAAGTTTAGGAATGTCACCATCAAGCCTTTTAAACTCTACTTATGTTCCATAGAGAATAGATTACTATCACAGGGGATTGTGCTGATGGACACCTTTAAGACACAGTAATGAAAAAACGTAGCTGAGGATTATTAAAAAGGCAAAAAGGAAAGCCTGATTGTTTCTCTTCGGATGAATTCAATGTAAATAAGGGCCAACTTTTACAGCAAGCTGCATGCTAGCATTTGTTTTTTTGTGTGTGTGATAATCAGCACAGCAACACTATCCCCCAACGATGGGAAAACAATGAAAATTGAAATGTCAGCTATATAAAGATAAAAAGATACAATCAACAGCCTTTTTCAGCCTCTTAATTTTCTTTTTATGACCCTTACTCTGTGTAAAAAGTGACTAAAGTTAACAAAAAACATCCAATTCAGTAGTTTCTGCTGTTCTGGGATCCACATGGAACAAAACTAGATACTTGCATATGTACAAATAATCAAGCTCTCTTCTGTTTTTGAATTAAATAAGCACAGTCGTCTAAATTGATGAGACAAATCAAAGCCTCATAATAGCAAAAGGCAACATTAAACACTCGTCTAGTGTTTTGATTCAGGTACGAGCAGCTCCTTTAACCAACAATCGGCTCATTAAAGTCGAGCAGATATCTAAAAAAGCTCTCCTGTTCAAACTGGTGACAAGTATAAGGTCACTCAATACAGCATTGGTTAGATGCCGGAGACGTAACACTGATAAGAAACTGTAATGCTACACATACCAATCCACATGTATTCGTTTGTTTTTTGGATAGATGTACAGCAAAACAAGCACAACAGTACTTTATAACTCATCTCAACACAGGTCAGAAACCTTTTTTTTTTTTTTTTTTGGACACATTTATCTTCACTGATTGTTTACTCCAATGTGACCGCATAAAAAAAACCCAAAACAAAATGCACAAAATGAAACATGAATAAATTAACACTGATGCCTTGACATGGCAGTTAAACCTGAGTTCTGTTTGGAAGTGGTCTCTTTTTCTTCTGATGATAGTATTCTATTTCTATTCAGGCATTGATAAACTCTACTATACGTTTTTGAGTTATACACTCAACCGTTTTCTGTTAAATACATACATTATTTCACAGTTTGCTGTCAAGTCCCCCAGATGTGCCACCCCACCCCGAACCCCTACTTTATGTTGTCAACAAGCAAACTCCTCAAAGTTGCCTAGAGTCGGGTGACGAGGTAACATGTTCGGCGTGAATCCGAGACTGTCCGAGTGACTCCGGAGGGTGTCACAGGTGCTCTGCAAAACAGAGGGAAGGGAAGGAGGGAAGACGAGTTCAACCGGGTTAAGGGAGGGGCGATGAAGGGAGTGGTGATGATGATGATGATGAGGATGAGGATGAGGATGTAGGAAAGAAATGAGCCACAGGTAAAATGAGAGCGACCAGGACGATGGAGGGACGCGGAGGTAAAAAAAACATATGAGGTGAGGAGAAATAAGGATAGGATATATAATGGCAATGAATGACAGAAACATATGTGGATGATGATGAGGTAATGAACACAACAGATTTGGAAGTTCCAAGATCGGCCACATCGCATATGTTTCACAGGCAGTGAAAAAGAGAGTTTAAAGAAAATCAGGGGGAGGTGGGGAAAAGATGAATGAAAGGAGGGAGAAGAGAAAGAAAACAGCATATTTTTAGTCCTGTTTTTTACACTAGCATGTTAAATAGTTATAGTTACGGAAGTTGAAACATCCACATAAGTCTGCATTTCTCTGTATGTGCTCCATGAGTAGATAACTGCTGATAAGTGGATAACAACCATTGGTAGTCCCATAGGCAAAAATGGCTATTCCAGCAGACAAAGAACCATTTATATTTTGTGCAAACTCACTGCATGCAGACCTGTGATAACATCACAAAGTAATGCATCTAGTGATGTTATCTGGCATGAGCCTCAAATGCATTGCCTCTAAATGGACCTCTGTGCAGCAGGGAAACAAATAGATCTCATGTGGTTCGGCTTTTTGTACAACAATTCAATAAATACGTGATTTGTTTTCACAGGAGTACTGCGCTTTATCCTATGGGAAAAGAAAGCATCATTATTCAGTGGAAGGAGCA